GTAATTCGATTTGCTGGATATCACGGTAGAGCAGCCAGGAAACAATTCTTCGCGAGTGAAAAGAATAGAAACCTCAGACTGGCTTTCGCAAAATCCAACATAAATAAGAATTCTGATTACTGGAATGAAGTTATATTTGCTGATGAGAGTAAATTTAATATATTTGATTCTGACGGTAAAATCTTGGTGTGGAGAAAACCCAGGAAAGAATTTCGCAAACGCACCATTTCTTCAAAACAACAATTAAAATCAGTGCTTCAAGAATGGGGTAAAATCACTCCAGAAATTGCAAAAAAATTAGTCGAATCCATCCCAAGATTAAATCATGTTTTAAAAGTAAAAGGAAATCCAACAAAATATTAAAACCTTTTATAAAGTAAAATTTTTGGATAAATATTTGATGGAAAAGTAAGTGTCCCATCACTTATGTGAGCCATTTTTTTGCTCCGTTCTAAACAATTGTATTTTTCTTAAATTGATATTTTAATATTTTGAGAAAATGTATGTTATGTAGTAATTGTTACTAAATTTAAGTATGAAACACACCCACAAAAAATTTTTACATGTTTTTTTTAAATTTATTTTACTACAGTTTCCTTTTGTAAAGCACAAGTGTCCCATCACTTTTGTGAGACACTGTATGTGTGTGTGTATGTGAAGCATTGTTTAGTGTTCCTAATTTGTAGTATTTATTTTCTTATAATATTTTCTTTCATTGCGAGAAATTAAATTTTTTATTTATTTATGTGTAGAATTCTAGTATGCCTGCCTACAAAGAATATAATATGATTTAGAAATTTAAGAACCTGTTTTTCATTAATGTGAAGTTTAAAATTTGTAGAAAATAATGAAAATTGTCTACTTACTGGTATATTAGGGATTATGTTGTTACGTAGCAAAACGTTAATTTGTAAATATGATAAAATTGATATGTTCCAGAGTATTAATTAAAAAAAAACTTTTTTTTAATTGTATAAATACTAAAGCTTAAAAATCTTTGAAAATATGGAAGCTGTATGAAATACAAGTATGAGAGACTGCGACGTTCTTTATCGTTGTAATAACTGGTAGAATTCGCTTACTGTATCATGATAATTTTAAATATAAACAATTTATTATACTTATTTTCAGTCACGCCTAAGCTCAGAAATGTAAATTTAAAGAATTTGATGTTAACTTACAATAATAAACAATTCATTATTTTTTTTAAAAGAGAAAATACAAATTACGCGTAGCATGAAGAATACATTGTGACGTCACACCAAATTATTTATTAAAGGTGAAATAGCTAAAGGTTTCCGGTATTGTTTTTAAAATTACATCCTTTTAACCTTAATCATTTTTATTAATCATTTCTTAATACAGTCAAAAGTCGTTACTTCGGACACCCATAATACGGAATGATCTATAATCCGGACCTCAAAGTTAAAAACTTTCTGCGCATGCGCCGCGTTGACACATGTGCATAGGCGTTTACGCGTGCGCGTGCATATGCGTGTGCGCAAGTGCAGAATACGTTTTCGTGTGCGCGTTTAACGTATAACGGACGGTATAAGCTAAAATTATACAATTATCTATTTCAGTTAATGTTGATGCTTGCGTTATTCCTTAATCTTCGAATTGGATGCAGCTTATTATTTTTTGCAGACTGTAAGAGCAATTTTATAAAAGTAAACTTGAACTTTCGATTATGTCAATTTCCGATTCTGGAGCTCCCAAAGGATCTACAAAACGAAAGTATGTCTCGATGTCCGTCAAACAAAAAGTGGAATTGCTGCAAAAAATGGATAAAGACATGAAGAAGGTGACAGAGAGGTTAGTGAAAACGAAAAAATTTCGTTTGACAAGTTAGTCGGTATTCTCGGCACAGCAATTACAGGACTTGAACAGCGGAGCTTTTTAACTGAACAAGAAATTATGTCTTTATAGAATTAAAGAGAAAGTATTATCACATAAAACGAAACAACTTGCATTGAAAGAAATGTTTAATAAAGTAAACAAATAAATATTAAGGTTCTTTTTTTGTAAATTTTGATACCCTTTAGATCATAATGTTCTTTATTTCCTAAAAATACGGTTTCATATTTTTAATTTTAGAATTTGTGCATGCCATCTTACGAGATTTAAACTGATGATCTATAATCCGGAAAAATCGATAACCCGGAATCGCCGAAGTCCCGACGAGTCCGGATTAACGACTTTTGACTGTATTTCTTTCTCTTAAAACCGTGTATAATAGTCATAAACTTATTTCTATTATCCACGATTTCTGGTGAAATCAAGATGGCCACCATTTTTTTAAACACAGAGTTTCGACGAAAATCTCGATGGCAACCATTTTTCAAAACAACGTATCTCATGTGCTTTGGCGCCAAACCAAATTCGCCAAACTTTGAAGGTGGGCTATACTAAAGCTGTTCTTCCTTTGATCCCGAACTGACGACCTGAGAACCGGCATCTTTCGACGAAAACTTCTTTAATTATGCGAAAATATTTCTATTTATTCATTCTTAAAAAATTCAGAAAAAATAATAATAAATAAGAGGAAAATAATATAAATCTCCAAATGCGAACAACGACAATACGCGAATAGGATGAATTAGCTAGGTTACCAGGTTTAAACTGTTATCGCCAAAGTTGGCAATGTTTACATTTACCGGGTTCTCTGCGGAAGTGCTTCCACATTTACTTTTGGAGAAGAAAGTTTGCTTCGCAAATTTTTCATATACATGAAAATGTTTGCATTGAAGGCTTTTCAGTATTTTTCATTTTCGGCACGAAAATCGCCTTCAGGTCGGCAGATGGTATGGCTGGATTTGATGTTTTAATTTATGACCCTCCCATTGTAACATCTTTCTCTAACGATCGCTGTTTCCCCACTGCCAATTAAGCGCGACAGGAGGTCATAGGGGACGACAGTATAGAATATTCCGTCCTCGACGATTTCGAGACTGAAAATGTATGGCAGGAAAAATCGTTTGAAACGCTTTTGGATTCATCATAAGTTGGCAAAATAATCCGTGTGTGACGCTTTGGAAAGCTATCTTTCAATACAGAAAAATCCGTTCGTAACGCTGTGAGGGTTAAAATGAAAGCAAAACTAACAGCTAAACACCAACTGGTAATGAATTCATAAGCATGTTTGCGAGCGGGAAAAGAATGCAAAGATATTGCACAAGCTTGCATTTTTGAGAGATGAATTTACACTGAAAAACTGAAAACAAAAAATACAGCGATGATAATAACGACGAGAATGGCAATCAAACGGAAGAATTAGTAATTATTAAAAATTAGTTTTGTTGAAGCCTTAAGCATAACAATCTTTCCAGAAAGGTTATTACGCTTTAGTGTAGAATTGGGTGCCCCTTCGATTGGCAACATTTTAAAAAAAAATTTAGCGATGAAACCTCACTTCTGGTTACCACGATAGTTTTAACTTTCAACGTAAAATGCTTTAACTTTGTTTTAGCTTCCCGATTTTATTTAAATGAAAATAGATTGATGTGTACATGGACATATTTAAGGCAGTGCGCAATGCCTAGTTTGTGCAATTCTAGGATTTTTTTTTAAGTAAAAACAGATCGATGTGTACATGGACACAGATCTTATGCAATTCTTCGACTTCTTATTTTGGTTTTGTGTAGCAGCCATCTTAAAATTGTGACTTCCTGGCGCCGATCTTGGCGTCAAAAAAGAATCGCCAATAAACAAGGGGCACCCAATTGTAAACTTCAACGGTTATTAGATTCTTAAAAAAAAAAAAACTGTCTCCTAAAAATTTGGGAAAGAAAATTGGCAAAATTTCTCAAATTGTGTAAATTTTGACTAGTTTGTTCATTCTATTTTTCCATCAATATTTCTGTCACAAGGTTTAATCCTAGTATTCGGTGCACACGGGATTTGGCTACTTTATGATGCAGTAAAAATGGGACATATACGATGAGTAGTAAACGGTTCATTCAAAGAATATATATAATTATACACCGTATATACACACATAGTATATAGTGTATAGTACATATATAGACGTTCTTTGGATCATTTTTGTTGATGGCAATAATTTTCAAAATCACACCAAAGTTGCACAGTATACTAGGATTTACCCAAAATAAAATCTTGTATGGATTATTTTATTAAAGAAAATAAATTTACTAATAGAAGAGTTGGTGAAGATGTTAATTGAAGTACAAATGCTTTTTTTCCTCTAAATTTCTAATAAAACATTTTTGGAAAAACAGTCAAAAGAAAAACTAGTACGATTTTAATTTTCATCTCTACTAAACGAATTTTCGATTATCCCAGGAGATTACTGTCCCAATTAGCTCGGTTAATCGAGGATTTACTGTACTTTCTTCTGAAAAACACTGCTTCAACTATGGAATACCCCTAGTTTTTCAAGACAATTTTTAAAATTTTACTAATCACTGCATCTTTCTCGAACCCACGCACACAGCACATGAATAACAATGCTCAGTACACTATTCGTTATACACCAGAAGTCTTAGTTCGACAGATTTATACACAAAATGGAGAGATCAATATTTTTTTTTTTTTTTTTCATAACAAAATACTGTTAGAAACACATGGTTACACAATGTTTGAAACACATGATGCATTACTTGGAAAAAGCTGTTACATCGAGAAAATACGAATTCATATGGATACTTTCTAAAATAGTCACGGGAGACTGTTGATCGTATTTTCATGAATACAATATGAGAACAATTTCGAAATTATTAACCAGGACATGCTTTATGAGGTAATATTAAATCACAAAAAAGAATCAATACGGTATTCTAATGCTGATTTAATGACTTCGAAACATAAAAAGATAGAAATTTTAATTAATTAATATCTCAAAATTCGTTTTTTTGAAACGACAACCCTTAACCGGCTATCTACCATTTTGGTATGTGCGCAGTATGTAATCACACTGCTCACCTGTGTATAGTACACCAAGCATATCTTCAAGTACAAAGAATCGAATTTTTATAACTTACCACTTCTAATAACTTTAACGAACAACAGTTGATCAAACTTCGCACTCTTTCTAACGCAAACAACAGTTACAATCGTACTTAGCTTTCCACTTTTGCGTAATGCAGCAATTCGAAATTGCGATGGTCTGGAACAAACTGGAATCGAGAGTAATCCTTTAAATAAATCTCAAATATTTCGAAATGCTTTAATAATTTGCTAAAACATTAAAGATAAAAACAACAATTGTAAAAATGGAAAAAATTGCGATAAGATTAATATTATTTAAATATATATATAAATATTTCTTTTTCGGAAAATCTGGTAACGAGAGTGTATTGGATATGGCGAAGATTTGCCCCTTGCGACATGAAGGGAAAGTCATGAGAATCGTTTTACCGAAGAAATGCGAATGGAAGGAGAATGACTCTTACCATCGCCATTTTGCTGATATTGAAACTGGAGTACCGTGTATTCATGGAAAATTTTTCTCATTGTTTTTCATCGAACACAAGGTATGATGAAATAGTTTCAACTTGAAAATGGAAATATGGTGTTTGTCGATAATCAAAATATCCGACACTTTTAATAAGCAGATGTATTGTGTTTCGTTTCTGTGATAAAATAGGCTTAAACTCAATTCGGGTTTCTAGAATTTTGTATATAAAATTTTCAGGATTTGGGCTATGAATCATATTGAAAATAAAACTTGTTTACGTCTTTAAAAGATCATACATAATTAGATATTTAACAGCGTTAGAATATGTGTGGAAATGATATTACTTAAATTTTTATTAATAGAATTTAATATAATTTTAATTTTACATTTTATTCGTCGCTAATTAACTTCTGAAAATTTATGTACTATGTTTTAAATGTTGTCCTCTTCTGAAATGTAATATTCCATATATGTTTTTTTTAATTTATGTAATTCGTAAATTATATACTGTTCTCTTTTAACTTATTCTATATTTAGGCATTTTGATACTTAGTATGTGTAATTTTAAGGTAACATGATGTAATTCTGAAGTCTTCTAAATTTGATTTTGAAATAAATTTGGTATCTGCAAAGTTTTACGTACCTAAACATATGAGAATTGTTTACTGTATCCAGTACTTGCCAAATTGCACCAGTTTTTATAAGAAAGTTGTAAGTTGGTTCATTTATTATCAAATAATTAAACATTTAGAGATTTCATGCAATCTTTAAAAAGAATCTTTTAAGAAATCTTCATGAAGATTTAATCCCTTAGGTAAAGCTGTATGCTTCATGTTTCTTTGAAATGTAATTTATATCAAATTGTGTGAAACGTAACAAGTGCCCTATAATCTTCACCTTTCTCTGTTGTAAGTTGAAATAGTCTGATTTGAGAGCTTTTGTCTGTGATCTCTAAACCTGAGCATGTCCTGATCTGAAAATTAGAATAATGGTTGATCAGCATTTCATCTTGACTCCATTGTAATCCCACTTATCTGCAACATAAAGGGATTTATACTAAAATCTCCGTACTGAATAATTTGTTTGTGCAGTTATCTTTACACTGTTTTGGGATGTTTCTTTAAATGCCTATTATGCTCAATAGCAGTTATCGCGGTGATTTGCCTAGCAGAGCCCACACCGTTGGCACAAATGATTTTGGTTATGGCGTGTATCGATGTGTACATGGACAAAGTCAAGGGAGTGTGCATTTCTCCGATGTTAGTTTAGAACTACTCTTATATGCATCCTCAGGTCGCCAAATGCGACGAGAAACTTCACGCCGCCATATTACTGTCTAAATTTTTTGGCTGCATTTCGAACTTTTAGCCTAAAATGTCTGCCAAAAACGGGATTTTCGCACATGCAAAAACCACGTTTTGAACACACAATTTAAGCTAAAAATCTGGAACAAAAAAATTTAGTTAGCAAAAATGTAAAGTTTCGAACCAAAAATATTCGACAAGAATCCATGAACACAGTGATATGTTTTAACTTTAAAAAAAAATCACAGAATTGCACAATCTATACAGCAAAGGAATCTACGAACTACACACACCTAGCTAAAATTACATAACCACAATAAATTTCAAAGAATACTATATACACAGCTTTCTGTTTAAACTTTAAAAAAATCTACGAATTGCACAATCTAAGCTGCGAACTACGCACACCTCGCTTTAATATCTAAATTAACATAACAAATAAAATTCAAGAATACCGTGTACACAGCGTTCTGTTTAAACTTTAAAAAACGTCTACAAATTGCACAATCTAAGCATTGAGCACTAGTCAACAAAATAAACTAAAATAATTACAATAAACTTCAAATATTTAAAAAATAAAACAACAATAACGACAGAAATTCATATTAAAAAAACAATGAACCTAACATTTTACTAAATAAGAACAAGAATAAAACAAAATGCGTCTTCGAACAGCAGAAATACCAATTTCAAACATTACCAAAACAGTTTCACCACAAATTTGTTAAAAGCATCTTCTGTTTCAGAACAACGACTAAAAAATTTATAAACCACCAAATAAAACTCCAAATCGCATTTCGAATTATAAGTTGGCAACGTCACTTTGACACGCTGCCGCGTAATCTCTGTCGTATTTATATGACAGCCAGACTCACTATCCACAAAATTGATAATATTTTTACGAAATGTCCAGGTGCGTTGAGATAGCTTCCCTGCAAAGAAGGTTTACGGTTGCCATAAAATGGCAAGGGAAGGCAGGGTTGCCACATTTGACGTCCAAATCTTGACAGGAAACGGCACAACAGTTTTGAGTTCTGGGAAATTTTGAATTGCAGAAGTCTATCACTAAGTGAATGAACACCCTCCTAGGAAACCTCATGAGTAAGGAATGACACTTGGGATTTTCCAAAAACACGTTTTAATGGATTGACAACTACATTATAGGACTGAAATCATCGGTCAAGAACTAAACGAAGGTGTTCAATGTACTCATTTTTGTTTGTCAAAGCTACAAGAATATCATCGAAATATGGCACACAAAAAGCGGAGTCGCGAAGGACTTCATTTATGAAATTCCGAAACGTTTGTGAAGCGTTAAACAACCCAAAAGTCATAACAGGAAATTCAAATAATCCAAAAGGAATTTATGGCAGCAGTGTTTGGCATATCAGGTGGATTGACTAGGATCTGATGAAAAGCATGGGTCAAATCTAATGTAGAAAAAATACTTTTGCCTTCCAAGACTTGCATGTAGTCCTGAATATGAAGAACTGGATATCTATCAGGCAAAGTAACTGCATTAAGTAAGTAGTAATTGCTGTTTGTTGGTAGTCCCCACAAGGATGCCAGTCACAGTTTTTCCTTAGGAATCATGTGTAGTGGACTGGCCCATGAACTTTTTGAGGGCCAGCGAATTCCCTGTCCAAGCATATATTTAAATTCTTCTCTTGTGGCTCTTAATTTCTCGGGAGGCAATAACCTTGCTTTAGCAAAGATTGGTGGTTCTATGTGATGCCCAATATCGTGGTCAACAGTTGGTCTTCCCATTACCAAGCGGATGATGTTAGGATACTGCGGCTGATCTTTAGAATATGGTAACTGGTAGTTTGGCGATAAAGGTTACTACCTGGGACTTAGGTAATAATGTGAGCAGTACTTGGTTCCGATTACGCATTATTTTGTGTGAGGGAAATGAGAGATCATGGGATATGTCATGTGATATTAATGGACAAATTACGGTTCTTTAATCGGAAAAAGGGGGAATTTGGAAAAATATCTGTGGCTGTATATTATTTTGTATTAAGCTTCATTGTGTGTTGTGTGAAGTAGGGTTGAATAATTTTGGGATTGTATGGCGCTGTCTAAAGTGAATTCTAGATTTTTAATACGTTTGTGTGATAATTCAAAAGAATTGGTTGAATGGTGCATGAGTTTAGGTAATTGCGGATAAGTATGAATGTCCACAATGTGGGAATGAAATGAGATTGTGTGAAAGGAAGGATATTACTGATAAGTTTCAATGGCGGTGCAAGAAATCTGGTGAAAATGGACATTTTGTGAAACGGAGTGTAAGGAAGGGTACGTGGTTTGCTGAAATCATTTGAGTATGGGTGAGATTTTATTGATTTCTTATTATTGGGTGAATAGATTGCCAGTTGGATTTTGGATTTAGAAATTAGCAGTAGGACTGCAGCTGATTGGAATTCTTTTTGTAGGGAAGTGTGCGTGGAATTTTGCGAAAATGATATGGGTATGCTTGGTGGTATGAATGTTATTGTGGAAATTGATGAGAGTAAGTTTGGGAAGCGGAAGTATCAGAGAGGTAGAAGAGTGGAAGGAAAATGGGTGTTTGGTGGGATTGAAAGGGGTAGTAATAAATGTTTTTTTAAGGTTGTGCGAGATAGAAGTAAAGATTCTTTATTAAGTTTTATAAAAGAATATATTCTACCGGGTACTATAATTATTTCAGATTGCTGGAAATCATATGAATGTTTGGAAGATGAAGGTTTTAAACATCTTGCTCTGAACCACAAATATTATTTTAAAGATCCGGAAATAGGTGCACATACCAATACAATAGAGGGCACATGGAGTGCTATAAAAAGCGCCATTCCGAGGCATTGTGATAAGGAGAATTTTGCTTTTTATTTAGCGGAGGAAGTGTGGAGAAAAAATTCTGAAAAAAAATCGTTCAATAATTTTATTGAATCCATTATAAAAGTGTATCCATTATGCAAGCAAGATTCTGAAGAAGATTAGGTAAGTTAGACTTTGGTAATAATGTGAGCAGTACTGAGTTCCGATTACACATTATTTTGTGTGAGGGAAATGAGAGATCATGGGATATGTCATGTGATATTAATGGACGAATTACGGTTCTGTAACCGGAAAAGGGGGGAAATCGGGAAATTTTGTATTTGGCTTTATTCTGTGTTGTGTGAAACAGTGTTCGTTAATTTTTGGATCCCATGGCCGTAACTAAAGTGAATTCGAAATGGGTATTTAGTGGAATTGAAAGGGGTAGTAAGAAGTGTTTCTTTAAGGTTATGCGAGATAGAAGTAAAGATGTTTTATTAAGTTATTTATTTTACCTGGTACCTTGCTGTGAAATATAAGTATGATTTTAAAGATCCTGAAACAGAAAGAAGAAAAGTTTATCGGACACATAATCAAGATTCTGAAGAAGATTAGGTAAGTTAGTATTTTTAATTATTTGAGGATATTATTTTTATGCATTGTTCTAAATGTAAGGTGGAATAAAGGAATTTGGTATTATTGGGAAAATTGTTATTAGCAATGATTTAGTTTAAAGTAATTAGGATTGTAAGGTAATTTTTATTAATTTAATGTATGTATTCATTTATATTTTAAGTAGTGTTTTTAAATTTAATTATATTTTAATTAAATGATAGTTCTTTTGTGAATTTTATGTTTGTAGGAATTTGGTATACGTTTTAGTTGAAGTAAACGTGCATGGAAATAATTTAAATATCTGACACTAAGTATTTGTAATGGTTGCGGTATGAATTCGTTGGTGACGTTTATAATATAATAGATGATTTAGAGGTAAAAGTTTTTGGATATTTTATTTATTTTATATGTGGAGATGTTCATATTTGGAAAGGGTAAATACTTTTTCGCGATCAGGTAATTTCATATATGTTCTTTTTACTGGGTTTAAAGATTCAGAAGATTGTCATGTATTTTCGTGAAATTTTTCTAATTTATGAGAAAGGATATAGTGAAGAGTGTGCACAATGCCATTTTTGTGCAATTCGGGGATGTTTTTTTTAAGTAAAAATAAGTCGACGTGCACATGGTTTACGTGTATGTGTTATTTTGAAAAACGTGCAAGGAGTTTGGTATTGTGCACTTTTTCCCAATTTTGCAGTGAATATTTGTCATGAATAAGCAGTTTTGTTAGATAAAATTTCTAGCATAAGTGTAATTCGGCTAGTAGATTGTTGGAAGAAGTGTTCAGTAGATAAAAAGAAAAGAAACATGTCTTTACTTCGTGAAGACAAAATGGCGGCGGGAAAAAAAAATAGAGGGTTGCTGTAGAGAGTTGGTCGCCAAATTTTCGCCAAAAAAATGCCAAGTTACCATAATGTAAAGATCAACCGATACTGCTCGAGTAGTTTGCGGAAAGGAGAATTACCGGCAATTAATATAATTCCAAAATTAGTGGCAATTCTTATATCACCTAAAGCAGACAATTGTATGATTGAGTTGAGTAAGCGTCGATTTTTAATGTCTACCAAAACAGGAAATTTTGGTAGAAAGTCAGCACCGGTTATTGGGTGCAAAACGGCAGCTATGACAAAAGGCCATTGAAATTTGCGACGCAAATTGAAGTCTAAAGACGTTAATATCTCTCAAAATGTTGCAATTTTTTATCCATTAGCTGCGAATAAGTTTAATTTTCCTGGCGGATGTCTTGATTCGGCAAGAGAGAGAGATACGACTGAAATATCCACACCTGCATCAGCAAGAAAGCGCCTGCCTGACAGTTTATCAGTTACAAATAATTGACTAAATGCACTGGCCACTCGTGGCTTCGAGCGATAGCCCACTCTATTTAAAGAGGTTTGTTGGAATGTGCATGGAGGCTTACACTTACATGCTTTATCACAATCATGAGTGATAGAAATAAATTTCTTTTTTCTTGCTGGACCATGTGCGTTGGTAGTTCCTATTATGTTGTTTGCTTGACTTTGATCTGCCATGCGAGTGATACTAAGATCGTGTCTGTTAAGCTGCAACCTACAGTGATAATTTCTAGATTTGTTGCTGGAGCGATGAAATATCAACACTTGAATGCTGAACTTGATTAATTGCTTGTGGCTGGAATCGTGAATTTTGTCTGCCAACTGGGTTAGATTTGTGTTACTAGTGGCAAGAATAGTTTGGATATTGCTCGTGAGACAGTTGAACCACTATGATTGTAAAACATTTAATTTAAAGTTCCTGCATTTTTTACAATAACTGGGATGGGTGCAAATCGCCAAGTTGCAAATCCTGCAACAGCTGCTTTAGTTTGGTATTTTCAGATTCCTCGTACACTGAAATTAATTTATTTTTCTACTCCTCATATTTGTTATCTGAGGTTAGTTTTCAGAACTACCTCACAGACTGACTGTAGAATTTCGGTGTTGAGGGTACAAATTGCAGTATAAAATTTAGTGTCATGATGTATTATACCTCCAAGCTTGAATTGAAGTCAGATCAACAAATAGAACTTTTCAGGTTCATCAAGAATTGATATTAAATAAAACTAAAGCAAAAATTTCATTAATGTGTTGACATCACACTTATCCATTATTGGTGCTAAATTTGATTGTTTGGTAACAGTTTTTATTTATTGAAATGTTTAACGGCATTTTGGTAACAGTTTTTATTTATTGAAATGTTTAGCGGCATAATATGTAAGTAATAAAACAAAAAAGTCAGAAAATTTATGTGCCAGTATTTTTATTGTTTGCAATTTGCAAAGCAGCTATCTAAAATTATTTTTTGTTGTTTTATTTTACTGTAGGTATGGCTAGTAGGGCTGAAACTGAAGCCTCCATAAATAATGACCATGGCTTACTTGCAAAACCATTACACTTGCAACGTTTGGAACAGGCTCTTCGTTTGGAACCTTTTCTGGATTATGTTCAAAATGTGTTTAATAAGACTCAAAGGTATATTAATTTTAAATTTGTATCGGCTGTTTATCTTTTGTATTTTTAACTGTGTAAAGTGATGGGAATTTGTTTTGATGAACATAGTATCAATTTGCAAATGACCAAGAGTTCTGTCACCAAAACTTCTAAATTCTACTAAAAAAAAAGTATTTTTTTAAATTTAGTTCTAAAATATACTTGTTACTTTAATCTGGATTCTTTTCCTTCCAGTATACTTACTGCCTTAATGTTTTGGATTCATTGAGGTGTCTTTGTATGTGTATATATATATATATATATACAAACTAAGAGCCATCTGTAGCTCGATCTGTCAGCTATAATGCTACAAAATTTAGTAAGAGAACTAATGATGACATCAGGAAAATTGATTCCATGAAAAAAATAGTTCAGAAAATTGCCAGTATGGGAAAACCTGGATGCAAATAAGATTTGACAAATTGATGACAAAGACAAAATTTCAGTGCAAGACATCCAACAAATTAACTCACTCAGTGTGTTACAGACATATTTTAGTACACTATTAGCACTTTATTCAATAGAAGTGCTTCCTTTGCAAGATGGTATAGACCTCTTACAGTGTGCTCATCCTTCTCACAGATCGCACATAGCCAATAGCATCCTATACACATAACATTCTCGATATTTTGCTATTTAAGGTCGGGACCTCACAGAAATAGATATTGAATTTCCATAACCATACGGGAAAATTCACATGGGTTAGATCCGGGGAGTGGGGTAGCCATGCGAGTGGAACAAAGAACTTGTGAGCTTTTCTTCTGTAAAGTGATGGTGCAACAGCCACTGTTTTGATAAATCATTGTGTGGTGGTGCTCCAGCCTGCATTAAGTTACCTGGTACAGCGACTGTCTCTGCTGAAGTTTAGAGGGACAAAACTAGTTACACCTTTGCATGGTAATGGTACAGATATGTGGTTCTGTTAATGTTCTAAAAAAAAAAAAAGACCCACTGATGAAATTTGTTGTGAAGCCATAACCAAACAGTGTTTTGGTAAAAGATTTATGGAATTGTTGAAAGATTCAAATCGAATTATGTTGTTTTCTGGAAGAGTACCTTCAGTGATTGCAATCATTACATGAGTAACTGCAGTCCTTAAAAGTCCTAATTTTTGCCTAAACCAGCAAAAAGTCCTTAATTTTATTCATCTGACATTTCTGTTTTTTACAAGTGCCATTTTGAGTGCTAATTAACATTTTTTGGGGAAATTTTTTTTGGTGATTCATTGACTAATATGTATTTGATGCATTATCATTTGAATTCTTTCCTACTTCTAATATAAATGGTGCAGTTCCTAAATTTTGGGCACAAGACCCCCCCTGTATTGAAACATAAACATTTTGAAATTATTTCTCTTTTGAGAAAGAAGAGTTTATAAAATATTACATCAAAACAACTTTTTCTTTTTGAGATATTATTTCTTTAATTTTGCGGTGCTAAATTTAGTAACTTATTATTTTGGTGATTTCAAGATACTTTGTATGCAAAATGTTTGATGTGGAAATTTGCGAATTTTTCGATTTTTTTTCTTTAGAAACATAATAAAATTGATAAATATTAAAATAATGGTATCTGTTATAATTGTAATTAAGAAATAGCATTAAAATGAAACATTTTTATTTTCATGCGTTATATTTTAAAATGACATTACTTTCCATTTTACTATCTAAAAAATACTTTAATTCTGAAAAACAAATAAGATAGCAAATGCTATAAAATAGTGTGTTTGAAGCTCTTAGAAAAAGCAGAAAGGTTTTTTAATTGTTTAAAAATTAATTTCATCTGTTTTCGCTTGTATTTTTTTTATCAGTGTTTTCTCATGTAGTTGTTTCAGAATGTTCAAATGTGTATCAGTTTTCTCTTAAAAATTCATTTTACACTTCTTTCTTCTGGCTGTTTGCTCTTACAGAGTGGGATAATTTTTAGACGTGGCACCTTGGAAGGTTTAGAAGGAATTGAAAGCAAGATTTATAGACAAATGGTACCAAATTGAAAAATGTGTTAACATGTGATGAATTGGTTTTATAGAAAATTTATAATTATTTTTTTTTAGAACTTTTGCACGAATAGTGAAAACAAAGTTATTTGAATTTTATACTTTTGATCCTAAAAAGCTTTCTTTTAAAATGTTTATCTGCACACTGTTTTCTCATCTTAGACACAAAGCAGAAAGGAGCAGAAGAGGTTCCAGTCTTGTCTCATGTACAAGTATACATGAAAACTGACAATAAAAAATATTCATCTACACTGAAGTGACAAAAGTCATGGGATAGGAATATGCAAATATACAGATGGCAGTAGTATCGCGTAGAAAATGTATAAATGCGAAGTGCTTTGGCAGGGCTTTCATTTGGGTTCAAGTTATTCATGTGAAGAGGCTTTGACGTGATTATGGCCGCACGACGAGAATTAACAGACTTTGAACGCGGAATGGTAGTTGGAGCTAGACGCATGGGTCATTCGGTTTCAGATATCGTTAGGGAATTCAACATTCCGAGATCCACAGTGTCAAGAGTGTGCTGAGAGTATCTAATTTCAGGCATAACATCCCACCATGGACAGCGCCACCTGCACTTAACGACCAAGACCAGCGACGCCTGCGTAAAGTTGTCAATGTTCACAGACAATCAACACTGCGTCAAATGACAGCAGAAATCAATGTGGGACGTACGAAAGACCTGTCCGATAGGACAGTGCGGCAAAATTTGTCTTCCTTGGGCTATGCCAGCAGAAGACCGACTCGAGTGCCTTTACTGACAGCACGACATCGCCTGCAGCGACTTGTGAGCAGCGTGGGCTCGTGAGCGTATCGGTTGGTCCCTAAATGAATGGAAAACTGTGGCTTGGTCAGATGAGTCATGATTTCAGTTGGTAAGAGCTGATGGTAGGGTTCGAGTGTAGCGCAGACCCAACGAAGCCATGGACCCAAGTTGTCAACAAGGCACTGTTCAAGCTGGTGGTGGTTCCATAATGGTCTGGGCTGTTTTTACATGGCATGGACTCTGTCCTCTGGTGCAACTGAACCGATCATTGACTGGAAATGGATACCTTCAGCTACTTGTGGAGATCACTTACAGCCATTCATGACTTCACACACTCAAAGAATGATGGGACTTTTATGGATGACAATGCGTCATGTCACCGGGCCACAATTGTTCGCGATTGGTTAGAAGAAAATTTTGGACAACTCCAGCGAATGATCTGGCCACCTAGATCGCCCGACATGAATCCCATCGAACATTTATGGGACATCATCGAGAGGTTAGTCGTGCCCAAAACCCTGCACCGTCAACACTTTCACAGTTATGGACGTCTATAGAGGCAGCATGGCTCAATATTCCTGGAGGGGACTTCCAACGACTGCATACGTACATATATTTCTGCATTTTATTTTGATAACAGAAAAGTACCAGTTTGTCTAATAGTATGCCATTGTTAACCATTTTAGTCATTTCCCAGATGTTGAGTTATACGGTGTTAATCTTTACCAATTCTCATAAAGAATTTCTTGTTCATTTATAGTATTACAAATAAATGCATATCATGTTTCTGATTGAGAGCAAAACTATGTTTCATTTCAAACAAAGCGTATTGCTGCACATCTTGAAATATACGAGGGCCATCCAGGAAGTAGATTACGTTTCCGTCTGTGTCCGCTAGGGGCGGGGCTAGCGCGGCCATCTTGGGGTCAGAGCGTTACGCAGCTCAGTCTGCATCTAGCCGTGCTAGTGAGAGGTTCGTGCTGTGCTCCGTTCAGATACTGTGACGGTTTGAAATGTCTGCGTTAATTGAAAATCCCGCGAGCTGCGAGGTGCGCTCAGTAATAAGGTTTCTGACTGCAAAAAACTGTAAACCGATAGAAATCTATCGGCAGCTTCGTGAAGTGTATGGGGACAACATTATCACTGAAGGTGGAGTGCATCAGTGGGTCATAAGATTTCAAAATGGCCGAACCAATGTTCACGACGAAGATTGAAGTGGGAGACCCAGCATAGTGACCGCCGAACTTCTCGAAAAAGTCGATGCTAAAGTCCGTGAAAATCGAAATTTCACAATAACGGAACTTTCTTTGAGTTTTCCACAAATTTCGCGAAGTTTGTTGCACGAAATCATCAGCGAAAAGCTTGGTTACCACAAGTTTTGTGCAAGATGGAAGGCAAGAAGAGGTAACGAAGTGGTTGAAGGCGCAGGCGGCCGAATTTTTCGTCGAAGGAATTTCCAAGCTCGTACATCGCTACGATAAATGCCTTAATTTGTATGGTGACTATGTAGAAAAGTAGTATTTGAGTGTGGCTTTCATCTGTATATAATAAAATTTGTTTCCTATACTTTGTTTATTTTTTTATTCCAAAACGTAATCTACTTTCTGGATAGCCCTCGTAGAAAAAGTAACATTCCCTAATCCTACTCTATTAAGTGTTCCCGGATTAACGGTAACTCAAATATTATAATTTCTTTCTTTAAAAGTTCTATTGAAAATTTCACTTTTAACCCTCTGACTGCTTAATTTGTGGACCGAAATCGCTTCAAAAATTGTGCAAATTTTTTTTTTTTTTTTCCCCCCATATTTTAAATCTATATACAGTTAAAAGTTGTAAATTCGGACACCCATGACCCGGAATGATCTATAATCCGGACCTCAAAGCTACAAACTTTCTGCGCATGCGTCGTATTGATGACCTTTACGGCTGCGAGTATGCGTGTGCGCATGCACGTTTAATGTATAACGGACAGTATAAGCTAAGCTAAAATTATCTAATTCAGTTAATGTTGCAGAATGCGTTGTTCCTTAATATTCGAATTGGATCCGGCTTATTATTTTTTGCAGACTGTTAGAGCAATTTTATAAAAGTAAGCTTGAACTTTCGATTATGTCAAATAGAATTTCTGAACGAAGCAACCTAAACAACTTACATTGAAAGAAATGTTTAATAAAGTAAACAAATAAATATTAAGCTTTTCTTTTATTTTCTTTTTTTTTTTTTTTTTTTTTTTTTTTTTTTTTTGTAAATTTTAATACCCTTTAGATCATAATTGTTCTTTATTTCATAAATTACGGTTTCATATATTTAATTTTATAATTTCTGCATGCCATCTTACCAGATTTAAATTGATGATCTATAATCTGGAAAAACCCCTAATCTGGAATCGCCGAAGAAGGATTAACGACTTTTGACTGTATATATATTAGAGAATTGAAAAATGCATTTTTCCTTTCTAGAAAATATATTTTTATATAGATATTTATCATGAGAAACTTAAGTTGCCAAAAAAACCAATTTCAAATGTTATCACCCAAAAAAAAATTTTTTTTTTTAAATAAATTTCAGTAGAATTACAGTTAATTTCTATTTATTGCATAATATCAAAAAGTAAAATATATAAAATTAAAAAAAATATAAAGCACTGAGCAGAAAAAACCTTAGAAATGCAGTTTAGTATGATAGAGTTCAAAACAGGTTCGAGGCAAAGTCCAGCTTCACAGTTTTTGCACCAGATTCAATAAATCTAATTAATAATTCAATAATTTAATTAAATAATCAAGATAATCGCTGAATGTTTTTCTAGCAGCCATTTCTGTAAGAAAAAAACACAAGAAGGCAAGTTTAAGCGGTAATACCACGTGCCTTGAAATGCTCCAATTAAGTGGACAACTAACGATATCTGTTGGCCCAAATGTAAACTAAACGTCTAATACTGTATATAATTTATTTCAGGCATTAAATGGAGGAAAAACGGGATGTGCTCCTTGATAAAAGAAAAAAAACGCATGCCCGCGGGATGAGCAGCCAGAGGGTTAATCTAAAATGTGTAGAATCTACAAATAAATATTGGTGATTCATTATTAACTGTTTTTATTCTTGCATTCAACATCATGTAATTTTTCGATTAAGTATTTCTTTAAATTACTTTGTATGTAAGTAAGTCTGCTGGTATAGTACATCGTAAAATGTTTTATGTTTTGACTACCGCAATTTCCGGAAGAAAGGCCACATCAGCATAAACGCCGCACTCGAGAAAAATGGCGGAAAAAAAAATTAAATTGCACAGAAACGCTGCACTAGATTAAATTGCGCGTGACATCGTCGTGGGCTGTATAGATGCAAAATCTCAACCTATGTCCTGATATATGACATATCAGTCAAGAAAAATGCATGAAATGAAACCATAACTCAAAAATAAATTAAAGGTAAGAAATGTTGAAAATATATTTACGTTCACGAATATACTTATATTTACCCGCTAAAGACGTCCATATTTGTAATACTCAAACTATATTGTAAAAAATGTTGCAACGAAATATTAAATTTGGATGACAAAAGGAAATTTTAAATTGTACTTACAAAAGGAATTATAGCAAACTATACATCATATGAAGCCATCAAAATTTGATTCTTCACCATCTGAATTAAAAAGGTTTAGTAAATCCTGATCTAAGTCCAAGTCTTCCAGATCGTCACATTCATCCTTTTGGTTTACATTATCTTTATCTAAGGATATAATTTCAGCTTCTTTGAACCCTGCTATTAATGACGATGTTTTTACCGATTTCCACGCACTTCCTACTCATATTGCAACTTTTTCATAAGATGCTCTACGCATTTTACCGCTTTTGGTATATGTATGCAATCCTTCACTCATCCAGCACTCCCACTGTTTTCGGACTTCAGCTTTGAAGGATTTATTACCTGACAAATCTAATGGTTGTAAGATTTTTGTCAAACCATCAGGAATTATTGCTACGGTCGTAGACAATTTTTGACATCTGGTTTTCACTGACTCAAGTAAATGAGCACGCGTGGAACCCATATCAATAACCCTTTTGGTTGGAAAAAAGATCCCTTACAACACTGCCAAACTTTTTGTAGCCAATCATGCATAATTGTTTCGCACATCCAGCCGTTTTCGTTTGCACAAATAATTACGTCATTAGGAAAATCTCCCTTCGGAATAGTTTTTCGTTTAAAAATGATCATCAATTTTAGCTTGTCACCATTTGCGGCACAAGCTAACACACATGTAAATGACATTCTTTCATGCCCCGTCGTAAGCACAGATACAGTTTTTGCACCAGTTTCATCAACAGTTCTGTTTGCAGGAGAGTCGAAAGCTAACAGCATTTCATCCATATTTATTATCTGTGACTGAAGAATTTTTTTTGGTCAATAATATCTGTCACATAGTTTTAAAAAGATGCATTTTTATCCTGCCAGTCCATTGGTAATTATTGCCTGACTGTTGCTCTATTACGCACAGAAATATTTTTTCTTTTCATAAATCTGCTACACCAGCAAGGCCGAATTTGCCATTCCCTTTCCTCGTTGCTCCTTTATCCAGTTTGCAAGGTCGTGCTCTAGATTCGGCCACCTTACAGTACCACTTCTTTTGGCTCGTTTCTGTTGTGGCATATTTTTAAGTTCTTCTTTTTCAGTTCTCCAACATCAAATAATCTCTCGTCCACTTCAAACACTCGAGCCGCTGCTCTATTTCCAATTTGCTCAGCAAGTGAAATTACATTAAGCTTAAAACCAGCAGTATAGCTTCTGTGCCGTTTAGGTGCCATTTTAAAAAAATTTCCCCCTTCTTCTTACTTAAAAACTATTCAACAAGTACTTTTACCCAAACTGATGGCATCTGTATCTGGCAGAATGCCAAGAAAAATTGATTTTATGCTGAAAGGGAAATACGTCAGAGTTCGGAGTGGTGTCCACCTTTGGAAAAAATTGCAGAAAAGGCAGGGGTGGGGAGAGGATGGGTCCTGGAAGATTCATCGAATGGCAGAGGAGAGAGACTATTCAAAATGCTGATTTGAAAGGGGGAAGAATGTTATTGTTCTGAGATCCCATTTAGGGTGAATAAGGCATGTAGTTCAAGGGAAAGAATGTAAACAAAATAGCATTCGCAAAAAGCAACTGAGTGGTCTTTTGTGTGGTAACAGCACCAGTCTATGTGCAGTGAGCATCATATTTTATTTTTAGTGTACCTAAACGCCACATGGGTAGAAACGCTGCATCCGCTGAAAATTTAAGTTTTAAACATTAAAAATGCCACAGTGTGTCTTCCGGAAATTACTGTACATTTTAGTCTCATTTAACTTTTTAAATGGTGATATTGCCTATGACCTATAAATTGATAGCATGTATTACCTCGAAATTGACCTCAATATAATGTATAATCATTTCTAAAATAAACATCATAAAATATCACAGTGCGCTGTTAAAGGAATTCACCATGATCAGACTTTGCATTTATATATTCCAGTCAATAGACTAAAGTATTCACCATGATCAGAATTTGCATTTATATATCCAAGTTAATAGCATCCGTATAGCACAAATGAGGATTCTTATCTATAAAAACAGAATCTTTCAGTATGGTATCATATTTATCAACCAAACATCCAGTATGGCATATAACTTTGCCAGAATGTTTGCCAAACAGACTCGCCTCCTGGCTGATACGGTGGTCCTAAGTTGTGGTTAGGCCTTAAAGTGCGGTGCACTTGAGTTTGTAGAAGAAGCATTACTAGTAATTAGTTACATGTCAATATGTTCATACGTGTTGGATGGCTATGGTTTTCAGTCCTGGTGAGTAAGAAAGGTGTTTATATGATTATACAGCAGAAATGTAATTAAATTGTGTGTTACTTTTAAGAGCCATAATGAAACACATGAAATGTTGTGGTAAGAAGACTACTGTGCTTCAGTATTTCAGTGATAAATCACACACAGTGTTAAAATTTCTATTTTGTAGTTGCACAAAAGCAGCATTATCTCTATGGGTTTTTTTTTTTTTTTTTTTTTTTTTTTTAAATAGTGCTATTTGTTAGAAGACTACAACACATTAAAAATTAGGATAAAACTTTTATTAATAGCATTATAGTATATTAACTTTCACTTGTTTTAATATTACTATGCTTAGCTTAATTTAAATTTATGGGTAGTGTTGTTATTAATGCTGCCAAATATGGAAGCCTTATATAAAAGTATAACTTACTTTTTCCTTTTTTTTTAATAATCTAGAAAAGTATTCATTAAAGATTTAAATATTTTCTCTTTTACATTTTATAAAAATATTTGCTATACATTTTAGTGATGCTGATAATGCAGATGAAGGTAGCCATTCTGACTACGAATTGGATGACGAAATTTTTCGTGAAAAGTTCAATTATCGACAAGGTAATTTGTAATGATAACCATTTATTCATCATAATGAGTAATAATAGTGATTGTATTCAGGTTTCATTTGGTAAAATTCATTTGAAATTATCCTTGAACATTTGTGTAAGAAAATATTTGACTAATGATATTTATGTGTATCTATTATTCTTACTTTTATAGGTTTTCTAAAATGAGATTTAAAAATATGTGTTAAAAATGCAGTGAGATTTCTAAAAGCAGAATTTTTTGGGATGAGATTGAATGATATATTAATAAAAACTGTCTTTTAATGACAAATGCAAAATAGGCTATTTAATATGCAAAATATGTTATTTTCAGTTGGTAAAATTTTTTATATATGAAATCTGTCAATGTTTAGCATTGGTTTCCGTAAATTTAAGGAAATCTTTCAATTATAGTTGAATAAATTGTTGTATGCATGTACAAAAACACTCCAGTTAGCTCATTTCAGACTGGGGGGGGGAATTATTGTTTATGAGTCAAAGCTGTTGCATCACTGCAGTGGCAGTGTGAAAGCATATAAAGCATGAATGGCATTAAGTATTGGGTCTTTCATGCATGTCCATATTGGCAGTAACTGTAATGAATGTGTGAGGAGTATTTTGCTAGCATGACCATTAACTCAGTCTCTAAACCAATAATGGAATATTAAAATTTGCTTGGTAATTGTATATGCGAACTATGCATTCCAAATCATTGTGCAAGGTACCATTAAGATGTAAATGGTTTCTAAATTCCTTAATATTAATGTGCTGTGTTGGACTGCTGTATGGCATATTGAGCCATTATCAGTTTTTGTTAGTTCCTTAGCTGGAGACCTACACTGCACCAAAAAAAAGAGAGACAGTTCTGTATCTCCCGTTCTACTGGGCTAATTGACGAAATTCAACTTGTGTTTTTTCATGTCTCGAAAGTGCGACTTAGGATATGTGTTAGATTTATATATAGCACTGTTCTAACATATTGTTACGAATTTGGTATTTAAAAAGCTAATGTTAGTTCAATTATAAATTAAATGGTTTCATTTCCCGCGCAATGCAGCGCGTGACGAATATTAAAAGAAGAAAGCTAAGCCCGAAAATTAAAAATACAAGAGCACGTGCATTTAGCATTAAATAAATAAATATGTCTTTTTTGATTTCAAGAAATTACCAGAAAATTCTCGCACGTGATTTAAAAATCTTATAAATAGGAGGAAAACCTCTCAATTCGAGAGTTAGTTTGTTGTTGTTCTAAGAGTTTGTTTAAAAAACTGCTCTTGTCGATTGTAGTGAATTCCTGGATTAACTTTCTTTAGCTGTTTTGAATTAAGTTCTATTGAACGTTTGAATAGTTAGAAGATAACTACTGCAATATATTGTGATACTGCACGATTATTTAAGGACATTTAATCATATTTGTTGTGATAATAATAAATTTTTTTCATTTTTCATCGGACTTGTGCATTCATTTCGTAACGAACCCGTGCACACGCAACAATATGTATTTTGACACAAAATCGGACTTTTTTTTTAAACGACATGCCAATTTTTCCCCATATTTCGATTCTACAATTCAAATTACCAAGTTTTGTAAAAATCACACGAGTAGTTTAAAAAATTAGCTCTCAAAATTTTAGCTTCTCAATGTTAATTCAATTTGGTATGTATTCATTAATATCTCTTTTTTTTAATTAAGCTTATTTGATTTCTTGGCACTATTAAGCATAAAGCTTTTAATGGTATTTGGATTGACAAAGATGAAAAATGTTGCTTTACACAAATATGTGGTGCTGAATAGCAGAAGAACATTTAATGTCATTTCAGAAATTGTGGGAAATTCAGTTCTGACTCAGTCAGTCAGAATTCAGTCAAAGATTTCTGTGGAAATTTAAGGTTTAAATATGAGTAACTCGATAGATTAACAAATTCTTCGGCTTTATGTGGCAGGGGATTAATGTCAAAAAATGTAATTTATTTGAATTCTTATATCTGAATTAAGTTTTCACAAGCAAAACATTTCCTTTTTTGGTGCAGTTTTAAGAAACGCTGTTATGGTTTTCTCAGTATATATTCATACAGTGTTACTTTCCCTTTTCAATTTTCAAATTTACTAAAGGGTAAATTCATTAGGTATACTCAGTTTAATTTACTTTAAATTAATTTTTATATACTTAAATAATTTCTGCAATATTTATTTTCAGAAAGGCGCTGTGATAAGCTACGACTCTATAATTTCAGCAAAGTTAAGAAAAGTCGAATATGGCTAAAGGTATGTTTTGTAGAGTATGGTTAAAGGTTTCATTATGTTATTGCATATTTTTTTATTCGTATAATTGTTCTTTATTACATGTAATTTTCTATTTAGGATATTTTGTTGAGTGATTCTTCTGATTCGGATAGCAATGATTCTATTACAGAGGAGGATCTTCAGGATATGTTAAAATTGCACAAATTACAAAAAAGTGCTCAAGCTGAATTTCACAACAATCCAGATGTAAATATTTTCTGTTAGCTTTTTTGTGTTAATAACATAAAATAATAACTTGTTTTATTGTATGTCTTTTTTCCCCTCCTTAGTTGCGACAGTATCAGTACTATGGCTCTGGTTTGCTATCTAATTATGATAAATTTTACGATCATCAAAAACTAGTGCTGGGTGGTAAAAAGCTGAAAGAAAAGAAAATCGAGAAAAGAAAAGGTAAGTATGACATTAAAATTACGATTTGAAGTTGCTACATCAGAAGTATAAATGTAAATGGTAATTATTGTTTGTTCTTTTGTGTTGTAATTTATTTACTACTGGTTAAATTGAAACATTGAAAAAAGTAACTGTTCCATTTGAAAATTGTGCTGTATAAATGGCAGTGTCATGGTTATTGCTGAACTTTGGCACCAGAACTGCTACAGAAATAAAATCTGAGAATATTCTGTACCTAATTAGGGATAAAGCTGTTTCTATTTATTCGTGTTAAAAGTTAATGCCATAATTATTTAGCCTGTTAAATTTATCATTAAGGGGTTATGCTTTATCAACTAGCATTATTTAAACTTCCCTGGCAGAAATGACAATTTTATTCTTCATCCCTTCTTTTTCATGTGGAATTATATTATTTCTGCATTTTAGCATTGAACATTAGAAAAATAATGTAAAAGTTAAAGTCTTAATTTCTCATTTTCAGAAAATAGTTATAATAATGCCTATTATTTTTTATGAAGTGTAAAGTAAGCTGCTTTTAGTATTAACTAACCTCTACCATCTCTAACTAACCTCCAAATTGGTAACTGCATTTAAAAGCGATACCATTTTAATTTGTTTATGGCATTTTTCTGTACAGAGTAAACGAAGATTTAATTGCCAGTGTTACCTATGCATGCTTAAACTTCCATGAATTGAAGTTTACTTAAATTTGCAGGTGGTGGTTACTTGTTTAAAATGTCAACTCATTTTTACTTTCAGCTGACTTATTGTTAGTTGGTGTCAAGTTTGATGAGACGTGTAAATAATAAAGATATCAACCAACATTCGGTTTTTCTTTGCTTTAACGTTAGAGGTGTATTAAATATCGGAATTTGTGTGTTAATTTAGTGTTGAATGGGATTAAATGTGGCATGCAAACTAGAAATTAAATTAATTGTAAAATATGGTATATGAACTAACTAAGAAGCCATGAAAAAGCATAGATGAGACCATGCAAGTATCCCACCGAAAAGTATTCATGTGGCAGTCCTATTACAGGGAAGTAGAAATGAAGGTACCTTATTAGATATTGTAATGTTAAATATTATGTATTCTTATTGTAATGTAAGTTTCTTAAAACATTCTGTGGTATTTTCTTATTACCTACACCCCACCCTGAAATGCGTTCATGAGGCAATGAGTCAAAATAAACTCGTAATATTGAGCTAATCTTGTATTTCCACCCAAGTATATGTACACATGCAGCAGACAAGTGCCGATATCCACCAAAGGTCATATTCCCGCTTCAAATTCGTAGTGTTTGTTTTATAAGGAATTATAATGTAGAATTTGCAGCCTGATGAAAAAGAAAGCATTGCCTTTCATCAAAAATATGGCATTTTACCTAATAATGGAAGATGCAAAAATTTGCATTCTTTGTAAACAGTTGAATTTTATGGATCAGAATTTTTGTATCAATGCTGAATTTGTGCAATTCTTTTTAAAAGCAAAAACAGGTTGCTGTGTACATGGGAAAACAACAGTGTGTGCAATATCAAATTTGTGTTGTTCTCTAATTTTTTAAGCAAAAATAGGTTATTTTGTACGTGGAAAGAACCAACAGTATATGCAAAACTTTCTCTTTCTCTGATATTTTTAAAGCTAAAGCAAATTTCTGTATACATGGGTAAAAAAGTGATGTCCCAAAAAGTGTTTTATTATGAAACTTTCGTGCATTTAATTTTTTTAAAAAAAATTTGCTGTTGTCTTTCACATCTTAGCTTTGCAAAAAAACAGTTGCCACTGTTTGGTGACTTTTCAGGAGAGGGCTGTAGAAAATCAGAAAGTATCCCTTTCATGTAATTATATTAAAGTTGTCGTTAATGAGCAAAAGTCAGTCTCCATTCTTTTTTATCATAATATTTTTTCTTACGTTATTGAATATTTTGCAATTACTCTTTCTAGAATTTTTAGATTTGTGATATCAAGTTTAATATTGTGTTTTATTTTATACTGATGAAAATGTTTATTATTTTAGCTAAACTGAGGAAAATAAAATCAGAAGTTAATAAGAAAGATGAGCAGGTAAGCCCTATGTTCATAATTTTCTTAATAATAAAAGTTATGTATCTGAGAGGTCAGTGTTAGTTATTTTACTGATTTCTTTTACTGGAAATTTCAGTTATTGCCAAGTTTTGATGATAACTTGCAAATGAATGCCTACCTCTCAGTTTTGTATGTGAATCTTTAATGCTCACGTACACAGCGTCCATTTCTTAGCTTCATCGTATTCAACATTCATTATATTTTAGGTACTTACGTATTAATGCCACCGTTATTACGTATTAGATGCCTTTTTTTAGTGCTACGAAAATGCGTCTTTGGGATATGCCAAACACAGAAGAAGATGCAATTTTATTTTTTCAGGAGCGAAATATTTTACAAAAAAAAAAAAAAAAAGAAAGAAAGAAAATGTACCAATTCACATGATATGAAACTTTATTTTAGTAAACGTACATTTTGGAAATGTAATTTAAGACAGTGTGATCAGCAAGTGGGACTTGGAAAAGACAACTGGTTTGCAGGAAGCAGAATTCCATTTTGTTCAATTTTGAGATTCATATGCTGCTGGTGCGAGGAATTGACGTTGATTAAATTTTGTGAAAAACAACTTGATTTATCAGATAAAACTGTTATAGATTAGAACAATTACATGCGTTAATTATGTGTCTTGGATATGGAGAATAAACCAAACAAGAAGGTAAGTGGACCAGAGTGCATTGTGAAAATTGGTGAAAGTTTGTTTACTAAGCATACAAATAATTATAGTTGAGTATTACCCGAACAGTGGGTGTTTGGTTGTATATATAGAGAAACAAAAGATTCGTTTATTATCACTGTTCTTAATAGAACTGGCTCTACCCTTCTTAATAAAATTATTGAAAACATTGCAGATGGTAGCACAATTTATTCTGACAGTTGGAAAGGTTACCAAATAAATAGAATAGAAAAAGAAGGATTCCTACATGCTGAAGTTAATCATAAATACAATTTTATTGATCCTGATACAGGAGTTCATACACAAACAGTTGAGAGAATGTGGGGCAGTACTAAATGGAGAAACAAGAGACATAGGGGGGCAGCGAAGCATCATTTAGAATCTTATTTAGCAGAGTTCATATGGCAACAGCATCAGGTCAAAGAAAATAGAGACCGTTTTGAATCTATGTTAAACTTTATATCTGCCCATTTTCCAGCGAAATCCAATTGTCTACTTTGATTTTAAATAAAGTGTTTTAATTTATGATATGTCGCAAAAATTTTAGGTGTAGATTGGCGACTTAAAAACTGTCAATCTGCAGCTGCGGTGGCATTAATGCATAAGTACCTACTGTTATCTCAAGTAAAATATCTTGAGGCTTGAGCATTTGTGAAATAATGAAATAAAAACTATCATGTTTCCCAGTATTGCAGATCAGTTGAGAATGTTCTGATTTCCACATGGTCACATATCTTATTAAAGGAAATATACCGTAGAAATGCAACACTGAAAAAAAATTTGATTGTGTATTTACATTCAAAAATGAGGTATTTGGAAATTCTCAATTTTGTTTGAATAATTTCTTTTTCTTTTCTATAGTCTTGCATCATTTTGGGAAACTTAAAAATTTAGATTTTTTGTAAAGTGTCTTGTTTTGCCGTAATCTTGTTCATGCTGGGACACATGTGTCCCATACATTAACCACATTAAACAAATCTTAAAGAAATTGAGTTTACTTTTGAAGGCCTAAAATTTACTATTTATTGCAAAGCAAGAAAGGTACTTGCGTATTATCGCAACCAGGTTGGTGCGATTTGTAGGTTTGAGTAAAAAAGTATGAATAGAAAGAAAATGTACATTTATTAATTACAGATAATTTTTAAACAGTTTTTATATATATTTTTGTTTTAAAATATAAAATAGCAATTAAACCCTTCCGGTTTCGAATTTGAATAATTGCAGAATTATTTTTTTTCGGCGGAAATCTTTTGGCTATTGCTTTAGCACTCATTGAAAACCGTCTTCGCCATTAACAGCTTGAGCTGGCGCCATATAAATTCGATAAGGTATGAGTCAAGATGATGACGGCTGTTCCTCTCTGTTTTTTGTTGCACCATTTGGCTGAGCCCCACATGCGCTCTACATGTTGTGTGTGAACGCCCTGTGTTGGGATCCACAAAGTTATATTTGTGATTAACAGTTCCATGCAGAAATCCAGCATTTTCGAACTCACTTGTATTGTATCCTTTCCCAGCAATCCGAATAAATGATGCTTCCTTCCTTGATATTTTCGCAAATTTTTCCATGAGGGTAACAGCTCTTCTGTTAGGTACAGTAACCAAAAAAGTAATTAAAGTATTTCAGGGCATTCAATCTAACCAGTAAGAAAAATAATTTCTTTACGAAAAACTACCTATAACACGTAGGGTTGCCGTAATTAGGGTCGCCAAATTTGGCGATTTATGTGAATTTTGGCCTGGTTGCGTTAATATGTAAGTACTGCAAGAAATGACAGACCCTCTTGATTTTTCTGTTCCTTGATGATTGAATAGTTGACTAAATGTCTCCAACACAATAAAAATTAATTTTTATAGTCCACATGAGAAGGTTAAATATAAATGATATATGTATGTAATATAAATATGTAAATCAAAATTATAACTTAAATTAGCAATAGCCCTGTAATTCTTCATTTTGCATGTCTCCCCTTTTTGTTCTAAAAGTAGAAATTTATAATTTTCTGGACTGATGCATCATGTCATGTTAGCTCATGCAAGCATAGCAATGCAGATATTTTTCCTCCAGTTGCTTAAAGAGCCTTTTTAATATTTTTCTGCATGTATCCTTTCCTTATTTTGCCCTGCTGCTGCTAATCCGTCTCATTTGCAGCTGCACTTCAACCATTCTCTGAAGATACATTAGCTATACAAAATTGTTGGTTAAATATTGCACCCATAATGAGGTGTGATTGAGAATGTGTATTGCAAAAATTTTTAGAAATAAATTGTCTTCAGCCACATTTGTCTTTTGAGAATGCCATTTTATGTATTTCTGCAGCTATTCCTTAAGCATTAAGATGTTTACAGAGTTTATTAAATGTGTATACAGAGAATTAATTTTTTATGTGCAGTATTTTTATAATGCCAAAATTTAGATATACTTGCAAATAATGTGAATATAATTGTGTAAAATGGTATGTTAACAAAGTATTTTGAGGAAGATGTCAAGCCAGGCCATTTCGAGAAGTTCTCGAGCAGTTTTATCTCCCCTCCCCCCTCAAGTGATAAAAATTACGACTCTGCCTTTAATTCAACAAGTCTTTCCACTGAGTTTTTAACAGTTCTAGAAAAAATGCAGAAATTTTCTGGTAAGAACTTCTCTAAAATCAGATTGTTTATGGTCAATGGTACAAAATAGTATTTATTTATTATGGAATTGTTAAATCTTATAAATTATTGATTTTTAAAGGATTCTTCTACTGGTACGAAAAAAGTTGAAGGTAAAGGAAAGAAAGGGGAAGATTCATCCGAGACATCCATTCATAAGCATCATGCAAAAAAGAAAAATTCTGTTTCTCACGAAGCTGTAATGAATGTCAAAAGAAAGAGGTTGTGGATTGCTATTGGGAAAAAAGAAATTGGAAGGGTAATTTTTTAATAAAATGTTAATGTATTTATTAAATTGAAAATTTGACTAAACATTGTTGTAGTTAATATACAATCTTAAAATGTTATCTTGTTAAATAAGTTGGAAAATTAAAAAAAGATAATATTTTTTAGGCACAAAAACAGATGTCAGCTGCTCATAAAGAAACTCTTACCACAGCTAAAAAGGTATATTATTGCTTTCATGAAGTAGTAAAATGTTTTTGAAAGCTAAAGGTGAACTTTGTGCATTATACGTTACTGTTTAAAGTGTGTGTGTAGATAATTGAAACATTGTGATGTAATTGTGAGAGGAACTCATTCATGTTAATTTTTCTGTATTTAATGCATGTATAAATTCTGTTTCTGTTCAGATAATTATTTTCTTCATTTTTTTTTAATGTGCATTTTAGTTTTTTTTGTGTGTGTATTTCAATTTTATTGCTAAGTAAAGAAGTAAGTATATAATTGATTTTGTGTTTTCTTTTAAAGTTGGCTCAGGCTTGTCAACGGGAAGTCAGAAAATCTGCCTTGGTATCTCAGAAACTAGTAAAAGATATCCCAAGTCGTGCTAGACGCTTGACTAAAGAAATGATGCTTTATTGGAAGCGTTATGAAAAAGTAGAAAAAGAACATCGTAAAAGAGCCGAGAAAGAAGCTCAAGAGCAGTTGAGGTTGGATATTGAACTTCGAGAGGTATGTTATGTTATGGCTAATGCAGTTTTTATCTTCTAGAATTTTTAATTTTATAATTCAGTATGTTGAGTTGATGATCGGACTGAAGGTATTTTGCACACTATTACATTACCTCTCCCCTTCATTCTTAGAAGAATCTGTTCGAGATGTTTGGTTTGAATTCAAGATTTTATGTCTTAGCAAAATATTGTCACTCAAGGAAAATATTTATGCAACCTCTTTCATACGATCCAGTGGAATAAATGCACATTTTTGTCTTGAATAATTGAGCCCTTTTTTATTAAAACAATGACACCATAACACCAAACAAACATATAGTCATTATTTTTCTATGGCAGATCATAGGAAAATTTTTTCTACCATTTATTTGACTGCTATTTTTAACATCTCTGTATGATTTTTGTTTTATATCATGAATATTTAGGAAGTTATTTTTTAAACTAGCAAGCTAATCATAATAATTTACCATATAACTCTTTTAGACATTAAACTGAAATCAGTTAATATAATAAAAAAATTTTCTCATTTAAAAATTTTTTATAGTTTTTTAAAAATTATTCTTCTTTATTCTGAAAATTTCAGATTGTAGTGTATTACTTTCTTTAACCACTTGTGCTAAAAAGACGTGCCACGCACATCGAGATGCTTTTGTCTCAAACCGCAAGCGACAGGAACACCATGTCGATAGGCATTTATCGCAAAATTGAAAATAACATGGTACACACGTCGCGTAACAACGAGATTGTTTATTTGTTTATTTCTCGTTACAGCTCTGGATTGCAGACGCGGAGCGGCGTAAATGAGACACTTTACCACTGGTCATATTGTAGCGCATGGCAGGGCAGAGCTGCCTCGCACTACGATTTGTAGCGCACGACACCGCACCCGTGAAGGCTTGTAGTAGAGCAAGTGGTTAAAGATCATTTGCTTCTCTATATTCAAAAATCCAATCTCTGTAGTCTGAAATGAAAATATTTTCTGATTTCTTTCAGACTCTTTTATATATCTGAATTCTGCAGAAAAGAATGTAATCTTGTTAAATTAAGTATGTAATGTAATCTTGTTAATTAAGTTATTGAAGTAAAGTTTTTTTATGACCTAGAACAAAATGAGAATTTCTTTAATTCCTAACAATTCAAATTATACCAAATTTTTATATATATTTTTACCCAAAGGGCGTTAGTCCAGAAGGGCTATTAATTTTTTGTCGTTTTGCTTTGAAAACTTTAAATGTCCATTTCACTTTTCAAATTGTTGCCACCAAATATTATTGCCCTGTGTTATATTTGAAGAAACTAAGTAATGAAGGTGAGATTCTGTTTAAAAAAATGCTGAACGAATTTGAATTTGTAACAATAATAATATTTAGCTGAACAGTTTCATTAGTAAAATATAATAAAGTGAATTCGTAAGGTCTATATAATTTGTCTCTTGCTTTCTTTAGGCAAAGCGCCAACAAAGAAAACTGAATTTTTTAATCACTCAGACAGAACTTTATGCTCATTTTATGAGTCGAAAAATAACTGGATTGCAAGACGTTCAAGAAGAACAAATTCTCCGGCAGTTAGATGAGCCAAAAAAGGATCCAGAAGCTTCTGCTAGCTCATTATTAAAGGATGATGATAATTACAGTAGGTGATTTCTATTATACTTATTTATAAATTTCGCCTTTGTGTGATTTTACTGTGATGTTTGTGGGGATCTGAAGATTAGCCAAAAAAACTCTAAACATGCTAGAAACAGATTATCACTATGTCTTAAGTAACTACAAAATCATAAAAAAGTTTTAATTATATTTTATTATTTATTTGTTACTGTTATATTTCATCGCCATTTTACTTAAGCAGAAACTGAAACATAAATGCACTTTCTTGTGTTAACACTATCAGCTGCAAGCTCGTGATGGAATAACGTAACAGTAGTCGAAGACTACTTAGTTAAATTTTACTCTAAGCTGGCTCAGTAATTCTAAATGGAACATCAAAATTAAGGTGTTGGCAACAATAGCCAAATAATTACAACTATCAGAGCTGGTAAGGAACTAAATGTAATACGCCAGAAACATGCTCTGTCATACAAATCCAAAAACCTCATATGAAATACTGGCTATCTCACTTGCATTATGGTGAGGAAATGGAGCGGAGAAGTTTACTGATTTTTTTTTTTTTTTTAATCGTAACGTTTGGTTAGTTTTTAATAATAGTCTTGCATTTATTAAAAATGCTTGATTAGAGCATTTGATTCCCCCCTCCGCACATAATAAAATATCTGGAGAGTCCTTAATTTCACTTCAACACTAAATCAAATACCTTGTTATTGAAGAGACAATCATTTTAGTATAAATTTTTACTATCAGTAATTTGGCTCTGTTGCTGCATTATCTGCTTGGCACACATCTCATACCAAAACATTCCACATAGATACATCGTTGATCTGATGCCAATCTGGCGAATTATTATTTATTATACTTTCCTTTCATCACCGCATGTTTATCAACACCTGACAACCCGAGTAATGACTCATGTAGCGATACCTAAACAAGTTTTTATGTTAATAATTAAACATAAACAAACAAAGTAGTATGGTAACCTTTTATGTTGACATTATGCTTGGCGATGATTACAGATTTAAGTTAAAATGCATTAAAAAATTTTGACGAAAAATTTAACAAAAAATTCTTTCCATATGCTAAAAATAGGTTTTGTTGATGATACTCATAGACCCAAAGAATACATTTAAGGCTATTTAAATTAAGAATAACTGATTTGATAGTCACATAAACCCAGAACCAGCACCAGGGCTCGCATGGCCGCATCAAGTCGCAGAATTTAGGACCCACAGAGACTGCATCAGGCGTTAAGATATTTAGCTCTGGCCCTCAATAGGCTTAAGTATATGTGGGAATTTATTTATTCAGAACTCTTGATAAGCATTAAGCATGTGCAAGAAATAGACATAAGCATAATAAATAACTAAACTAATACAATTCAAGCTTAATTGTTTTAGTTCGCAATAGAAGCAAGATAAAACTTAACAGAACAACTTGTCATTTGTCACCAAGCTCATGATGCATAGCAAAATATGTATAGTGAATGACAGCTAAATTTGATGATGATAGGCGGGAATTTTAAAGGTTTTCAGGGAACTACACTGATATGCACCCTCAAGTGGCCAAACATTTTTGCCGAGAAATTCCACGCTTAATTGTTACTATCTAAATTTTTTGTCTACGTTTCGAACTTTAAGCCTAAAATGTCCCCAAAAACGTGGTTTTCGCACATGCAAAATTAAACATATTGCTGTGTACGTGGATTCTTGTCAAATATTTTTGATTAGAAACTTTACTTTTTTGCTGTCTAAATATTTTGTTTTTATTTCGGATTTTTAGTTTAAATTGTGTGTTCAAAATGTGGTTTTTGACGTGTAAAATCTGCATTACTAAATCAAACTATACAAAATAAATGTTGAAAACCTTCTTTTCCTAAATCCTTGTATGCAACCACTTCTGTCATTGTAACGTAGGCCATTTTAAAAAGGGCACAACCAACGAACAATTAAACGACTCCAGCAAAAGATTTTTCAACGTCAGCAGGGTTGCCATACAACACGCAATCGTGCCAAAAACCAGCACAGAGCACATATCGCCACAATTGGTGATATTCGGCCGCATATCAGAGTAGAGCTGTTTTCGGATATCGCAAAACAAAGGTGAAATTTTGCAGTTAACGGATTTTATAAAGAAATGTAAAGAAGCAGTAATAAATAAAGATAATATAAAAAGTTTTTCATTGTGATGATAACTCTTCTCAATCATCAATCAATTAATAAATGGCAAAATCTGTAGTAAGGTTCTAGATCCAGAAAATACCGCTATCGATAGTGAAGAAAGTGACAGAGAAGTTAACAAAAAAATTTCATTTGACAAGTTAGTCGGAATTCTCAACACAGCAGGTACGGGACTTCAAGAATGTAATTGAACAAGGGATTATGTCCATCTACGAGTTAAAGAGAAAGTATTAGCACAAAAAACAAAGCGATTGAAACAGCTTGCATCGAAAGAAATGTTTAATAAGATAAACAAATACAGTAAGACCCCGCTTAACGCTGTTTCGGTTTAGCTCTCTTTTATTTCAACCCGGGGAATCTCCGAAATTGCTCGCAACACTACGAGGATTTCCCAAAATTGTGCGCAGCGCTAGATTTCCAAATAACATGTCCGAAACAGTGTAGTTGTGTTTCTTGTTCGATGCGGTGCTGTACGGACGCATTTTTATCATTTGAAACATTTGCTGATATTATTGTAAGTATAAATTTATATAATACTATAACGATTAATACAGTTACAAATATTATGATCATTAGTTTTTATCATGGGTGATAATAAAAAACAAGAAAAGAAAGCAACTAGAAAAAGCAAACTAAAATGCAAGTGATTAGATTAGATTAGATTCTGGTGAACATGAATCTCAAATTAGTGCTGCATTGAATTTGGCAGCTTCAGCAATAAGGACAATTCTTAAGAATAAAGAATAAATACTGTCATCGGCAACTGCAACTACGTCAAGCTCTGCAACTAGAATTACCCATTCTAGAAATAACATTCTATATGGATTGACGACGAAAATGAACGCAATATGCCAGTAAGCCAATCTATCATAATGCTTTCTTGACAAAAAGGCAGAAAATTGGAAACACAGAATAGACTGAATGATCTGACTGACTTAGAATTTTATTTGTTTTTATAAGTATATTCGTTTATATTGTTTTTATTTTTGTAAAAAATAAATGTTTGGTTTTATTTTTATTAAAAAAACATTATTAAATTTAATACCTAACCATTTTTCTATCCATCTTCCCCTAATCCCATTATTTACATGTTAAGATAGCCTCGTTTAACGCTGTTTCGCATTACGCTCTACTTTGATGGAACGTATCCCCCGCGTTAAGCGGGGTCTTACTGTAAATATTAAGCTTTCTTTTTTTGTAAATTTTGTTACCCTTTAGATCATAAATACTTCATTATTTCATAAATCATGATTTCATATTTTTAACCCTTTGTTGCATGCAAATAATCTAGAGAAGTTAAACAAAAATGTTTGTATTTTTTCTAATTAAAATAACCTTAGTAATAATAAAAAAAAATTAATTTTATTCAAATTTCGATTTAAATAATTGCTACAGGGGACAGCATGCATATACGTACATGCATACAAATCTCTTCCCAATGATTTATGGTCATTGCATTTGAAATCATTTTCTGCCTTGTGCGCAGTGATCATTACTATCTTCTAAATGGTAAATCTACAACTGACATGTACATACAGATCCCCCCCAAATACCTTCATTTTGTTGATTGTGATTGAATTGATTTTGCTACGATTATGTAACCTGTACTTATTGGATTCAAATGTCAAATGTTCTAGAAATTCCTTGCCAAACATAAACATTTCCAGTGGTGTTTTGGCTTGATAAGCAGCACATTTGGCTTTCAATTCACTCTTTTCGGTAGATCTTTATCTACCCACTCCACAATTTTCTCAAACTGACATTTAAAATAGAATGTCTAAAATGGCTAATTATAAATAAAAAATGGCAGTATAGGAATATGTAAGCAATATTATATAATGTTTACTATGAGAAATTGTACTAACTTGGAAACAGAAGTAGCAGCCATTTTCCAAATGGCAATGCTTTACTTAGTGATGCTATGCAGCCATATATGATTAATGGTTGAAAGTTCTCATAATATAGAATGAATAAACACAGGAATGGAATCTGTTAAGGCATTTACAGAAGAATAAATAAATTAAAACGTTTGTCTACTAGAGTGGACATGATGCAACAAAGTGTTAATTTTATAATTTCTACATGCCATCGTAGTAGATTTAAACTGATCATCTAACATTTGGGCAAATCCAGAATCACAGAAGTTCTGACGAGTCTGGATTTTCAGACTTTGTACTGTATTTTTTCCTCTCTTTATCCTTTCTATTGGTAGATTGTAATATATCAAAACCAGTTATCAATCTTAAATTTAGGTCATTAAACTGTAAATCTTATTTTCTTAAAAATTATAAAGTGTTCTTGCTGGTTAAAGAAGGACTGGGATTTTTGTAATGTTGCCCAATATTAAACCTGCTAGTTAAATTTTTGTCAACATTTTGTTATCTCAAATCCAATGTCTTTTTCCATTTCCTACATCAAATGTTCTCTTGAAAACGAACAGAGTGAACCCACTAACTCAGCTTCATTGAGGAATGGTCATTAAATTAATGTATCAATAGTCTATTGAAACAACTTCCAAGTGCTGCTATGGAATGTGAATGTCCAACACAAGAGAAAATGCAAGAAACAAGATAGATAATTCTGCCGTGTACTAAAGAATAAAATGTGAAACAAAATCTCTTATCCTTGTTCACAGCATTGAACATCAGATTCAAGGCAGATTCTTGATGTGACTGCTATATAAAAATTGAAAGAATTGAACAGTTAAAATCACAGAGGAACTTATTCTGAGTTTTTAATTAAGTCTTTGAAAATGACATGATTTATGAAGAATGAGATAAGTCTGTCTGTCAAGAAACACTTAAAAAGCATAAATGTAACATTGGCCAACTGTAATGAGAAGCATAGAATTGTACTTTCATTTATCCCTTGGTGGTTTTTATATATATATATATATATATCTTCTGAACTTTTGTCATCCGGCTTATGTTGCTGCTTCGTCAATATAATAATACATGATGATTCGTAATTCCCTTCAGCATTTTGAAACTTTAAATTAATGGCAGTATTTAAAGAATCTCTCCAAGTTTGCACTCATAAGAACTCGTAATAAACACCTGTCATACATAGGGCATATCCAGAAAGTAAGTTTCCCTATTTAAAAAAAAAAAAAAAAGAACTTACACTTTCAGGAACATATTTATTGGCAACAAGTACAACAATGTTTCAGCTATTTTTCAGCATAGTCACCACCAGAATTGAGACACTTGTCGTATTGTGGGATCGACTTTTGTATCCCTCTGTCGTAGAACTGCCATCTGTGAATGGAACCAGCATGTGACAGTCGTCTTCAGCTCTTCATCGTTGCCAAAATGCTCACCGGAGAACAGGAATTTCTTGAGGTGTAAGAAAACGTGAAAATCGCTGGGGGCAAGATCCAGCGTTTATTGTTTCACCACGTGGAAGAAACTCAATGAGCAGACTTCTCTTCCTGTCCCAGAACACCGTGCACGTCACTTTCCGTACCGACAGTGTCCATTTGAATTTCATCCTGACCGGAGATTCACTATGCTGCCAATGCATTGACTGCTGCTTGGTTTCCGGGGTGAAGTGTGAAATCCAAGTCTCATCACTGTGATGATCCTGTCAAGGAACTTGTCATCGTCATACCATTGCAGAAATGTCAGTGTGCTCATAAGCGTTCAATTTTGTGTTCAGGTGTCAAGTTTTTCGGCACCCACCTGGCACACAGTTGCTTAGTGAGAATCCCGTGCAACGAGGATTGCAATATCTGAGGAAAATGGCTGCTCACCTCCGTAATTGCTAAGCGACGGTTCCCCATCACGTGCTGCCGCAAATGCTCAACAAGATCATCATTGATGAGGGGAGGTTGCCCACTGCGCTCTTCATCATGGACACTTTGACAACCCTCCGAAAACTGCCTACGCCAGTGACGCATCATCTGCTTATTCTTGATGTTCGGACCATAGACCTGACAGAGCTGGCAATGAATTTCAATTGGCATAATGCTATGTGCTTTATCACCGACTGAACCTTAGGCTGCGGGAGAAGGAATAAGAGCTTCCATTTCGGACCACTGCTACCACGCTACTGGCACGAGGCAAGACTTGTCCGGCTAGCATATGATTGATACTTTATAGATCTGTTACGCATGCGCAATTGACACGGCTAATTACGTGTACTTTAAAAGGGAAAACATAAAAAAAACTTGCTTTCTGGATGTACCTCATATAAATAATTTTAGTACTGTGTGGCAGTTTCGAAACAAACATGACATTTAATGAATGTGAAATTTATGGAGTTTACTAAATGCAAGTCTGAAATTGCTGTGAAGATTCGAAATGAAACCTCAGTTGGAAACAATTTCTGTATTGTTCAAATGATGCAAAATGAATAGTTTGTTTGGGAGTGTCTGCTGTGATCAAATTCTCTGCCCGCCTGTGCACAAATTGTCCATTAAGGTATAGGTAGAACTTGGAGCACCAATTAAGGTATATGTAGAAATTGGAGAGATTCTTTATTTGTATGTTGATTTGTATATTTTTTCTGCATTCCTTATGATTTCTGGGGCATAAATTTTCAAAACCTTGTGGGAATTATGAATACACTTTTTTGGGCTTGTATTGAGGAATGTGTCCTGGAATAGTAATTCACAATTTATTTAAAGATAATAAATAACATTATTATGTTTTAAATTCATCTTTATAATTATTTTTCAAATGAAACAATACTGAGGCAATATAAAAGATTTTTCCTTATGGAATCTCAAATGCCCTTTTTAGTTGCTTTTCAGTTAAGCACTTATCTTAAAATTTTTAAAGGTTTAAAATGAAATTTTGAGAACAGTATGGGTTTGTATGCAAATTCAGCAAGTTAATAAAAGACAGTCTTTAGTAAATCTCTACATCTTTTCAAATTTTGGAAGTAGAATTGTTCAGAATACAAAAATAGTAGATACATGTTAGGAAATCCATGATTAATAATAATTAATATTAATATTCCTGCACGCTGCAGACAAGGACATAAATGTGTATATGGCTTGCAGTCCATCAAACCAGCTCTACTGTACTATATGGCAAATCTGTAGATAAGTTTGGGTTTAGGTGCACTTTGCACATAATACTTTAGGGAAATATCAGTGTGGGAAATTAAAGGTCAAACATTCCACATTAGTTCAGTTATGTTAGTAAGTTTTTCAGCTAGCAGCTCATTTTCGTGTGCCTAACCCTTTCTAGTTCTTTATAAATTTTGTCTGCTGCTATTTTGATTATTTAAAAGGTTACAATTATGTTATTAAAATACCAAATTAAAAATCTCAAAAAGTTATTTATTAAGTTTGCTAAATGTAGCTGTTGCAGTTTAATGGGGGGATGATATTTATCAGTAAACATATAGAGGCTATAGCTATGCACCATTGATCAAGTTTTGATGTTCCATGTATATAATCCTGTTCTGTTCTGTTCTATCATAAAAAGTTCTTACATGGAAACTATGTTTCATTTTAATATTTTATTTTCTATTTTTTCTCCGACTTCAATTATGTAGTGGATATGATTAAAAATAGTTTTTATTGACTTTTGATCCAATATGGAATTTTAAGCATAAAGTGCTATATTCTGATTTTACGCATATATTATCTGAAAATATTTTATTTCGCAGATCCTGAAGAAATGAAAGCATTAGCACTGAAAAATGCTGATACAGCATATAAAGCGCATGTAGATAAGGTATATTTTTTCTGTTCCTTCTTGTAACTCCAGAGCATTGTTTAGACTTCAAAATATCATAGCAATTGTAAAAATTTTAGGTTGAAATATTTTTCTTGTATTTTTAATGGTCTAAATATTATCTTAATGTATAAAAAGGCAATGAAAATAAACAACAAAATAAATAACTCTTTAAATCTTACTAATAAACTCTGTTCAAATATAGCTCTTTGTAAGAACAAGAACAAAAAAGACTGTTTAGAGGATTGTTATACTTTTTATGTGTAATGAAGACCATGTTAAGAAAGTTGTAAAATCTTTTTTTTTGACCCCACCAAAAAAAATCCATATTTTTTTTTTTTTTTTCCTACAGACTACAGCATTTGATGCAGTTTTACCTCCAGTAAAGAAGAAGCAGGTGAATGTTCAAAATGAATGTAAGTAGTTTTATATTATGCAGTTTTTTATTAACTTTTTTATTTTTAAAATACTTAAAAGATGTATTCTCAGTAAATGTTTACTGATGAGTCTGCTTTAAAAACTGTATTACTGAAATTTTTTTTATATAACTGTAAGAAATGTTTTCTTGTAATTTTTTTGTATTGGTGTCCAGAATTGTGCAGTTAATGGAGAAATGACTATAGTGAAAGAAATAACATGTAGCCATAAAATTCGTATTTATAATAAATGTATGCATACAAAGGTACTCTGTATAAAATATTTTGCATATGAATATCCAGAGGCAGAGATAGCTGCCAGCAGCCACATTGATCTCCACATCTTGTCTTGTGGTGCTGTGTCTGCAGTGCAGGTACAGCTCACATCCTTGCTAAATATGTTCACTGTTTCTTGTAGCCATGGACTTGATGCCATTTTGAACCGTAATGCACAAGTTCAGACCTCTGAGTATTTGCTAGTGTTTATATCTAGTAACATTGCTTCTTGTTGAACTGCTCTCAGAATCACTGGTCTTAAATCTGATTGAGTTTGTTAACCCTCTGGCTGATCATCCCGCAATTTACACGAGCAACTCAAATGTAGCAAAATTTGCTCATCCTGCAATTTCCGCGGGCATTATGTTTTTCTTACCTTATTGATGAGAGCAGCCCCTTTTTCCCCCATTTAACCATTGAAATAAATTATATACATTATTAGGTGTTTAGGTTACGTTTTGGCCAACAGATATCATTAGTTATCCACTAAATTGCAGCATTTGAAGGCATGTCGTATTAGTGCTCAAACTTCACTTTTTGCCCCCTTTTTTCTTACAGAATTGGCTGCTAGAAAACGTTCAGCAATTGATTATTTAATTAGATTAATAATTAGATTTATTGAATCTGGTGCAAAGACTGTGAAGTTAGACTTTGTCTTGAACCCTTGTTGATCTGTTTTGTACTCTTATCATACTAAACTGCATTTCTAAGGTATTTTTCCCTCAGCGCTTTTTATTTTCTTAAATTTTATATATTTACTTTTTTATATTATGCAATAAATAGAAATTAACTGTAATTCGACTGAAATGTATTTTAACAATTTTTTTTTTTTTTATAACATCTGAAATTGGTTTTTCTGGCAACTTAGTTTCTCATGATGAAAATCTATATAAAAAATATTTTCTAGAAAGAAAAAGTGCATTTTTCAATTCTCCAATATATATAGATTTAAAATATGCGAAAAAATACACAATTTTGGAAGCGATTTCGGTCCACAAATTGAGCAGTCTGAGGGTTAATATGCTTAGGAAGGTGTTAATTTCTCTCTATGACTCACCTGGAACTTTTGAGCAAAGAAAATGTCTGTTTTGCGAATAAGCAGATATTCCATAGCTCATATTGGCATGGATTGTTGCTATTGAGAACAGTTTCAGAAACACTTTACTGTCAGGCCTCTGCCAAAGTGCTTTTGTGCACCAAAAATCCATTATTTTTGTTTGTTGCTCGTATGTAATTGTCTGTTGGTGTTCTCATTTTCTTCTACTAATGCCTTTTGTCTTACCTCTTGAATGTGGAATTTTCAATAAATACATATGCACTTTTCTTTTTATCTGTCCCCCCACCCCTTTGTTCTGTAATTTTTCGATTTGAGTATATTTCGTAGTGCTGTTTGGTATTTTTTCAGGATTTTTTTTATACAGGCCAGTTTTCTTTAAAATAATTTCCTCAAAGGTTCCGATCGTGTAGTAAACTTTTTTTTTTTCGTAGAAGAGTGCCCATGACAAAACCGAAATTAAATAAAAAATTTAAATCTTTAACTACATTATATGTAAACAGTTTTTCTCTGGGTAATAATATCTGTATGAAAATTGTTTTTGTCAGAGAGCATTAAAACAAATAAGAGTATTTTTGATAATTAGGTAATTTCTGGTTATATTTTATGATTTCTTGTTTGGGATAAATTTTGTAATTTTATTAAACGTATTTATGTAATGAAGTGAATCACTAGAGATAGTTTTTGATTATGCAGCTGAAAGTTTGTTGTTAACCTCAATTTCCCTTCTTTTCCAGTTGATGAAAATTTCAAGTTAACAAATCCATCTATTGGATTGGAAGAGGAACATCCACAGCCTTCAATGTTTGTTGGAAAATTAAAGTCATATCAGTTAAAAGTAATTTATTACTCTATGTATTAATACTGAAATTGCTTTAATAGTTCTTATATCATTTGTTACTTTTTAACATTGCTTTAAGTCATTTTTATTAATTTAAAATTAATCTTTGCATCCTTACCATTTTGTAGGGTATGAACTGGTTGTATAGTTTATATGACAAAGGTATTAATGGTATTTTAGCTGATGAAATGGGTCTTGGTAAAACTGTACAGACTATTGCTTTCTTAGCTACTTTGATAAAAGTAAGTTTATTTTTTTTTAATGATTATTTTTAATTTTCTGGCTCAGAAATATAAGGCAGATTGTCTATTCTTACAATATTTTATCATTTGTAGCTAAATCGGGAAACTAAGTTTGTTTATTAAATTTAGCTTTTGTTTAAGATGAGTTCCAATTGATCAAAAGTTGATTATATTAAGCTCTTGTAATAATTTCTTACTTTTACATACCATATATAAAATATTAAATGTAGTTTGATTTCTTTTAGTTTTTAAGATGCATTCATATCTCGAAACATGCTTTTTTATTGTAAAAATCTCAGATTGAAAACTATGTGCTCCAGTAGTAACTTTTATAGACAGCTGTGTTATTGACAAAAGTAATAATATGTAAAATGACAAAATTTATGAAATTTAATAAATGACAAAAGTAAAAATACATTATTGACAAAGAAATTGTTGACAAATAAGGTCATCAGTGCAATAATTTTATATAGCATTTTAAAATAAACTAAAAGACCTCAGTGACATACAGGTTGTCAGACACTGATAGTTAATTCACAGGTTACCATTGTGGAACAGTTTACTAAATTGAGATAGATTTTTTAAGTTAAAATTCAGTGGCATGATACCAGTCACCATCTGTCAAGGCTGTTGGTTACTTGGAATAGACTCCAAAGTCACTGGTATAAGGCAAGTGCAAAGATGTAAATTAAATTAAATTAAATTAAATTAAATCAAACTAAACCAAAGCATGTGTATCTAGGTTGATTTCTGATGGCCTATAAATCAAAGGTCACTATGGTCAGCTTCTGGGTCACTGATATAGCTGTGAAGTAAGATAAATTTTTAGATTAAAATGTGGCATATCTTTGTCCTTTAAAAGGTCTTGGTCACTGAGAATCATATTGGTTTTGTCAGTGAAATAAATTTAAGTATTTAAATTAAAACTTCTAAAATTAATTTTAATTGAAGGATGTCTTGCCACCGACATAGTTGTACGAGAATTAGGATAAGATTATTAAAATTGAATTAAACCAAAGGACACTTATTATTACTGTATGGATAGTCATCAGTGACTGTTAATACCATTGGTCAGAGGTGACCTGTTTTCAGCTACTTGTTTAGGGCAGTTGGATTTTATTGCATTGGCAACACTTGCCAATACAAGTGGAAGATAGTATGTACTAACATAGTATAATACTCTAGAAGTCTTAGAAAGACTGCTTAGAACATTTTAATGTCAACATTTATTCTGAGAATAATGCTTTAATAACTATATTTTTGAACTTGCATTCATTATAATGCTAGAAATTTCATACCAGAATTTGTATAAATAACAGTATTGAAATTTAGATCATTTAAGCACAGAATTTGCATATTTGTATTAAATTTAACTCATTATTTTTACTATTATTATTTTAAAAAATCAATAACAAACTGTTTTACAGGCACAAGGTATATGGGGCCCATTTCTCATCATTGCACCAGCTTCAACCTTGCATAACTGGCAGCAGGAATTTACTAAATTTGTTCCAAAGTTTAAGGTAATATAATATTTGTAAATTATTTATTGACTTTATGTGGAAACTAATGAAATGCATGTGAATAACTCAAGTAATTTTAAAAATTGGTTTAGCCATTTAACCACAGTTTTATGTGGCTGAAAAAATAGATAAATGAAATGTTTTAAAATTTTTTTCTTTTATATTACTCGTTATTTTATAGCTGTTAAGTCACATATTTTGTTAATCTTAATATTTTTGCATTGCTGCCAGCTCACAGTTTTTCATCATATATCGCTGTCTCCTGATATATCACTGAATTTCTTGGTATTTTTACTAAAGAAAATGTTTCCCAGCAGTAAATGAAATTTATTAAATTAAAAAGTACTTAATTTATGTGAATTACATTTTCCTTCTTATGGCAGTTTCCAGCATAATTTTTCTTAATAAATTTTCTATGATTTGATTGCCTAAATTTACTGTAGACATTTATAAAACTTTTTATTGACGATTAAATCAGCATTTACACAGTAAGGTGCATGAATGATACTCGGGACTTGAAAGGTATTTGTTCAAGATCATGTGCCGTCATCTTTAAATGTATCTAGGCTGACTATTAATACTATTAGACTTGAATGTATCTAAGCTAATACTATTAATATTAGAAAGAGAGTAAAGGTCCAAAGTGGAAATATCATTCTGGGAATTATAATCAATCATAGCCTTTTGAGAAATTTTAAGGTTTGAGACAACATACCTTGATCCATTTGGAGGGTTAATATGCTGTGCAAAAACGGTGACTATCAATAAAGGGGTTTTTAATTTTTGCATTCAGTTACATTTAAATTGTAACAAATTAGGCCTGAATGTTGGTAATCTTACCTGGAAAAGTAATTCTAATTAAAGCAGTGTTTTTAATTAAATCAGTTTATTATAATAAATTTGAAAAAATTGCAATTTATTATTTTGATATGATGGCCAAATGAAGCCCTTTATTTGGTGTGAAAGAATATGTATTTTGCTTTGAGTTTGTCTTACTATTTGTTAGATATTATAACTGTAAATTAGCAAAATATTGTGTGATAAAGAACATATAAATTTTTGTGTTAAGGTTGATAATAGAAAAAGTCTAATTGTTATATCCATGTCAAAGTAGAAGACTTCTTTAATTCTTCTGGAGTTATACTTCTTTCTTCTAATGAATGAAACAAGCAGGAAAATGTTCAGATCCATGACTATTTTGTCATGTATGTTTTATGACAAAATGTCAAAATTTTCATTTATTTTCTTACTCATTACTGTCTTCTTATTTACTTTATTATATTCAATAGCTTACAATTGGTAAGAAGCTGACTTGAAAAAGATATTTACAATTTATGGCAAATTTATTGCATGTCGTATTTGATATATTCTCTGTTTGGAACTCGGTACTTGTTTTCTACTGCTTGAAGGCATGTAGCAGTTCATTTTCTGGTAACTGCTGTAATAGCTGTATTTTCGTTTTAACAATTTTCAGTGACTCAAAATGGTTTCCTTTTCCACAGATTTTATTTTGGGGAAAAGGAAAAAGTCATGGGGGGCTAAGTCAGGGAAGCAGAAGATTGTCCAGTGTTGCAGTCTATTTTTCAACCGTAAACTGTTTCCAGGAGAGTGTTGTGTGCATGGGGCATAAGGCCTGATGCAGAATGAAGCCATTTTGCCAGACTTCTAGGTGTTTTTTCCCTCCTAACTCTTTCTCTCAGCTTATTCAAAACTTCTTTATAATAATGCTGGTTCACTCTTCTTCCTCTTTGGTACTTACTCTTTCAGAATTATATCCTTGTTATCAAAAAATGCAATCTGCATTGCTTTTTTTGATAATCTGCATTGTTTTTTTCTATTTTCTCTGACAAACTATTTTTATTCTTGGGGAAGAGGTTTTTTTTTTTCCAGTGCATAAATTGTGTTTTTTTTTTTTTTTTTTTTTTTTCCCTCCCTTCTTGATTGCGTTGAAAGATCCAGGTTTCATATTTACATGCTGATGAGTTTTAACAGTCAACATGTTAATGGCAAGCAAGGTGAAATGCAAGCACATTTAACCACAGCTGGCGAAACTGTTAGAGTTCGAGAGTGCTGAGCCTTGTTCTGCAGACTTAAACATGTCTGAAATCTCCTCCATCCTCAAGTCATTTGACTCTTTTTGCATTACAAGAGAATTACAAGGCCAACCCCATAATTTATATTCAGGTGTTATATACTAAACACATACCAGGCTTTTGGAGTTTTGTTTTTTATTACTTGTTTTCATCATCTTTTTAAAAAAATTTTCCTATTTATCTTAGGTACTTCCTTATTGGGGTAATACTAGTGACAGGAAAGTCTTAAGAAAGTTTTGGAGTCAGAAAGATCTGCATACTGAAAATGCGTCATTTCATGTCCTTATTACCAGCTACCAACTAGTTGTTCAGGATGTAAAGTATTTTCAGAGAATCAAATGGCAGTATATGGTATTGGATGAAGCACAAGCTATTAAAAGTACATCAAGGTTCGTTTTTTAATCTTACATTTGAAATAAACATATTAAATAAAAAAATGTGAATATTAAATATAAATGTTTTATAGTCTTTGAAGTTGCATAATTTATGTTATGCATTATCAAAAATTATTATGTTACCTTACTGTAATAGCTTCTGGAGTACAGTACTTTATAAATTTCTTATAGCGTTCGGTGGAAAATACTTCTTGGTTTTAATTGTCGTAATCGCCTTCTGTTGACTGGTACTCCAATACAAAACAGTATGGCTGAAGTAAGTGAACTTTCTTACGTTTTTTCTCATATTTGCTTTTTTTGCCTGAAATTTATGTAATGAAAGTATTTCTTTATATAAATGTGTTTATAATTCTTTGATAGTGCTAAATGTTAATGTATAGGAAATAGTGATTCCTTTTAAAATATATAAACATATCGGTGATCTGCACACTGTATCTGAAATATATGTTGAAATTTTAATGTTTCTGTTAATCATCAGAAAAACTTAGAGAGTTCAGCCTAAAACTATGCAGGTTTAATTCAAACTGAGAAATAAAAAATATTACTTGTATTGTGAGATTCTGCTCTTGCAGATTACAAACTTAATATCCGAAATTTTCAATCTTGGAATGCAAGTTTTTAATCACATTGTTCTTATTAGCCTATTTGCTGTTGTATACTTGGTGTTTTCTCAAAACTGAACTATTTATTATTATTTTCAGTTGTGCGTGAGAGAATAACTAGGCTAATTTTTAAATTACGCAACTACTAAGCTAAATTTTCTATTTTTATTTTCTCTTCATATTAGCTACCTAATTCTTTTAACTAAATTAAAAATTAATGAATCAGAATTTACAAAGCTTTTGTACCTAAACTTGCATTTCAAACTTGTGTATTATATTTATATGGAAAGAAGGCCATCATTTCATTGTTTATAATATTAGATAGCGTTAAATAATCAAATCTCGGTGTTATTTTCATATTCTCTTGTGTACTTTGTAGTAGTTCCAGACTGCTACAAACTCAATTATTCCTCTCTTTTTCAAAAAATATACCTTATAATATTTTTTTTTTTACTAAATTAAAAATCTCACGAATCATTCTTAAATCTGATCAAAAAAGAAATCACTTCCAGTGTTGATTCTTAAAAAGTTCATATAACTCAATTTTTATGAGATTATTCTCTGTTTTACTTCATTTTCAGTAAATATATTTCAAGAAATTATTATAAAACTCTGTTATGTATTTAATTTTTGTAAAGTTGTTTATTTTTGTCTTCAATTAATCAAGATGAAAAGCAAGATACTAGATTTTTGCTGCAGTATATAGTGTAAAATTCTTCAAAAAATGTTAAACATTTTTCAGAATTCAGTGAGGGAAGTGGCAACTCTTAATAATTTATTTCTTAAAAACTTTTCTTATGTTTTTAGAATAAAATGTTTACAGAGAATGGACATTTGAATTAGGCTACAATTGTAGCTTATTGCCTGTAATGCATTATTGAAATAATTTTGATGAATGTTATTAATTAATCCAGTTTTCTAATTTAGTTACAAGAACTGTGTAATACATGTAATCTATAGTTGATACATTTTCATGTATTTCATGAAAAATACGTACTTTTTATACAAGTGATTGATAGTTTAAAATTCAGATGTATTGAATGAGGGAGAAAATATTAAAAAAAGGAGCAGGGTACTTCATTACTGAGTTGGCTATTTTTCTTGAATTTATAAATTTTGTATTCGCATCTAGGAAATCAATCAGTGTTTAAAATTAAGATAGTTATAAAAATTAGTGGTAATATCTGCCTTTTGTTTTATTCTTTAAGAAATGATGTTATTTATTACATTATTTCAGTTATGGGCATTACTGCATTTTATCATGCCAACACTATTTGACTCTCATGAAGAATTTAACGAGTGGTTTTCTAAAGATATTGAAAGCCATGCAGAAAATAAATCTGTTATTGATGAGAGTAAGCATTATTCATTTATTTATTCTTCTCTTTTATTAGATTTAAACCTTTGATGAAAGTTTCCATTATAAATTGAAATTGTTGTGTAAGTAGTATGATATGGGTTGAAAAAAATCAAATAGAATCACATTCAGTTAATATATTGAAACTGGGATCTGTCTTGCATCTTACAGTAATGTGCAATTTCTTTCACAAAGCTAGCGTAGTTTACACTTCACCAAGAACTTTATTTTCGTTCGCCCATTTCATATAAAATTTTTATATTATGTCTTTGAAAATCGTCATATTTCTTTTATTATCATTATTTTATTTACTTATTTTATTCTTTGAGAATTAACATGCTTCTCAGCTTTCTCTTAATGTTATAGTTAAATTGTCCATTTGAATATTAAATCAGGCTAATTAGAACAGTATTTGGTAAATAAATACCTTTTTTTTAATATATAATACTACTTTATTCAAACTTCCTTAAATATCTCATGTAAAACATTCATTCAAAAAATATCATTATCATATATACAAGGTGTCTTAAATGGAACTAGCATGCTGCCAAATTAGAACGATCATTTACTTCCAGTTCTGTTTCAAAAAGTCAGCTACGAAATGTCACCAAATCATGTGTATAGCTTTAAGTACTAATGTTCATATGACCCTGTGAAGGTTTGGTACTGAAAATTCAAAAACAAGGACTATGACATTCAAAATGCAGAATGCTCTGGCTACTGATGTTGATGAAGCCCACCTGTGAGAACTTGCGAAAGAAGATCAGTATGCAACCACTTGAGAGTTTGCTAAGGAGTTAGACATTAGTGCTGTGTCCATTAGTCATGCTATGCATCGCATAAACTTGACGTACAACTTCAGTCGCTAGGTATCGCATGAACTGACTGAAGCAGATAAGCACAGAAGTGTTCAGGCCTACACTTATCTGCTCGAATATCAATACAATGAGAAAATTCTGGACCGGATCATCTGTTGTGATTAAATGTGGATTTACTTCAACATTACAAACATGAAAGGGGATTGGTCTGCGCCCGTTGGCAACATCGCAAAGCACAGTTTGACTACCAAAAAGATCATGCTTTGTATCTGGTGGAACTGACCTGGTATTTTCCACACGCACTATCTAGAAAAATGTAAATCCCTCGATAGTAAGGTGCACAGCAAGATGTTAGTGTGTGTTGCCGCTGCTATCAAGAAAAGCCGAACTGTGTTCCAGCACCAAAAGGTAATGTTCCGTCAAGATAATGCAAGACCTCATGTGTCTGCATTCATCAGCTGGAATCTGTACGAACTCAAACGAGTTCTTTTGCCACACCTACCATATAGACCCGACATCACTACGGACTTCTACCTGTTTTCACACCTGCAGCTACATCTTGCTGGTGTCATCGTCCATTCTGCACAGAACGTCCAGACTTTCGGCTGCCAAGTTTCTGGGCCCGAAGGCTTTGAAAAACTATCAGAACGTTAGAAAATCATAGATTTTGCTGACAAATTATATTCTTATAGAGTTTAGTTATTATACCAGTTATTCAAGTTACGATTTATAAATAATAAATTTTTCAAAGATATATCACAGATATTTATCGTAAAACTCAGTTTTGTGTAAAGCTACCTCAAGTAACAGTATGTGCTTATGGCAGTGGTGTACAGATGCCAGATAATGCCCTCTAAGGAAGCCTACTGGGCTGTCTCTCTACTAGACTTTCCTAGAAATTCCTACATGTTCTTTAAAAATGAATTTTAAACTATCTGTCAAACATTTTATTAATAGTCCCTGAACTGTTTAATGTGTGATATGGTTTGCCAAAAAGAAACATTAGAAGAATGGAGGAGGTTATTTAATGACTTCAGTATAACAGCTGCAGCCAATTCACTATTAATGACTTGATATTTGCAAGTCACCCTCCCCGCCAATCAAAATAGTCAGGGGTTAATGTATATCATGGTAAAGCGACACCTGCTGTACCTTTGCATAAATATACAAATTTTTATATTATTTTATTTTATTATTTTTTTCTTTAATATTTAAATCTTATTTGTAAAGTTATTTATTACATTTTTTAATGAATAATTTTTTCAAATATGCATTTGATATTGGTTTGATATTTTTCGAAGATTTCAGTGTATGCACAATGCATTGCAAAATTGATCTTGATAAAATTAATTTTTTTGCGGTTGTGCTTACTCACGTCATTTTTTGTAACGCTATCATTTTGAGAAACATGACTTGATAAAAGCATTCATAAAGTTATTGTACAATTTTAGTATATCTTTTTTTAAGCTGAGTTATGATATGTATTTCAGAGCATTTATCAAGACTTCACAAAATTTTAAAGCCATTTATGTTACGCCGAGTCAAAAAAGATGTTGAGAATGAGCTGTCTGACAAGGTAATTTTTTTCATCTATCTGTGCCTGAACTTTTGATCTTATCTAATAAATGATTAATGAATAGCTATTATTAATGTAATTATATAGAATTATAAAATAAGTAGCCCCCTTTTTTAAAAAAATATGATTACGTAGGATTATCTAATTTTTATAATAAAATGTTAAAATGTTATAAAATTCTAGTAAATATTAATTATGTCTAGAAATAGAGTAATTAAAATTTTTATGCTTTGTAGGAACAGCTGCAAAAATTACTTCCAAATTGTGCTGTGCCATTTAGTTGGTTTCTTTTCTTTTCTTTTTTTTTTTTTTTTTTAAGTTGTTACTTCATGTCATTTGGAAAAGCATTGTGTTTTGTTTTTATGAGCATATTATAAAATTGTTCTTTTTAGTATATTATAAAATTATGCTTTTTGAGTATATTATAAAAGTATATTTTATATTTTGAGTATATTATAAAATTATGCTTGCTTAATTCTGGTGACTCTGTCAATTCCTCTGATTTTCTGCCTGAAAATATGCTGAATTCTAATATTCAGTTTTATAAAATATCTTATGATTGTGATTTATATTTTATAGAATATAGTTGGTAAATTTAACTCGTATTTGTTTCTTGAATTTTTCATTATTTTTTTTATATGCAAGATAGTTTCCTTCAGAATAAACCTGTGCAAACTGTGGCCTGCTGTGCATTTTTATGGGCCCGACAGCAAAAATCATCTTTTACTATAGTTTACTTCTCCCTCTTCATGGTCCCCAAAAAACAGGTTTAACTTAGGTCGGTGAAAGGTCTCAGTTATGTTACTATAGCAGTTCACTGTAACTACTGCTCTTAGCCCATCTTCTTTGAAAAATAAGGGCCATGTGCAGCAGATTCAGCAAGATCATACGAGGGCTATGATGCGGTCCTTGATGAAGTTCCTGAGGGTTTTCTACTGCCCAGTAGTGCAAATTTTGTTTATTTACAGTACCTAACAAGTGGAAGTGGGCCTCATCAGATGAAATGAAAACAGGACCAGGAGTGGGGATGTCCTGACAAGCAGCTGTGCGAGTTTCAAAATCTCTCTTACTTAATTCTTGGGTAACCATAATTTTGTATGGGTTCGTCTGAAGGCATGTATGCAGGATTCTTTTTGCACTCCTATCAGACAATCTCAGGGCAGCTGCATGTTTTAAGTGCTGAAAGCTTTGTAAATTAATATTACATTTAGACTTAATATATATGATTAAATAAATGTGGTAAAATGTCTTATAATCTTGTCATTTAGTGCAGACTTTCCTTAGTTTGTATTATCCTGAAGTAATAAAGTGTTTCTAGTTAACTTTCTAACCAATAAACTATTTTATGTAACTACAGTGTTTATTAATGTAGTTAGAGGTTTATTCTTTCAGCTATTATTTTTTGTATTTTGCATAATTATTTATATTTACAATTGCAGAAGTTTGTCATTTTTTACTTTACGATTTTTTCTTTATCTCAGGGAAATATGCTGGTAATAAATATATACACATTTTCTGTTACTAGTTTTGAGTTTTTTTTTTTTTTTTTTTTTTTTTTTTTTGTAAATAAAAATCATCATCCATATTGTGTTAAAAACCCAAATGGTAACGAGTGCCATTTCTATTACTTTGATTGATATTTAAAAGTAAATTATTTATGTTTTCTCATAGTTTCCTAGATAACTAACTTTTTCTTCCATAATTCTTTAGCAATTGTGAAATTTCAGACTGTGTCCACAGCAGTCTAGACATACTGCAGTTGTTGTTTTTTGTATTTCTGGTTGTTAATTCAGCAATGTAAATTTAACATAACAGCTGATGACATAATTTAACTATCTTCTTTTCCTTTTAAATAATAAATGTTGCTTAAATGGGCATTTATTGCAAAAAGGGGAAATTTTTTTTCCCATGGGTTTAACATCTTTGTGAACTATACAATAAACATTTTAGTGAATAATTATATCATAGCTAATTAAAGTTATAATTAATAAGAATTCTTATTGTTTTTTTTTAATGTTATGGTTCGATTACACCTTCAGTTAAAAAGATACTCTTTGGTTTGTTGAGGGGGGGGGTGGAGAACTTCCTACAGTAGTATTTATATTTAAAAAAAATTTTTTAAGAAATTTCTAAAATATTATGTATTAACCTGTTAAGCTCCAGATGAGAGTCAACTTAAAAGATTTATAAAAATGGGTCAGTTCAGTCCATATATGCTATAGGAAAATTTATCAGATAGATGCATTGTTTTTTAAATTGTAGTCTAGAATTCAGGTGTTCTTTCATATTATATATATATATATTATTGTAACATTCGAATTTCTATTACTCTCTATGTATTATACATTTTTTGATGCTATGTTTTAAAAATTTAATAGACAATTTTCTCTTAATAGATTGAAATTCTTGTTTATTGTCCCTTGACTCAGAGGCAAAAGCTTCTGTATCAAAATCTAAGGAAGAAAATATCAATTGATGATCTTATGCAGTCTTCTTCAACTGTATCTTCTCATTCTCAGTCTGCTACATCAAGTCTTATGAATTTAGTTATGCAGTTTAGAAAGGTAGGTTATACTCAAATTTCATGTAGTTTCCTCTCTATTGCCTGTTAATTTTTTTGACAGAAGGAAAAGCATAATTAAAAAAAATGTAGAAAAAATTGAGTTGCTGGTGTGGGAACTGTAAGTTCAAAAGTTGTTAATTTTAATTGAAAGTTTTTTTAAACTGATTATGGTTTTCCGTCTGAAAAATATTTGGAACTAAAATTCATAATCAGCTTAATGAATAAATTCATTAAAAGAGCCCCAACTAAACAACCCCTTCAGTTGGGCCTTTTTTAGATACTTGTGTATTTTGAATTGCTGTTGTTATGAATATAATTATTACCTGGTGAGTGCAAGCTATCTTGAGGTTCAGTCTTTATTCAATGAATTTACAGGAAAAAATAGTTTTTTTGGAACATTAGTACTACAAAATACCATATGCCTAGTAATAAGTCATTCTAATGTTTCATGCATATTTCAGGAATTTCTCCAGGTCATTGAATCTTAAAACTTTTTGCTGATGCACTGAACACCCATGATATTGTAACAGTGACTTTAATGTTTTTAACTGTTTTGTGATAAATATTGTGTTTATACTTAAGTAATCAATTCAAATCTAAATTAAAACCAACCAGCATGAGGCTGATCGAAACCAGTTTCCCATCTTGATTTACATAAAAAGATAAAAGAAAAAAATTAAATCCCATGAAGGATGTTAATCATCCAGTTTATTGAATTTGCAGTAACTGAAATGTGATATTTGTAAATAGAAGGGAAAACAAAGTCTTCCCTTAAAAAACAATCTTCCTCATTTTTTCATAAGAAAGAATAAATTCAATTTTATTCCAGAATTTGATAGTTTAGTTCAACCTGTGTCAAAATTAAACTAAATCAGCTCTTCAATCAAGGCACATAATATTGTTTACTTAAGTATAGAAATGTGATTTACAGTAAAACTGCATTGAACGGGGAATTTAATTGTTTCGTGATCGATATACTGTAGACTTAATTAGCATGAAGAGAGAACTAAACTTTCTGTCAAATGTTTGTTGTTTTGTAGAGCATCAAAATAAAATACTTTAATCACTTCATGATAATATGGAAGATTTTGTATAACAGCATTTTTGGTTTACATAAATTGCAAACCTAAATTTGAAAATTTCTTGATGCATTGTAGACCAAGATTTAAGTTTAATGAATTCCCTAAGTATAATGACAGTAATATCACTGTGCAGTTGTCAACATGCTAATTTCAATAGTTGGCATTTCTTATAAATATTTTAAACATATAATTAAGACACAATAACACACCGAATAAATACTAATTCAGAAGTCAAACAACAAAAATCAGCGTTATATTTACAAAATTTTCACAGGACTAGTTTCGATGGTTTTACCGAAACATCATCTTCAGCTGCAAAACCGCAAATGAACAAGATAGGAAATAATGATTAGATAAGATAAGAAAGCCTGAACAAGAATAAGCAAGTACGCCATCTGTTGGCGAAACCAGAACTAAAACATAATTTCTCTAAAAGCCGAAGGCAAATTTGGATTGGAATTAGGATCGTTAACTAGAACAGAAAGATTTTTATGAATGTGAAATGCCTCTAGAAAATCCAGTTCTCCAATGGAAGATGTTTTTTGAATAATTTTGGCAGCAGAAAAATTGAAAGTGTGATTTTCGGACCAACAATGTTGAGCAACAGAAGACTTCTGTGTTTCCTTTTTTCTAACATATGCCTCATGTTCTTGACGCGAAATTTTAAGGCTCTCTTAGTTTGGCCAATGTAAATTAAACCACACTGGCAAGGAATCCTATAAATACCCCAGGAATTCATATCCGGAATGGGGTCCTTGAGTATAGAAGTTGGAATTTTATTGATGGGAAGAATAAACAACCCGAAAGTTAAATTTCTGCAAAATATGTGCAACTTTATAGCTAATTGATGGAAAGAAGGGAATGACAACAGAATTTTTATAATCTCCTAAAATAAGAGTGTGGCTTTTAGTGTGTTCAGAAGAGAATTTTTTAACTGCTTGATTAATAATGTTGGGTGAAAAGCCCCTGTCAATAGCTATTGCTTTTAAATAATTTAGTTCTTCATCAAGGGCTAGTTTGGAGGAGCAAACTTGAAGAGCACGGAAAACATAGGAATAAAATGAAGCTAACTTTTGTTTAGTCGGATGACATGATTTAAAGTGTGGTGGAAGGCAAACCGATGAAGGTTTACGGTAAACTGTTGTACTGAAGTTGGATGTGTTACATGTGTGACCAGAATGTCGAGAAACGGAAGAGAATTGCAAGTCTCAAGTTCAAAAGTGAACTGAATAGCAGGATCAATAGAATTCATTGTTGAAAGAACTTTATTTAAATCATCTTTATTACCTTCAAACAGGGTAAAAGTATCGTCTACGTATCGGAACCATGCCGGGAAGTTTAAAGTTTCAAACAATTTTGATTCATAATAATGCATGTAGATATCAGCCAGGATGGGACTGAGGGGGCTTCTCATGGCTAATCTCTCAGTTTGCTTGTAATATTTATTTTGGAAAACAAAATGTGTTTGTTTCAAACAGAGTTGAGTGAGAGAAATTAGCTCCTCAATTTCGATGCAAGAGAAATGAAATTTGCGAAGTCTGGTTTCTAGACATCTTAATGCACCCTCCACTGGGACATTGGTGAATAATGATTTTACATCAAAAGAAACCATGAGTAAATTACTAGGAGAAATGTTTTTAACCTTTTTTACAAAATCTATTGAATTTTTTATGGTGTAAATGTTATTGTCTAATAGAGTGGAAAATCTAGAAACTAAATATTTAGCTAAAGGATACGAGGCGGCAGTACCTAAATTTGATACAATAGGGCAGAAAGGAATACCACTTTTATGATGAATTTTGGGAAGAGCATATAATCTGGCACAATTCGCAACAGATGGGATAAGCGAATGTTTTAAGTTGCTTGAAATGATTTGCGAAGATTTGATCGCAGAGTTTTTATTTTGGATAAGTCCGAAGGTGAAGGATCTTTAGGGATCGTATTATATGGTCCTTCGTTTAAGAGTTTAGTGACACCATCGATGTAAGTGTTCTTATCCATGACGACTATCTGGCCACCTTTGTCGGCCTTTAAAATGATAATATCCGGGTTAGAATGAATTTCGCGCATTGTAGCTCTTTCTCTCGCAGTTAGATTTGGTTTCAAAGGTTTTATTATTGAATTTCACATTATGAGCGATAAGATGCCTAATCATTTCTTTCTGTGAATCTGAAACTTTACTGAACTTGAAAGCTTTTTCGATAGGAGCCAAAATCTTTGGAATCGAGGGTTTACAGGTTTGTGAGAAGTTAGAATTATATTTTAGAATTCTCTCTTGTTCTTCTGAAAGACTAACATTAGAAATATTAACTATTGGCTTGATGTTTACAATGGGAAGATTTTTTGAACTACTTGAACTGGAAGATTGTAAAAGAAGTTTTTCGAATTTAACTGCAAGGGTGTTTTTCAAGGGTGCTAATTTCTCTCACTCAACTCTGTTTGAAACAAACACATTTTGTTTTCCAAAATAAATATTACAAGCAAACTGAGGGATTAGCCATGGGAAGCCCCCTCAGTCCCATCCTGGCTGATATCTACATGCATTATTATGAATCAAAATTGTTTGAAACTTTAAACTTCCCGGCATGGTTCCGCTACGTAGACGATACTTTTACCCTGTTTGAAGGTAATAAAGATGATTTAAATAAAGTTCTTTCAACAATGAATTCTATTGATCCTGCTATTCAGTTCACTTTTGAACTTGAGACTTGCAATTCTCTTCCTTTTCTCGACATTCTGGTCACACCTAACACATCCAACTTCAGTACTACAGTTTACCGTAAACCTTCATCGGTTTTGCCTTCCACCACACACTTTAAATCATGTCATCCGACTAAACAAAAGTTAGCTTCATTTTATTCCTATGTTTTCCGTGCTCTTCAAGTTTGCTCCTCCAAACTAGCCCTTGATGAAGAACTAAATTATTTAAAAGCAATAGCTATTGACAGGGGCTTTTCACCCAACATTATTAATCATCAAGCAGTTAAAAAATTCTCATCTGAACACACTAAAAGCCACACTCTTATTTTAGGAGATTATAAAAATTCTGTTGTCATTCCCTTCTTTCCATCAATTAGCTATAAAGTTGCACATATTTTGCAGAAATTTAACTTTCGGGTTGTTTATTCTCCCATCAATAAAATTACAACTTCTATACTCAAGGACCCCATTCCGGATATGAATTCCTGAAGGTATTTACATAGGATTCCTTACCAGTGTGGTTTAATTTACATTGGCCAAACTAAGAGAGCCTTAAAATTTCACGTCAAAGAACATGAGGCATATGTTAGAAAAAAGGAAACACAGAAGTCTTCTGTTGCTCAACATTGCTGGTCCGAAAATCACACTTTCAATTTTTCTGCCTGCCCAAAATTATTCAAAAAAACAATCTTCCATTGGAGAACTGGATTTTCTAGAGGCATTTCACATTCATAAAAATCTTTCTGTTCTAGTTAACGATCCTAATTCCAATCCAAATTTGCCTTCGGCTTTTAGAGAAATTATGTTTTAGTTCTGGTTTCGCCTACAGATGGCGCCACTTGCTTATTCTTGTTCAGGCTTTCTTATCTTATCTAATCATTATTTCCTATCTTGTTCATTTGTGGTTTTGCAGCTGAAGATGATGGTTCGGTAAAACCATCGAAACTAGTCCTGTGAAAATTTTGTAGGTATAACGCTGATTTTTGTTGTTTGACTTCTGAATTAGTATTTTAAACATATGTTTGGTAATAAAATGCTGTTGCATAGAAAATGTGTACTGAAGAAGTAATTGAAAAACACAGTGGCCACTAGCCTGAGGCATTTTCAAAAATACCAATGCATTAAGAATTCCATAGAAGAGTAATCAATCAGTAATTTTTTAAGAGTAAAAGACATAGATAATAAAATGCTTACTTTTTTCAAGAAATCCTCCTGACTTTTTTTTGGGGGGGTGCTGTTGTTTTCTTTGTGATCTGTTTTTACTAAAAGAAAAAAAAAATTATATTTACTCACCACAGCACACAAACATTGCCACCAATCTGTAATAAATAAAGTGTATAGTTGTGCTAAACGAGATATGACTACCTTTCAAACCAATTTCTGATTCGAAGTCTAACATTTTGCTTGCAATTTTTTACATTGCATTTTCGTAAAAATAAGTTATTTCAAAACACAACTTTATAGAATGCGAGTTTTGCATTCTCTGTTGCTGGACAAAATGCTGTGTTTCTGCGTAAATACAATGCTTTCTTTTTCATCAGCCAGCAATTAAACATAATAGGAAAATATACTAATTAGAAAAATGATGGTTGAATTTGAAAAATGCAAATAGACATGTCTATTTGCAATTTATTACTATACAAATATTTAATGTAACATGAGCATAGTGGATTGATGCATAGATGTATTAGAGACATAGTGCCTTTCTGCAACTTTTTGTTGGGGAGTGTGGATAATCAGAAAATACCTAATATTCAGTGATGGGCAGCTGAAAATTAAAAAGATATCTTTGGTAACTCAAGTGTAAACTAATGTTTCATTGCACCTAAAGATTTTACCAAACTTTTAGATATTAGAACTACTTACTGTATGTGATAGGGTCCACATTTGCTCACAGTGCAACATATTTGTCATTAAAATGTTAGAATTTTCAAGTATATACAGATGGGGCTCCCCCTTTTCTTTTAAGTGTGCAATAGTCATGTGTACTTGTGTGTTTAAATAATAAATAATTCAGTGTACTGAACTAAAACACATTTGTCATAAATAACAGTGCAAATCTATAATATAACTTTAAATTTTTTATACCTTAACTATTTCAGACTAGCTGTGGCCAATTGGTTAGATCTGTTGAATGCTGGTAGTACAGTCCTAGTTGAAATTCCAGTAAATGAGCTGGCTGTGTTGGTATTTTTATAATTTTCCCCATGTTTAACATAAATACAAGCCAGTTTCTTTAGTTACTTCCTGTAGGTATTCATTTTGTTAGGTAGATAAACCCTTTGTGCTATTTTTAATGGATTTAATAATATCATTTGTACATCAAAAAAATTTAATTTAGTTGGAAGGAATATAACTAGCATTTTGTTTTGTTAAAAAAAATCAGTTCTTTTAAAATCGTAATTTTTTAAAGCTATTGATATTCTGAGCTGTTTTATAATTAGAAGTAATTTTTGTAGTTTTGTAACTTTCACTATTTTAAACAATTTATACTTTCAGGTGTGCAACCATCCAGACTTGTTTGAAAAGCGGGAAGTGAAGTCTCCATTCTTTTCAAAGTCAATTTTATACTTTCTTCCTAAATTGTTGTTTAGGGAAGGTTTGTATTCATTTTTATTGTCATTATTATTATTATTCACTAGTAGCCGAGTAAGATTACTGAAAATTCATAATTTGTCGTATTTACAACTGAATAAGATGGTGGCTTGATATTTTCTAGGTTTTCTTCATGAATAACAAACAGTAGGAATGTATTAACAGTGTATAACAAAAATATAAAACATTTTCCTTTAAAATATTTACAAGGCATTCTTCATAATTCATGTAAACTTTGCATTTTTTTGTGTTAATAAATAGCTTGATCTAAACGTTATTAATTAAAACTTTCATGTTACTTTTTTTTATGTATGTGTGTGTGATTGTTCAACAGTTGTTAAAACTGATGGTATATTTAAACAGTTTATTAACAAAGATATAATAAAATACAATGGCTGCTTTAAAAAAATAATTGGGAAACTCAAAATTAACATTCTAAATTTGGTGCCCCCTCCCCTTAAATTCATCTGTTCTCCAAAATTCGAGATCATTCCAAATTACATAGCACTGCTTGAAAAAGGTGACTAAAACTAATATTGACCAATCATAGCTTAGAATACTTTCTGCGCACCTGTGAAGTATAAATACTGAGTCACGAGCACTACGCTTTCCTTTTCTTCGTGACTTCAGGCCATGCAAACAACTCTGCGCTCCTTATCCTTCCCTGCCTGAAATTATGTCACAACTTTTTACCTGTGCATATAAGAAATTATAGTAATTGCTGTGATTAAAGAGTATATTGTCTATAAAGAATTATTCCGGTGTGCCTGTAAATAAAGATGTTAATTGGCAAAATCTAGTTTGGTATCAACTCCTTCTTCTCGCTGTGCAAATCAGCCATCGTGACTGTGCTTCAAAATTATTACATATATATATATACACAGAGAGAGAGACCTATAGGGTGTAACTTAACTGAAAGTCACTATTTTAAGGGATGATATAACAAAATAGAAGTAAGTTTTCGTAACAGAGTGTATGGTGGAATGTGAACTTGGAAATGCATGAAATACAAAGACCATGAAAAATCATGAATATTTACAATGTTTGCAGAAATATTCAAATGAATAAGCAGCAATGCAATAATGTATCACAACAGCGAGCACTTTCCAAAGTGTAGGCTAGTCACTTCATCATTATTGGGATGCATATATAGCAGTTAGTGGTCATTCATTTGAATAATTGTTGTAAATATCAGATGTTATTTCTTGTGAATATTTATGATTGGATTCTTGTTCTCTGTGTGCTTCATGCTTAACTGTATACCAACTTTGATATTCCATTTCAATTTAAAATCACTACGTTTGACATGTTCTATCACCTCTTAAATTTATGGAATCGGGTTATTTAAACTTTTGCAAAACACTCAAAGCCTCTCTCTCCTAAAGTGTGGTGTCTTTGTGGAAATCCTTTTAAGATGAACTGGCTCATATTTACATCCTATATAGGAAGAACACAGAGTTTTCCATGCAGGTAATCCATTCACATGGGATTTTACCACCCATCAGCTGCTGGTACCTTCTTTAAAGTTGTGACCATCAATTCTTTTTTACCTTATATGTGTGTGTAATAATTTCATTGGTGTGTTGATAAGTGTATTTGAGAGTTGAGTAGAGAAGATGAAGCCATTCACTTTTTAATCGTGGCCAAGGAAAATTGTTGTGTAGATGACTGGAAATTGCATTGTAGTGGATAGAATTGTCAAAGAAGCATGACTGGGTAGTTAAACATAATTTATTTTTGGGTGACAGATTTCTTAACACATATCTTCTTAATTGGTAGAATAATAGGTATGCTAAACATACCCCACAATTTGAGATAAGTAATTATATCTTAAATAATGGAGAATAGCTTGCAAAGGCTAAGCAACACATTGTCAGCAGAAAAGTGAAATGGCAAAAGAGTGACTTGTAGTAGTATCTATAAGCTCAGAAAGTATTTGTTTTAATCCTGAGCGGTGATTGGGGAAAAGTCTGCAGCAATACGGTAACTGCAGGGAAAATGGGCCTTTGAAGAGTGTTGTACTTTAATTAAAAATTCGAAATTTAAAGGTCTGTTATCTGTATATTTTAATCATCAATTTTAATTTGTTAAAAATATGTAAATCAAAATTATAATTTATAAAGACTCTTAATTGCTCATTTTTAATTTGCTCTAGTAATAATGTTCTTGAAACTGCATCATATCTGAAAACTAATTCCGCATTATGCTATCTTTAACTTCTGCGTTCTCTATAAGTTATAGCCAATTAGATGAAAGAAAAATTTTAATATAAATACTGTTGCAATCCAACTGCCCTTCCTCTTTCTCTGCCTATACTTGCTAGCTAAGGAATGTCTCTTGCTTGACTCCTTGTGTTAAAAATGTAATGCGTCATCATGAAAATTGTGGCGTGTAGATTGGCCCCATTGTGATGTGCCGTGCAGTCAATACGTAATAAGGAGATATTTGGTTTGTCAAGTGATATTGTGATTCTTCAAAAGTTCTACATAATTGATATTTTTAGTGATCTTCTAACCTCAATCCACTCGCGACTGCAAAATAATGTCTTCCGTAGTCAAGCACTCATCTCGTATCAAATTACTGTTAGGAACTAAATTATATCATCACATATAATAAAACTGTATCACAAATTTTTATTTTAAAACAAATTATCCTAATATCATTTCTGCACAAATGCTTCTAAAAATTAATTAGTTATAAGACTAAAAAGAAAGAAATTGAGAACCATATCCACAAAAATAGTAAAGAAATTCATTACCAATAAATCTAAAATTCACCATAAATATGTGCAAAATCAACTAATAGTCATCAAACCAGTAGAAATACAGAGAAAGTAAATACGAAGATAACAAAAAAAGTATGTAGGCAGAGGAATGTAATTACGTCTGTTTCAACATTATTAAGAGGAGATAGATCAGACGTAATTGAACTCCTCCCACCTTGGAAAACCACTGCATTTCTATTAATCCAAAATTGGCTGATGAACTAGTCTAAATTATTTAATTTCAACAGTTCACTCAAAAATTCAGAATCCGTCCCCAATGCATTTGATTCCCAAATGTAATGAAGTGGTACAAAAACAAATCTTATGTATTAATTTAATGTCCATTAAAGGAAAAGAATAATAATTAGACATATTTTGCTAAAAATGTATATATCTCTGTGTGTGTAATTAAGACAATATTCTGTTAATGGTTTAGAATAATTTATCTTCTTGCAGTTGTGCTTCAGTTCTGAATAGTAACATCTAAGTTTTCTTAAATAAAGCATTTTGTGTCTATCTTCTTCCTGAATTGTATTCTTATATAATGATATTCAAATTGTTTTTTCATATTAATGTGCAAAATAAGATTTTCATTTTAGGACTCCTGTATTTGAACTCTGAAGAAAAGCAGCGACTTTCTTTAAATACATTTGGTATCTTTCATCCTTATTATATTCATCAAAATTTATTTCCACCGGATGCATCTGATAGTAAGTGAGAAATATTATTTTTCTCCCCCTTCCTCTGAGCACAACTAAGAAAGAATGTGTAAAACTTTGATGATTATTTGCACCATGTAGAATTTCGTTGATAACAAATGCTTTGAAAACTTTTTTATGTAAATATATGCCTATTGTATTAAAATAAAATTGTTTTTTTGTAAATAACTAACACCAAGATGCTTGATAACTTAAGAATAATTTACTCGATCTTTATTGCATAGGAAGCTGTTATGTTTTTATAACCTATTTATAGGCAAATGTCCATTAAAGAAAAGGGAAATTGTAGTGTAGAGGGGGAAAAGATAATTGATAGTAAAGTTTTTGAAAAAGTAAAGAACTCTTTTTAAAAATATTGAATCATTTGGGAACCTGGGGATATTTACCAGAGTTATTTTTATGAGAGCAAAAAATATATATTATGAACAAAAGCCAAAATAGTAGTATGGTTTTACCTAAATGGATTCTGTATGGTAATTCTGCCACTACATTATATGCATGTGTGGTTAAAATTTAAAACTTTCCTAGCAGCTTACAAAATGTAAGCTGTAGCAAAAATTTACAGGAATTTCTGACCCTGCTATTATATTAGATCGCTAATGCATATGCAGAAAATTTAAAATAAATGATTGTATTGAATAGTAAAGTCTTTTGTAACTTTGATTGCATTGCCTTATTTATGTTTATTAAGAAAATGTCTTGGAACATTTGATTTAAAAAAAAGTTTATTGACTGCATTTTTCCTTTAAAATTAATTATGGTAACATTCTTAATTTAGTTTAAATAACCCATACATCTCACTAAGAATAAATACTTGATAAAATAACTTAAATATGTTACAGGCCTTTATTGCATTATTAAATTATATTGCATTTCAAGGAATTGCTGAATTTTTCTTTTACACATTTTTAAAAAATAGAATCTCTTAAGTTTAAATATTGTAGTTAATAAGTGAAGTTAAATTACTTCTTAATTAAATATTATAGTGAACATTATTTTGTTGCAGTAATCGCCATACTAACTTGCATGTTTCTATATAGGATATGAACTTGTTGACAATTGTTTTTCGTTTATGCGCTTCATGGGTTTATCTATTGGAGAAATATCACAGATATTCCTTTGTGGACTATTAACAAGGTATTTTTAATTTTGTTTAAAATATTAAAATGTTTGTCTTGTATTATTTTGTGTGTATTTTGTATTATTCGGTTACTAAAATATAACTTGTTGCAGAAGTATTTGTTGTGTAATAAAAACGTGTGAATGTTCATTTAAACTGTTTTTAAATAATTTTTTTTTTTTTCATTGAAACAATTTTTGGAGGATTAAGATAACAGGAATCCGTATAATATTCATAAATTTGCAGGACTAGTTTCTGAAGCTTAAAAATAGAATCATCTTTAGTTGCAAAAGTGCAAATGGTATCTTAATTTCCCACCACCACCACCACTAAACGCAAGAAGAAAAATATAGCAAAAACAGTTGATTCATGTTCTTGTTCATAATAGCAAGAGATAGCTTATCAAGATTCAAACAGGATTGTATCAAATGAAAGCACAGTTGTTATAAGAATGCTGTGATATGCTTATCCATAGTTGGCACTAAATTGCACCACTTAGCAACGGTTTCATGGTTGACAGAATAATATGCAAGTTCCACTTTTCCATAACTAAATTTTTAGAAAATATTCAATTCCCATTCATGTCTCAAAATTCCTTCATTTGGTAACTTAAAACATTGACAGGACTAAAATCCTTCTCTATCTCTCTTTTTTTTGGGGGGGCTAGTAAATAATTATCTATGATTGATGTTTTAATTTAGATGAAAGGTTAATTTCGTATAATACTTTTTTATCATTATAATTTATATAAAAAAGGCTAAATATGACCGAATGGAAGCATAAGAGCAAATAACTGTTTCAGATAATTATTATAATTTGTATAAAAATTGCTAAACATAACTGAATGGATGCCTGCATCGCTATTTCTCTACCGAGTTAGCGCTGAAGCATAATTTCATCTTGTTGGTTGTTCAAACATAATTTTCTATAATGAATGATTATTTTCCTTTGAAAAAATTCTCGGTAAAGTGCAGAATCGCCTACTTGTCTGTTTGCCGCTTTTTACAAGGATTGGATTTTGACAAAACAATTGTATTTTTGTCAATTTTCTTTTACTTTTTAAGTGAAACTAGGTCGATGTGTACATAGATAAAGTAAAGGGTGTGTGCAATGCCATTTTTGTGCTATTCTGGGATTTTTTATTCAAGTGAAAATAGGGCGATGTGTACATGAATACCGAGTATGTGCAATTCTTAAAAACGCGTCAAGCAGTGGGTGATTCTGCACTTTACCTAAAATTCTATTGCATACTTTTTGCCGCGGGCAATTCCCAAATTGTTAAATCCTTAGGATATCAAAAAAGGATTTAAAAATTAAACTAGTATTTCAATGGTGTCTTAAGAAATATAGAACTATATAAACTTACGCAATCTGACATCAGCGTATATGCTAGATTTGGCACGCTGTTAAATGGGCGCGTTTGCTGGATTTGGCGCTTTTGCGCATACGTTTTCGCTGCAATTTTTTTACGGTTCTCAATATGGAATAGTACACCCCTTTTTTTTTTTATGTTGAAGGCTTATAGTTTTAATTCCTTATGCATTTCCTTAAAAGTTAAAATCCCCATCATATTTTTCATTCCTTGCATTCTGCTTGTATTTAATAAATGCCTCTGCAGCTGTTTCTTCCCTCTTTTATTTGTGCTTTTTAAATATTTGGACTTGCATGTATTTCTATAAAACTAAAATTGGTCCAAGATTGAATTTTTAGTTATAAGTTATTGATTATAAGAATATCCAAGCTTCCACTTATTTGAGCTGTTTTTATTTAATACAATCTATTATATTGAAGTATAAATTTGTGCAGGTGTAGGTAAGCAGAAGTATTAGCAAAATGACTTTATGCAAAGGGAGTGTTTGCTGAGTTGTGGTAAGGAGTACTACTTCGTCTCCATATACGTTTTACCAACAGAATTTTAGTGGATTTGTTGAGATGGTGGCTTATAAGAGTTATCTATATCTGCTGATTCATTTGCCATGGTTTAACTTATCTGCATTTCAGATTAGCAGAGGGGGAATAGCTCTTAGTTATCAGAATACAGCAATGTGATAGACCATAATAGTGCTGAAATACTGCAATTTGCATGGTTGTTTAGAACCAATCTAACTGAATATATGGAATGAAAATGTTCATTGCAGAGCTGTATGTGCATTCTGAAATTACAAGAAATCCCTCAAACTCTGACCTTACACCCTAGTATACTAGTAAACAATTTTGTTTGTCAGTGGACACAGACTTTCATACTTCTGCTTTTTCTTTTGAAATTTTCTTCTGTTTTTGCTTCTCGCACAACTATTCTGATTTATTTATCACAGCAAAAGGCCCACAGTTAAGTTTATTGATGCTGTAAATAGGAAAATTAATAGTTCTTATACCATTGCATGAAACAGTATGTTACGCTGTTCAGTATAAGAACTGCTTTCTCTTCCCACTTAATCCACTTTTGAAATTAAAACTTCAAAATGTCTTATTTTCATAGATATAAAGCAATGTATTCTAAGATACAATATATTTTACTTTACGTGATATAGAAGTATTATGTCCTGTTGTGCTGATAATGCTTTATTGTTACATTGTTAAATATTGGTAATGTCTTATTTGCATAGTTTATTAATACTATTTCAAATTTTATGTATACGTTTTTCTCATTTTAATGCTGAAATGTTTAGCTACTTCGAGACTTTTTAATGATGCCATTAGTTTTTATTTCTCCTTTAAGAATGTTCTTTCGTAATTATAATATGCTTTTAAACAGGTGTTTCTTTCCTAGTGCATGTCTTTTTGTATCAGAAATGTTGCTTTATTATTAACAGCTGTTTTAAGTGTATACATTTTGTTTGGAATTTTTTGTTGTATATAATCCAGGTAATTCTGATTTTTAAATAACTTTCTTCCTCAGTAAGAAATAAAATCTTGTTTTCATATTTTTTATTATGATGTAAATGCACTTATAAGTTTTTAAAATTAAATCTCATAATGATTTATATTATAGGTGGATGGCTGCTTATCTAATGTGGAAATTTGCATATAGGATAGTTCATGAACATATTTGGTCAGGTTCTTCCTCATCAAAGTAAGGAATATATTTTAAATAAATAATGGATTATTAGTAACTAAATTTTTATAAATTAATAATGACTCTATGGGTTATAATTTGTTATTCATATTTTCCATTTCTTAGTGCTCTGTGCTTGTTATTCACTTGCTCCTTGAAAACCTAGGAAAGTCTTTAAAACCAATGTGTTCTTAAAATGTGTAAAATGCAGTATAACTTTGATTTAACACTTTTATATTGGTCTAGTTTCAAGGTTCTATTCCTTAAACCTCCTTAGTTCATAGTTTAGTTGAATCCCTGCCAAGTTTGTCAGATGAGTTATCACTCGTCTATGGACAGGTTTAAAAAACTTTTTTTATTTAAAATTTTAAATTTAGCAGATGCAGCACTTTTGCTTAGAATTTAATCTTTGCAGCTTGCAGGATTTTATATAACATAGAAGTGAATTAAAATTCAAAATTAAATAATGTTGGAGATTCATAGTGCAAAAACCCTCAAGCATTGGCTCAATTCTAACTAAATGATGGCAAGATCTGGCTAGTAGAAAAGCTAGTGCCAAAGTTTCAGAGCTGGGCAAGGAAATATCAAGGTGGTTAGCCCATCTGCCAGAATTTTGTCTTACTTTCAAGTATGCATGTATGTTAGATGAAAAGTAGAAATGATAGTACATTTCAGTATCATAAGGTAATGGATTATTAAATATTCTGCATAATACAAAATGGATAAAATGAGTGTTGTGTAAGCACTGAATTTTCAGTTTTTAATTTTTCTCAAATTTATAAAAATTAAGTTTTTTAAAATCAAATGTAATTTTGATATAGTAAACCCTCCCCCCTTTTTTCTCTTCTCAATTTTTAACCTTTTCTAGATTGTGATTTGTATGCATGTGCACAATATTGTAAATTATACATCAAGAATTAAAATTTGTGAGTGATAAATTATTGAACAAACTTATGATGATCAGAAAATAAGTGTGGAATTATCTAGCTCTTGGAGAGAAGAAATAAGGCTCTGTAGTTTTATGTCGGGAAGAATGTGTGATGACATTACGCATAGTTTTAATGCATTTATTTAATAAGGCATAATGCATAGTTTTAATGCCTTTGTTTAATGCATTTATTTCTGTTAATAAAGGAGACACCAGCACTGCTGTAAAACTTTTATAAAAAAGTGTTACTGTATTTAATTTTAAAAGGTAATTTTTTGTGTGTATGTGCATGAATGTATATATATTTGAAATAAAATGACTAGGTAATTGGTAAACACAATTTAGAGCCTTTTGTAATATATATCAGTTTTAAAGTTGAACTATAATGTATATCTAATGTAATAATTATTATTCCTTGGCAATCACTAAATCAGCATTTATCTTTTGAATTTTTATGCTTGGCAAAGATCATAACTAAATGCCAAACAATCAGTTATTCATACCATTATCCTACCAGAGAAATCCTTCTAGTCTGTCAACCATCTTCTAGTCCACCATCCAATGTATTTGAGACAAAAATGGTCAATTATAAAAAATATATCAGCTGTAAAAGTTTCAATCATAAATCTGAATATGTATATTTCTTTTAAATTTCTAATGACAAGACAAATAGAAGTGACCAAAGTCATTGCCTCAAAAGATCTCTAGCATGCCAGTTAAGTGCCATTTCAGAGTCACCAAGAAGTAATCCACATTGGCGGAGTTCGTGTCTCTTCATTGGGTCGGCCGAATTACAGAGAGAATAATCGGATCCCAGTGCGCTGGAGGTGCTCTCCCAGGCAGTCATGTCCACTCAAGAGCCAGAACTAGGCAGCAGTTTCCCACCATGGATTGCTAAGAGATCTTCACTTCTCCAGCACTGTAACTTTATATTCTATCTTGAATTTGCAATTTATCCTGTAGTAATGAGATCATCATAAAAGGAGCCAGCCATAAAAACGTGAAACTCTCATATTTTGGATACATCATGCCAATAGTATCTTGAGCATAACATTTCAAAACTTCTGTAGAGTTATTTCTCTTGAAGTGTGGTTTGTGAGAAAGGCATAAATCTGATTTTTAAAGATAATTTTTTCTATGTATGTGCATGAATGTATGTTTATTTCAGGGTTGCCACGCTACCTGGAAAACCGGGAGAACCGGGAAAAGTCAGGGAATTCGAAAATTGACCAAAAAATTCAGGGAAAAGTCAGGGAATTCAAAAATTGACCAAAAAATTCAGAGAAAAGTCAGGGAATTTAAGTATTTTTGACTCAAAATCTGGAAAAATCAGGGAATTTTCATATGGCAATGATTCCGCCAAAAAAAGCGATTTTTGCACGCGACGACGTCGAAAGAGATAACTTTTTTGGCGAATTAATGCCTATCACGTGAGTGCGTCATTTAGGCAGCTGGCATAGAGCCAATTTTCCCAGCTCCAATTTGATTGCCTTTTAGAAAGGCAAAGCAAAGTTTCCCGCAACTTTTTGGTTTCCAGTATCCTCGAGAATGGCATCGCATGTGCAGTGCATGTTGAACTAAAGCAAAAGTACTGTATCTCTCGTATAAAACAAAATGGGTTTAATCTTAGTATAATATATGCGGTACCATGGAAGGTTAGAATCAAAGAATATGTATTGTAAAGAAGGGAAAACCTCTCTGCAACAGGATGTGGCTCTGTTCCATCGTAGAGGGAAACAGCTGTGCATGCGTGATATATCTGCCGCCAAAGCTGGAAACCGGTGTCGAAGTTCGAAGGTCACGTTATCAAGAGTTCATTCATTAAATGAATATCCTTTAAAATTTCTTTAACCACTTGCCACTTGCGCTAAAAAGACGTGCCACGCACGTCGAGATGTTTTTTTTTGTCTCAAACTGCGAGCGACGTGAACACCACATCGATAAGCATTTATCGCAAAAATGAAAATAACATGGTGCACACGTCGCCTAACAACGAGATTGTTTATTTCTCGAGTTACAGCTCTGGATTGCACTCGCAGATGCGGAGAGGCGTAAATGAGACACGTTACCACTTGCTATATTGTAGCGCACGGCACCGCAACCGTGAAGTTTAGTCTTAGCGCAAGTAGTTAAACTCTAAATTAAAAGAAAATATTTTTTGGCGCAAGTAAATTAATTCATGGGTTACTAATTTTCAGGGGGGGGAACTACGAAACTACGAAAATCCGTTTTTTAAAATTATTGCGAAAAATCCAAAGAAGAAACGTCCTTTGATAAAACGTTTCTTCTTGGATTTTTCGCAATAATTTAAAAACAGATTTTCGTAGCTTTCTTTTTGTCAAAGAACGTTTCTTCTTCTTAACACGTTTCTCAATTTCCGGTCCGGTACACATCGCGGAGAGGGAAATTCTGGCCGCCAGGTTCCGTCGCCAAATTCCTTGGCAAATTTTCCCTCCGCATTCTAGCGGCATAATAGCATTTTACTTGTATGGAAAATTTTCTTCTTTACATAGACCAAAGAATTAGAGATTCTTTGCATAGACTTTTTTTTCGTTTTTTGGTTAAAATAATCTCCATGTATGGATTTGGCGACATCATGATGATGCGCAGTAAACGGGTCATTTTGGTCTTGGCGACAATTTTCAAAATCGTGCCAAAGCCTTACCGTACACTAGAATTTTACCGCAAAATCTTTTTCTTTTTAAACTTTTCTTTTTAATAAATACCTTGCCATTTTGCATTTTGCAGTAAAATAAAAAATAGTAATCTGTCATCTAGGCTAACCATGTTATATAATATATATATTCGCTAAAATATCGTTGATTATTCTAATTCAATTTTTAAGTAATTATCTTTATTTTTATGTTATTCGCATAATTTAATGATGCTTCTTCCCTCTAAATTTATTAATTATTAGTAAATAATATTTCTAAATTTTAGGAAATTTTCTCTGGCATAATCTTGAAATTAATTCTAGCAGTATGATGACATACCATCACGAAATTTAATGCACAGATTTTTTTTCTTATGTATGCTGCGAAATAAATATAAAATACCTCAATTTATTAAAATAGATTTCTTTCTTTCGTTTAGCTGCAGAATGTCTGCAAAAAAAGCCTTATTTTATTCCAGATTGAGAAGATTCTAATCTCAATCTTCAATGGAGAAAACAACAACTATTATAATTATATTTGTGTTTTCAAGTGTTAAGGTGCTTTTTAAGAACATACCTCACACAAATTAAATTTACTAAAATCTAACGTAACTATTTAGCATTGCGTTGTGATTTATAAGGACCGGATTAGCCTCGTGTTGAGCTGGTGATGATCATGAGTAATAATTAAATAAAACATACATTTGTTATCCAATGTATATATCTTAAATTTTATTAAGTTTCTTAAGTGGAAAAGTAAACAAAATTATCAAACAAAGTATACCAAGAATAATTAAGAATAAATGTCCTCTGTGATTTATTGAATAATTAAGTGAATTTGCTACACAAATACAAGTAATACCATAATTTACCTCTTAGCGTAGCCAACGTACATTACGCGGATAGACTGGAATTTTCTTGAAACGCACCTGAAAACCTGGAAAAGTCAGGGAATTTCATTCTCCTGTTTGAGTGGCAACCCTGTTATTTGAAATAAGATGGCTAGATAATTGGTAAACATAATTTAAAGCCTTAGAATTTCAAATGGGTTTGAAAGCTTTGAATATTATCTGGCAACTCAAAATTTCATCTCCTGGGCAAACTGAACAAAACTGTTTTATGTTTTTAAATTTAGTGTTTGTTGAATAATTAATCTAGTAATGATTTCCAGGTATAATTTAATTTTTATAAAGAATTGTAGCTTTTTCTTCAATAATAACTGTAATGATTGTATTGTTAGTCAGCATAGTGTAAGTCAGTGTTGATTTGATGGCCCTGGTAATGAGCTTTAGAGCTTGATTCTGTAAAAGGTCCACTTTTAAATCAGTTTCAGAATGATTTAGTACAAGACTAGCAGTTCAATTTGCTGTCTAAAGTCACTCTCAAATAATTAAATTCAATAGTGTGGGTGAGAGCAACTTTTCTCTACTTCAGGTCTGGGAGGAGTGGATAATAGGTCAGCGAAAAAGACTGGATGACTGTTTTCTCCTAATTGAAATTCGTATTACTCTCAATGCCATTCTGACAGTGTTATCAAGAGCCTAATTAATTTTCATTTCTATCAAGGATTTCCTGTTTCACTTTGGTGCCTGCATCCAAATGACAAGATCATCAGCAGAGAGCAGGCAGTTGACACCTTTGGCCTTTAAGCCAGAATCTAAGTCATTGATTTAGATACTAAACAACTTCCAACTGCACCCTGAGGCAGACCTGCTTGCAGATTGAAATATATTTAGTCATTATGAAATCTGGCCTTGCAGATGTGCTGGTCAGAGAAAGACCTTATCTGCCTAACATATTTCCACAAACTCCAGCACCAAGTAGTTTTTAGTGCAGTTTCTGTCTCTATACTACATCGTAGATGCTTTAAAAATCAATAAAACCTGCTTTTAAAATATTTTGATTGTCATGCTTTACAGTTTAGTTGAGGTAGCAACCTCATTCAATATTTTCCCCCTTCCTAAACCCAGCCTTTTTATTGGTTATTAGGTTTTATCCAGAAACCCTGTTAAAGATTAGTTTTTTCATAGTCTTTCCAATAATGCTAGTGAGAGAACATGGTTTTTAACTACTGAGTTGTTTTGGATCTTTATTTTTCATTAGAATAGCTAAAAACCACAGCTTCTTTCACTTAACAGGCACAAGACCTGTCTCCTAGATTCTGTTAAAAGTATGTAGTGCCTGGTCTGTTTCATTCAAATGCTTCAGAAATTCGGCATGGATTTGTTCATTCTCTGGCACACAATGGCCATTCTTAATTCATCTAGAGAAGAAGGAATTGTAAAAATAGCATGATTGTTACCTGAGGTGTTTAACTTTTGCTCGTCTTTTCTATTTGTTTTGACATTGTCCAGGCAAAACTCTCCCCCTCTTTTTTTTTAGTCGAAAGGGGCTTTGTCCCTGAGAGACTATTGTTTTCGTTTTGTGATTTTGCGTCAATTCACTACAAACGGCAAACCACTTCTCAAACTGTTGCCACAAAGTATTATTGCCCTATATTATATTTAAAGAAATTAAATAATGAAAAATCTGCATAAATGTATGTATATTTCTTGCATTGTAATGAACCAACGGAACATACAGCCATCGAATTTTGAATGACGTAATCATCCGACAAATATGGGCATGTGGAAGACCAAATTTGGAATTTGTTTTATTATCGATTTCCTATTTTGTAAAACTTTAACCAAATTTTGATTAACAAACTCAGGGATTTCAAAGCGAGCAATGGCAACATTGTACAGAAAAAACATTTTTATCTCTGCGTGAGTCTCTGTATCGGAAATTCTAAAGGATATGCTCATTTTAAAACTATTTTGTGATATTGCTGTTGAACTGAATTTTATGGTTTAAGAGCTAAGAACATGATATTAATAAAGAAATATAACACACAAAATGTTTAAAAAAATGCTCCTTTGGACGTAATTTAAAATCTGAAAGATTTCAGATTTTCTTTTTTATCCCCCCCTTTTTTTTTCCTTAAATCCTTGGAGAAAACTTAGTCAAAAGCATTAGTCATTGACTTATCCCATTAAATGACATTGGTTCTTTGTTAAGAGCATGTTTTTTATTTTGCAAGGTTGACAAGAATATATGTGTTTTCATACTGTCTTCCTTATAGATTGATGGTAGATATAAATTTATCAGATGAAACACACAGTAAATCTAATGTACTACCATTTCCATTGTAGTGGCTCTAAGTCAGTAGGTCAGAGGCATCAAAAATAACCTCAAGAGAGGTAGAATTAAGGAGATCTTCCATTCCTGCAGCATTCATATAACTGGTAACAATTGTCTTTTTATCAATAGGTAGCATAGACAAATCAGGTTTACTACTTGGAGGAATATATAATGCATATATTGTAAAGCGGAAATTTTCCTTCAAGACATCTAATTTAACATTTTCACTCTTGTCTTTGGAATCTCCCATTTCCTTACAGATTTCAGTTTGTCAAAGTGTTTTTAATACCTACCGGTATTTCACATGCAGCTCTCTGGAACAATTATTCTGGCAGTATTCTGGGAAGGGGTACAATGTTTATCTTCTTTCTAATTATCAGATCTCTGATGATAACAATTATTGATATATTTGCCATTATGGAGTCAAGTAGATCAATTGTTTTTGATGGTGGCAAACCACCAGCATTCCATTGCAAAACATTACGACTAACCTCCAGAACTGTGTCGAAATGTTAGAGGAAAAACATATGTATTGGGATTGATGTGTATAAAACTGCTGATATGTGTGTGTATGATCATTTTGGATGGTACAATGAGAGAATCAGTTGTGTCACAGTTGTGGTGGATATGTTGATAGCAGATAACTTGCTTAAATGAATTTTGGAAAAGCCACAAATACTTTGGATAACACAGCACATCTTTATTGCTTGACAGCTAATCTATCAAGACTACTTAATTGACACAGCACAATGGGTGCAGAAAAACAGATTACATTGTTGTGAAGATGCCAAGCAGTTAATTACATGCTTATGAATTGACAGCAGGGAAAAACTGATGCATATTAAGCAACTGAGAGAATTTATAAGCTCGGCTTTTGTGCTTTAATCCTGAACGGCAATTGGGCAACAGTTTACAGCAATGTTGATTACTGTAAGAGACTAATGACGTCAAACTGATACAGCACAATCTTTTGAATGGTTTATAACTAAATCAAATTTAGGAATGTATGTTCTGTTAAGTACTAACCTCCATATTATATATACAATAAATATACATATATATATTTCATATATATATATACATTATGAACACAGCTAAACTTACAGAAATTTCTTTTTAGGTTTTATGTTTAAAAAAAAAAAAAAAGTCATTTTTTATGATATTTATGTTTAACTGCATTATATCACTGAAAAAACCATTGATTTAATGTAATATAACATAACTTTTTTCTAATATGTACTTAGTTTAAAATTTTAATTATAGAAATTTATTAGTGTCTGACTTTTTACAATAGATATATTGGCCTAAATGGATTAGTGCTTTACCCTATGCTGCCTGAGTGTGCGCTTCAGATCTCGGATAGTGCCTTCTCACCACTCCTTTTCACCAGTTATGTAAATAATAATTATGGTTTTGTTGATCATCATATTTACCCTGTGAAAACCGTGCGGAAAACAAATCCACAAGTTAATGCCAAGAATGAAGATTTAATATCAGTGAAACAGGTAGATTTCATTTTCATGTACAAAAATAAAATAATTTTATGGTATGCAGGTATATGTTATCTTAATTTCTTAGAAATGATTTCAACATTATTAGTCCACTATTGCATAATATGCTGTATTTTTTTGTTTTGTTTAAATAGAACTATTTTATGCATTTTTACTTGTATTTCATCCCATTCTCATTTATGGGGAAAGGTTTGATAATTTTTAGCTTAGTATTAAAATATGTCAGTTGCTTAAATATTTTTGTGTTTGGAAGCATTCCTCTCTGAATTATGAAAATATTGCTGTAACAATTATAATTTTATTATTTAGAAAAGATGTTTTTTAATTCTTTTAACATAAAATTGTGTGAGCTAATGAATTGATTACTTGAATTAATATTCTCTTTTAAGCAGCTATCCTCTTCAAACACACCTGAAATTTTATAAATCTATTCACTATAAGTTTTGATATTTCAGCCAGAGTTTAACCCTTTGACGCACGCTATGTTATTTTTATAAGTTTTTAACTAAAAACTCTAGAAATTGAATATTATAATCTTAGAGACAAGTAATATATGAATTTAAAAAAATCTACTCTTGCTCATTGTTCTATGGGTGGTGGTCGCACTGTGAAACCAGTGCACATCTAGGATTTTGAAACTTACTGAGGTAGTAGGAAAAAAAAACTTACCTTTTTCCGTGCATGTTTGCAATAAATGATGAAATTTACGAATTTTTAAAAAATGTCTATAAGAATTGCTTATATGTAAACTTTTTATTTACATTATTTTACAAAGTAAATCGTCAGAAAAAATAAAAAAGTAAACATAAAAAAATATAGCTACCTACATAGTAAGGACGTTCGAGTAAATGGATAAAAACCTGAATAAAGTAAGGATTTAAAAAAAAAAAAAAAAAAAACTCTTTATATATATATTTCAAAGAACACATTTTTTTGTGTGACACTGTTCAAAGCATGTTTTGCCTTTTTTGTACATGCATAGACCTCACATTTTGCATATGTATCTTGTTCTATGAGGCTTCTTCCTTGTGCTACAAAATGTACACTGTCTGGATCTTCTAAATTTCACTGGTATATGCCCAGCGTTACTTGTTTCTTTTCATCTGGCACATGAAATTTGTGGGTTTTTTTTTTTTAAATTATTATTATTATTTATTTATTTTAATGGGGGGGAGGCTTGGTCTTTTTGACTTTGGTACGGATCATTCGTTTCCCATTCGTATTTTGTCCCAAAATATTTTTAATTTAAATAAAACGTTCATGTGATTTCTATTTTTAATTATAGCAAGGTATATTTACATTAAATTTAAACCACACCAAATAATTTATAAAATCACAATACTAGCTTGGGAAGCAAGTATGCTGAGGTCAGAGAAAAATCTCTGGAAACGAAAGACCTTTTTACTGGGCAGGTGCATGTATTGTTTAGTAATAAAATAACTCTGCGATTTCAAAGCCCCTTATCTATATCCGGGTAAAAATAAACATTCCATTTTGAAAAGCAAGCAAATGCGATTGATTGTAAAGAGCACTGGTTTCAAGGCGCGACCACCGAGCATCTAGAGGATTGTGACAAAATGCTCTAGTCGCACAGTGGTCGCACCCTGAAACCAAAAAGCAAATGCCATAAATATAAATAGTTTTTTTTTTTAATATATGCTGTTTAATTATTGCAATTTTTTGTTAATCACGATAGAAATTGTGACGTGAGATGAAAAACTTTCAAAATTTAAAGTTGTTTATATTAAATAATAATTAAAGTGATTCTACCCAGGCTTTTGTGGTTGGCATATTTCTTTGAAACTTGGTGTATATATTATAGTGTATAGAAAAAGAAAGCTGCAATAAAAAAATAATAGTTCAAATTTCAACCTCAAGGTGAAAAAGGAATACGTAACCCTCACTCCCCAAAAAAATTAGAAACGTAAAAATTTATTTAATCATAGGATTTATTCAAGGTGCATTTACATTTTATGTCAGTCCATGCGTGTTCAGACTATAGCATGAAAATTTTCTTAAGAAACTGCAGCAAAATGATATGTTGCTCATTTTTCATTGCTCCGTCTAGGACAAAATGGCCCTCCTCTGACCATAAAAATGTAAAAATGTTCCAGTGCTTTGAAATCTGTTTACACCCTCATCCTGGTAGTACATCCAACTGTCTACTCAATTCGAATTCAGTAATAATCTTTTTCTAGTCATTCTTCAATGTAGGCCCTTCTCGCAAACATTTCAAATGTCAATGTTCTCATATTACAGCTAAAGTATTACTGCAGTTTTGATAAAAACAGTTTGACCAGTAAAGCTTGATGTCTTGTCTCTAAAAAATGAAGAACAACAAATTTAGAGCATTGACTACTGGCATTTTAAAGAGTTTATAATTTGTGTAACATTCTTTCTCATTGCTTGAAAAGTACCATATAATAATTAAAATTCTGAATTATTATTTATCATTGTACTTTTCCTCGTACTCCTTTTAGCATTATATATCAAATTTTAACAAATTGCATAAAAAGTGCCATATAATAATTAAAATTCTGAACTATTATTTTTATTGTACTTCTCACCATACTCCTTATAATATTATATACCAAATTTTGTTAACTGAACTAGGCTGTGCATAGGCCTGAATAGATTTTAATTATAACCGCCCCATATTCTACATTTGGACAGCTTAATCCCGATTTAAGGCCTGTGAAATTGCATCGGATATCTCCAAATGATTTGTGACTGTGTTGCTTTATTTCAAAACACTGAATAGGGGCTATTTTATGTGAATATGGAATCGAAGTTAAAACTTCTGGTTTTAATTGAGGGTTGAGTCCAAATTGAGTTAATTTTCTACATTTGTAGGAATTTAACCATAATTTTTAATAGTGTAATGTTTTTAATTAGAAAGGCCATTAAAATGGTGTCATGTTATTGATTTTTTTCATTTAATTATATCATCATCTGATTTATATAAATGCAGACGGATGTTTAATGGTTATAAACATATTTAAAAAATGCAAAAGTAAATGGAATTTCAGTGAATTGATTCATTTTATAATTTTGTGGGTGAACATGAATATTGAATTATAAAAATATCCTTTTTAATGTATTTGCCAATTTCAGTTTTATTCTAAAAATAAATGTTGCTAGAAACTTGTTTTAATAAAAAAATAAATATGATAAAATGTTTATTCATTTGATTTGATTATTGTTCAGTAAGAGAGAATCTTTAGTTTTGTATTATTAAGATTTTTATAACATGTGTTTTCTGTGCATTACAAAACCCTAGAACTTTAATGAACATTTTGATCTTTATAAAAAGAATCACTTTTTTAAAAAAGTGGTTTTATAATTATTTAATGCTTATGTTCTGATATGATATAAATGTTTGTATACATTATGGCACTCTAAAACTTTAATTAACATTTTGTTCTGGATAAAAGGACTTATTTAAAATGACTTTATGACTATTTAATGCTTGTATTTTTGTAACCCCTTTTTAATATAATAATTTTTAGGAAAATGCAAACCCTACAGTACCGAAAGAACAGCAGCACTTAGTACCACGTGTACTTCATTGTCAGTTGACTAGTCCTCCTACATTTCTGACTAATGTGTCATGTAAGGTAAATATAAAAATATTGTATAAATTTGATCAATGTATTACTTAATAATCACTGAATGGTGATCTCAAAACAGGTTTAATTCTAAATATTTTATTACTTTACGGTAGTAATAATGTATATATGCATTTGAGTTTTAATAAAGTATTGTCCAGTTCGATTATAAAGTTTTGATATGTAATACTTTACTTTCTAATAAATTTTACATCAATTAAGTTTGTTTTACTATTATTACATTTAAAATTTTCAAACATTTCATTTTTTTGATAAAATTTTGTGTAAAGTAAGTAATTTGTTCACAGAAAAATTACTTTGTATTAAACGTAATTAGTTAGAAAAATGAAGCTAATTGTGCTAACATCTTTGTGCACCTATGAATTGTTAGATTTCTTATTTTCTCTTTAATAAATTATTATATTGAACTCTGTTACATCCTGAAATGTTAGTAGCTGAGTAGGGTTAATATTTGTAGTTGATTGTTTATTTGCTTTTATTGATATGGGAATGTATACAATCAAACTGTATTTAACAAAGTTGCAAAATCCCATGAAAAACTTCTCTGAATAAACGTTTATAGACTTTCATTCGTCAGATGAAAGTTGTGATAAAACACAATTTGAGATAATTTTTATTAAAATTTTAAATGTAAAGTAGTGGTAAAATGAAATATAAATGCAAAGTTATATGTATGAATGTTTTCATTCCGTCATAGTTATGTATGAAAATTTGCATAAACTCCTTTTGAAAAATTATCACTCACTTTAACTTGTTTCGATTGCCAGGAACATTTCTTGTCATAATCTCATTAGTTTCACATCTTTGTAATGCACAGAAAACGTTTCTGGTACACTTTCTTCAAACTTAACTTGTCGTAAAGTATCAAATACATTTAACATCTCCAGGCAGAGATTTTGTATATTCAGTTTCATTGTTGTTCATCATGCTCAGTTGCTTTCTGGCTACTGTCTTTCATGCTCTCCACTATGTCTTATTCGGTAGGAATTTCTGAGTTCTCAGCATTGTTATATATGAAAAAAGAATCTTGTAATAGTTCATTATTGTTTAATTGTCCTTGAATTTGCAAATGCAGTCACACATTCAATTCCTCATCTTCTTGATGAAGCCAGCTTTTTTGAAGAAATTGTAAACACTTTCCAGTTCAGATATGTAGTCACATAAACTAATTGCACACAAAGGCTGATAGCTTTCAATTCCCATTAGGCCTCCAAAATTATTTTGTGATAATGCATCATGACACTTTTTATCTATAGGCTGCAGTTTTGTTACAGGAAAACTGCATTTGGATTGGGGGGCTACTGAACATTTTTATACTTATTTTTGATATTTTGAATGTGAGCACTGCAATTGTGTATCAGAGCAAATTTCCATTTCTGTATACAATCATCTATTTATCAAAAATTTTACCAACTTTTCAAAGATGTTTGAGGTCATCCATAATTCTTATGTTTAAATCATAATCACCTTCCAGTAATTTAATATCTCTAAAACATCTTGGATGTTTACTCTTTCCTAAAGGTTCAGTTTTTTTTATTTCCTTCCATATTTGCATATAGCAATACATTAATTCTAACTTTGCTGTGCTTGCTACCAAAAAGACCCTTTTATAGATATATATATATATATATATATATCAATGTGAACATTGATGTCTGTTTCATTGGCGTTGAAGATATTTTTCGGTTTGTACAATTCCAGATTTCTTCCGGTTTTCAAGCTTTCCAAATGATACAATCTTCTTCATTAACATATTTGCTTTCGCCTCGTATGATTTTTGCAACTACTTTTAAATTACTACTACAAACTTTTAAATTTTTTCAGCCATCCATTGCTCGTACGAAATTCACTTTGTCCTAAAACTTTAGTACACTCCATAGTATCAATGGCCTAATGTGCGCAGCCAATTTAGCATTGCTTCATAAAAAAAGCATGTTTTCTTATATTTGGCATTGGATTGGTGGAGTCGAAACGTGATGAAATTTTGTCCTGAATTTTTGTGATTTTTCAATAAATGTTTTTAAAATATTGAATTTTATGATGATGTCTTTCTTTTTTAAATCTGTGTTTACTTTGCCAAGAATCACTGTCGACATTTTTTTGACATTCAATGCATAACTAAATTTATAAAAGATTTGCAATATAAAACCACCAAAAGGAAAAATAAAAATAACATGCAGCTTTGCTTAATCTTAAACTGGTTTCCAAAACAGGATTTGTAGGGAAATTTTTAACAATAGGGTGGTAAACTGTTTTCTCATTCAAGAATATCTCTCCCCATGCTTTATCCCTCATGTAGAATGAAATATGAAATCAAATAATGAGCCATCTGCTTTTCTTTAGGACTCGCTACACACGCGTACATGTCACAACAAATGAATAAATAATTTTGTAATAAAAGGAAAATGTTGTTAAATAGAGTGTACTTCATTATTTGGGAGATTTTTATACAATAAAATTTACACCTCTGGCATAATCCTGCAAAAACTTCATAAGTGTTCATTAAATAGAGGTTTGACTGTGCTTAGAAATGCTTGGCTTGTATGTCCAATACAACCTCTTGGTTTTAAATTTTGATTTCAAAACTGATCTAGCTATTTATGAAAACTTAGAAATTTTTAATTTTTTTAGCACTGTAAATACAAGTGAGAGTAAAAAATGAGAATTTTATTTATTACTCTTTGAATTGAGCACACAACTAGAAGGCCTCAAAACATCTATTTATCAAGAATTACCTGAGAACTTCAAATATAGTTTCTAATTTATTATAATCGATCTTGAGCTAAGATTTATCTATCTGAATCTGTTTCATTTTCCTTGTCCTATCCTCACTCAAAAATGTGTATTTTATTGATAATTATGATTCAGCATTCATCTTTTACTAACTTCAATGGTATATTTTAAATTTATGTTAGGTTATAGCAGAGCCTCTGAGCATCTACTCGCCAGATCGCAGTGCAGGTTGGTGGATAACAAGAAGCAAATTATGTGGTTCTGTACAGGCATTAAGAATGATGATGTATGGATATCCAGATGCAACTATGCTAAGATTAAAACATCAATCTTTAATGTTCCACCCTCCCCCACTTGGAGGAATTAGTGCTATAAGATCCCAGAATGGATGGTCCAAAATTGTTATTCCCTGTATGTTTATTTTATTTTTTTAAATTAAAAACTGCTTCTATTCATCAGATTTTATATATATATATATATATATATATATATATATATATATATATAAATCTTTAGTTCCCTATTGCTTGCATGCTCTGAGATAATGGTTGTTGCGAAGATTATTTGATTGTTAATAAAATTCATAGTTTTTAGATAAATGATTGCATATCTTCATGATTGACTTTTTTTTTTTTTTTTCTCTCTCTGTGATTTTCTAATGATTTTAATTATAGAAATAATAGGAAGATTTTATTCCAATTTCTTTTTAGGCAAGGAAACTCTGGTAACAGACTCGGGCAAGCTTCAAGTGCTTGACAATTTACTGAAAACTTTAAAAGCTCAATCTCATAGGGTTTTAATATATTCACAAATGACCAGAATGATTGACATTCTTGAGGTAATAATCAAAATTATTTTTGTATCTTGGGTAAAGTATGGTTTTAAGTTTAACATTATTGTTAAATATTAATTATTATATGTTGTTTTTCCTAATATTTTTCCCTTTTATTATTATTTCTCTAAACTGACTCATAATACTCGGAAGAAGTCCGACTTCTCGTCAGAGTAGGCTGTGGCAAACATTGTTCTATGTAATGCGGTCATGGCAACAACATACTTGGAATCAATTTGGATTTAAAATAACTGTTTTTGTTGTCTTGAAATTTATGAAACTTGTGGAAGATTATTGTCCTGTACTAAAATGTGAAAAGAACTGCATGATTCTTAAGTACAAAAATTTCAATATTTTGTAATAAAGTACAAAGTCCGTAATTCGGACTCATCGGGACTTCAATTCTGGATTATAGATCATCAATTTTAATCTGGTAAGATGGCATGCAGAAATTATATAATTAAAAATATGAAACCATAATTTATGAAATAAAGAGCAATTGTGATCTAAAGGGTATCAAATTTTAAAAAAAAAAAAAAAAAAAAAAAAAGCTTAATATTTATTTGTTTATTTTATTAAACATTTCTTTTTTCGTAAGTTGTTTAAGTTGCTTCCACAAAAAGTTCCTTTTTCTTATGTCATATACAATCGACTTTCTAATGCCATACTCCTTGCATAATTTTGAGATGGATGTGCCTTTATCCATTTTCTGCAGCAATTCTACTTTTTGTTTAACTGACATCAAAACATGGTTTTGCTTTGTAGATCCTTAGGCAGCCCCAGAATTGGAAAGATAATTTTAGCCTAGCTTAATAGTGTCCATTATACATTATTGGCTGTGTATCATAAGATTGCAAACGAAAGCCAAGATGTTTTGCTAATTGTCTTGTTCCTCCTATGCATTGAATTAAGCCAGAATTGTATTAGTTTAGTTATTTACTATACCTATGTTTATTTCTTGCACATGCTTAAAACTAACCTGAGTCCTGAATAAATAAACTCCCACATATACTTAAGGCTTTATCTAGAGCCGGTGCTAGATGCCACCTGGTTCAGTCTCTACAAGTCCTAAATTCTGCTACAAAGCACCTTCCTAAGTTCTAAATTTTCACCGCGCTTAAACTTTGGATCCCTAAATCATAAAAAACTTCTCATCCCTTAATTTTGGTGCTTTCCCAAATTCCAAAAATTTCATCTTCCCTAAATTCTGCCATCTGGTGCCAATATATTCTGCCGCCGCTTCTGCGTTTATGTTGAATAACATATCAGTTATTCTTACAATAGCACTAAATGTAATCTTTTGGCCTATGAGTTTCATAAAATCTATTTTTAGCATATGAAAAGGAATTTTTGTTGAATTTTTCTTCATCAAGCATTTCTTAGAGCATTTTAAAATCTGTAATCATTGCCAAGAGTAATGTTAGCATAAAAAGTTGCCATACTCTTGTTATTCAATTACTAATATAAAAAAAGTTTAGACATCACTGCATGAGTTATTACTAAAGCTGTCAAATTTTACATGCGGTGAAGAAAGTAAAATATAATAAATAATGAGTTGCCTGGTCCGTGTCATTGATATAAAATAGGTGAATGTTTTGGTCTGAGGATGTATGCCAAGCAGATACTATACTACGGAGCCAAATTATTATCACAAATTTATGCTTACATGACTGTTTTTCCATAACGAGGTATTTTATTTAGTGCCTAAGTGAAATTAAGAATTGGTATTTTTAGTACTAATCGGTTTCGAGGGTCATAAAAAAATTGCAGCGAAAATGTATGCACAAAAGCACCAAATCTAGCAAACATGCCCATTTAACAGCGTGCCAAATGTAGCGTACGCGTTGATTTCAGAATGTGTAAGTTTATATAGTTCTATATTTCTTAAGACGCCATTGAAATACTAGTTTAATTTTTAAATCCTTTTTTGATATCCTATGGATTTAACAATTTGGGAATTGCCCATGACAAAATGTCGGCAATAGAATTTTGGGTAAAGTGGCAGAATCACCCACTGCTTGACGCTTTTTTAAGAATTGCACATACTCAGTATCCATGTGCACATCGACCTATTTTCACTTTAAAAAAAATCCTAGAATTGCACAAAAAGGGCACTGCGCACACCCTTGACTTTATCTATGTGCACATCGACCAATTTTCACTTAAAAAGTATAAGAAAATTGACAAAAATCCAATTGTTTTTAACCCCTTAACTGGCGCGGAAAACGTACAAGATTCATTCCCCAGCACCACGGTTTTTCACATATCCGCGCGTAGTTATGCGATTTATTAGGGGGAAAATAAGAGCAAGTTTTACTTTCTAAAAATTGTTTAGTTTCACAAAATAAACAGTAAAAAAAAAAAAAAAAAAAAATGCATGCACAAAATTTAATATTTTGAGTAAAAATATAATAAAAATGATGTTTTTATAATAAAAAAGGTCCCTATAATGGGGTTTCAATCAATTCATTTTTAGACCAGTAAAGTGTAATATCATGTTTCAGTGTTATATACCTTGTGAAATCAGTATGCCTATAAAAACATATATTTGCTCTGAATTGGTTGAATGCCACGATATTGTTCTTGATTTTTCGTTTGCAATCCCTGGCCACTTCAACAATTTGAAAGGTGTTGGTTCATATATTCGTCTACAAAACGGTTAGTCTCAGTAGTAATATAAAGCACGAGCAGTTCATCAAAAAATAATTCAAGAAAGATAAATGGGTTTGAAACATCCGTTATATCTTTCTTTATTCCTGGAACCTACTACAAAAAGTAAACAAAAACGGAGGACACAGAATAATTAAAAAAAAAAAATACGTTTTACTCAAACAACACTAGCCAATACCACGCAGTCATTACTTTCAGCACTTTAGACACGTCCCTCTCTCCAATTTCTCCCCACACTTCTCTGAAATAATGTCCTCTTCACATACTTCGTCAAGGTCATTCTGGTGTTGCATTCCAAAAGTTTGCGAATAGTTTAACGGGTAGCAGCGCAAAGCAACTGATAGTATTTTGTAAGGGCGTATATATACGCCCGGGGCAGTTAACGCATCGGCTGAGCAAGGCGTATATATACGCCCGCGGCAGTTAAGGGGTTAACCCTTGTAAAAAGCGGCAAAATATAAGTGAGCAATTCTGCACTAATAATGATCTGAAATAGTTTTTTACTCTTATGCTTCCATTCAGTCATTTTTTAGCCTTTTTCATATAAATTATAGTAATAAAAAAGTATTATATGAAATTAACCTTTCATCTAAATTAAAACATCAATCTTAAATTGTTATTTACTATTATACTTCCTTTCTTGCCGAAATTATTAGGGTTGCCGCAATTACTTTTGGCAGCATTGTCATCAACAATAGTTTGGTGATTTTTTACGGCCCTCGAAACCGAATAGTACCGAATTTTTAAGTGAAAAATTCCACACGTTTTATTATGGAAGGAAAAGTCAAATGCGCATGCATAAAGCTTACAAAAAAAAAAAAAAAAAAAAAAAAAAAAAAAAAAAAAAAATTGTAGCTTTGAGGTCCGGATACTGTATTTGAAATTGAATTAAGACATTTCTTTGACTTAACAGGCCCCATGAGTGGCTAAGATTGTAAGATACTGGGAGTTCAGTCCCAGGTGAACAGGCTGGCTACGTGTGGTTTTTTCCAATATGTAATGTGAATAAGAGCCAGTTTTTCCATAAAAACGACCTCTGCAAAGGCATTCTTTACCTCAAGGAGATAACCCTTGCGAGCTTTGCCTCAACAGTAATTTTCAACATTCCTTTGAAAATACTAAATCATGGTTTGATTACTTTAAAATCCTAATGCTTTAAAAAAAAAAAGAAAGAAAGAAAGAAGAAAATTTATATTTTGGTAGAATGCAGAGAAAATTTGAATGAGGTAATCCAAAACTTTGTCTGCAAGATTTTTGGTGTTCAGCTATATCTTTTATGTGAAGATAGAGGGTGAAAACCTACAACTGCTGAAATGTTTTCAATTGAAGTAAAATAAACTCGCTGATCGCTGAAGTGAAGTTACTGAAATGAAATAAAATCCTGCTTCCTTCCAAAAAAAAAAAAAAAAAAATGATTCTGATTTTTCCCTTTTTTGTTTTGATCAAGAAAACTTGAATTTTTTAATCCTTTTTTTATGGTAATACTTAAAGAGCTTATTTAAATTTATTTCTTAATTTATTGCTTCCCTTTTGTAAATGGGAATAAATTGTTTATAACTGAAAACTTTTATTATGTTTCAGGATTACATGTATTTAAGAAAACACACATATATGAGGCTGGATGGTTCTTCCAAAATAGCAGATAGGCGAGACATGGTTGCAGATTTTCAAAATAGGTAATAAAGCTTATCCATTACTATAGCAGGCACAAAATTGGAAGACTTCATAATTTATTGTTGCTTAATCTATTCATTTGTTTTTTTTGCAGGTCTGATATATTTGTGTTTCTACTTAGCACTCGTGCTGGTGGATTAGGTATAAATCTGACAGCAGCCGATACGGTTTGTATTCATGTTAAAATATTAGTCATGTATACTTTATTTAAAATATGACAAGAACAAACTTTTTTCACTTAACAAATGTTGTAATTCTATGTCCTGGTGTATCTTCTCCTATGTGTCTTATTTCTTGATAGGTAAAAATATTTTCTTCCACTCTTTTCCTGTTACTGTGATTAATTTAAATGTAGTTATTAAATTAATCATAAAGAAATGTTGTTTCTTTTGATTGAAAATGCAGGCATCATTGTTTGTTGGGTTTCAGTTATAGAAATGCAGATTAATTGAGTATTTAAACTTACATTTCAAAGCACATTCATTTTTATTGTTAAAGGAGTGTATGGATGTCTGCTTTTGCAGTGCCTGAGATTGATCTGTAAATTGCTTTGAACAGTACAAACTGACCTACTTGTGATCCCATTAGTAGTCTCATTGTTAAGATGGTCAGGTATCTGAAAATAATCTGAACTTTTAAGATGAAAGTGGCGGTGTGTTCTTGTCGTTTTTGGGAACATTACCTATGCATGGTGATGCTTTGTTGTGTATTCTAATGACTTCTATTTTCTGTGTGCTGAAATCATGCGAGTATATGGATGGAACATAAACAACGTGGGCTAGTAAAATCACAGTTAAATATTATTTAAAATAAATTGAGTGTGAAGTTAGATTTTTTAATTTAAAATAATAAGTGCAAAATGTTAGTCAATAAACTGTGTTTTCCTTCTAGTTAACATTGCATAAAAAGTAAAACATGAAAGTATCTAGATCATGAAAAATTTATTATAAGTAATAGAGAATGCAATCTTTGCATTGCTGATAGCTGGAAGATCAACTGCATTTATTAATAATATTCATTAATTTTTAATCACATTTGAGATGATGAAATTTAAAAATCTATTCTTAAATTTCATTATCTTGTAAGACTGCATTTAAGTTATATTTCTTGAACCGTTGCAAATTTCTTTGTTCTTTCAGTTAGTTTAAATATTACTTACTGTTGTGTTTTGTGATTCCTATATTATGGACCTTTTGATGTAGCGTGCTATATAAATTGAAGGATTTTCTATTTCTATTTATTTTGTGTAAATATTGCTTCAGTTTATAGCACTTCTCCTTTCCTGTAATAATGTATTTATCATTTTGTGTGCTTTGTCTGTAGTTTAAATACTAATTAAGTCACAGTTTTAGTGATTGTCAAGAAACTTATGAAAATTATCAAATCAAGTGTAAGTCTTTAATTCACAGTGTAACACAAATTCTAAGACACGCTGATATTAACATAGCGTAATTTCGGGTAGATGAGCCACCCTAGCATATATGCCACACACATGATAATTGACTTTAAAAAAATTGAAGTTCATCGGATCCACTAAGTGAGATCACACTGAATCTAGAATGATGAGTCCTTGTGGTTGAGAAAAAACACTTTTCCTTTTTCAATAGATTTCTCTCAACTAGAACAATGTTGCTTCTTTGCATATCCATCCTTTTTCGTTGGCACAAATAATGACCTCTTCAGAAACATTTCCTTTTGAACTGTTTTTCTTTTTTAAATTATCAAAGGGGTTAGCTTTTCTTTTTTGGTGGCGCAACCTAAAATGCAAGGGCCCTTTTCTACCCGATTGTTAACACAGAAAGTATTTTTACCATTTCTACTTTGAGATTCATCTAAAGTAACAGGCACTTCATCCATATCAATTATTTGCTGTCTGTGCAAATGTTGTTCTTTAATTATCTTAGGGTGTACTCCAAAATAGTTTTATCCCCCCCCAAGCCAGCCAGTCAGTCTATGGGGAAACTTTGACCAACTGTTTTTTTAGTCCTGGTGAATAATTTCGTTTGTTTCCTGAAGAATGAACTTGAAGCACCAGTTAGGTCCTCTAATAATGCCTTTCAATGCCCATTTGTTGAGCAATTACTTTTCCTCAAGGTTTTTAGTTAATAATAATATCTTTTCTATATTGTCCATTTCTCTAAATTTTCTTCCAAAACAGGCCAGGCTTTGACTTCAGTCTAACAGAGCCTTTTAGGCATTTCCTCCAATTCTTCTTGTTTGGACTTCCACCACTGAATGTATTTTTGGTCAACTTGAAATTCTCTAGCCGTAGCCAAATTTCCAATTTCTGTCACTTTCTTCAGTGCCAAAAGCTTAAAAGCAACTATGTATATAACTCTTTCTTTAAGCAGGAGCCACAATAAAATAATAAATTCATCGAGCACAAACAAAATAAGCGTTGCAACAATTAAACAATAAGTGAAGCATAAAGCATTATAAAAATAAACGCAGAACTAGATGGAAAAAAAAAAAAGTTCCTGTAGCCATTTAAAAAAAAGATGGTTTTCCGAAAAGGCAGACAGAACCACCGAATTCAAAAGAACGTACCTAAATTATGGTGTTTTTACATCAAGCAAATTCTACTATTGTTAGGCAAGTTTCGCATGAATTCCATTTTGGGCCATACCCTTAGTGCAACCTGAACACTCATATCAGGTTAAAATTCTACATTAATTGTTTTGCTTGTGCATAAATTGTGTAAACTAGTAAAGTTCTAAAGACAAAGAAACAATGAAATTCCTTCAGATAACGCTGCTGCGAATGGTATGCCATAGACCTAAATTTTCAACTCGATAATTTCGTCACAATCAGTGTTATTTTTTTCAGCAGAATGCCTCTTCTCAGCCTTTTCTTTCAGTGTCATACCAATCTATGTTTTCTATCTATTCCTTATAAATATCTTTTTCATATACAATTCTGTTTTCTATGGAAATATTGCAAATCATGAAATTAAAGGAAAATATTTTGTAGTTTAACTTGTTATGAGAGGATATGTTTTAATTAAATGTTACTGTTAATTTGAGGAGTTTGCTATTAAATTAGTGGTATTAAGATATTGTTTGATATAACTCATTAAAAGAGTTTATTATGTTTTGTTGTATTAGTAATGAGATTTTATAAAAATAATTGAGAATCCATTAAGACTTTTTGGAAGCATCTTGGTCCCTCCTGTCAAAAGTGTATAATTTATTATTTTTGCTCAAAATTGAGCCAGTTTAAATGTTGATATTTCACTTAATTATTCATATGCGTAAATTACTGTTTTAGGTTATTTTTTATGACAGTGACTGGAATCCAACTGTCGATCAGCAGGCAATGGATCGTGCACATAGATTAGGACAAACAAAGCAAGTAACTGTGTATCGTTTAGTATGTCAAGGATCTATTGAAGAAAGAATTCTTCAGAGAGCTCGAGAAAAGTCTGAGGTAAAATCTGTATTGTTTGCATTCATTAATGAAATTATATATTAATGATAAGTAATTTGCTAATTGAATAGTCAGTTAAAATTTTTTCATGTATGCTTCATTGTAATTAAATGCAAATAAATTTCGTTATTATTTTACTTAATTTGTTTGTGTTAAAAGTTAAATAGAATAACTTAATGTGCTGAATTGCATCATGATGGAGAGTTCCTGCATCAATATTGCTAGTTTATGATATTTTGTGCATATGATTTAATAAAGAATTGCTTTAATATGCAATCTTGTTTCATTACTTAAGTCTGAATTCTGCATGTTAAAAGAACTTTTTTTTCATTCTTAATTAAGGTGTTGTGCAAATCAAATTTGTTTTCCATTTCTCTTAATATCCATGTTTCTAAATGGACATTACTTTTCGTATAAAAGAACCGGAGGTTATGTACCCATATGTTTTCTGATTGCACAGTTTTATACTTTCATAAGCTATAAAAAGGAGGGCTAAAACAAAAACTAATTCTATTATAATTATGAGAATTTCTAAAATACTTAGTTCATAGTAAATTTTTCCCCCTCATTTTATTTTCTCTGTGTATTTGTTTTCTTTTTTATAACTGCTGCCCCCCAAAAAAACATAAGTGTTATTGCATTACATTCTTGATTAAATTACATATCTCATTCACTGTGAAAGTTAATAGAGATCTCGTCTCAGTTGTACCATGTATTCATGTGAAATTCTGAAGGAACTGATGCCTCTTTATTTAATAAGGAATCAGTATTCAGCCTGCTTTATAAAAAACCTTTCGTTAATTTCTGCTACTTTGTTAGACCATCCAAATTTACCAGAAACTCTGTTTAGAATGCTGTTAGTACAAAACAATCAATATTCAGCCTGCTTTATAAAAAGGCTTTTGTCAGTTTCTACTATTTTGTTAGGCCTTCCAATTTAACTGAAAGCTTTGTTTAGAATGCTGTGAATGTGAACTTCCCATGGGTTATAGTTCCAGTATATCACTATTGTGGCAGCCATATTGTGTCTATTAAATACTTTTTTGTAATCATGGTGAGGTACCATAGTTTTGAAAATATACACAGCTTGCTGTAATATAGAAAGCAGGTCCATATTCTTCACCCCCCCCCAAAAAAAATGAAAAAAGAAATACAGCAAGATAGTTCGACAGCCTGAAACACAGCCTTGGCTGGCATTCTGCCAAGGCACATAGACTTGCTCAGAATGGGGTGTTATTACTTGCTGCGACATAAAAGGTCGTCTTTTCTCCAAAAAGAGAGAATTTATATGCTCAAGGGGAAAGGGTCCATCCTTCCACCCTATTTTTGAGAATAATTTGGTCTGAATGGCGCATATGTGTTTGCATTCATGGTCGTCGATGAGGCGGTCGAACTATAACAGTTAATTTATGCCCTTGTTCGTAAAAATAAAGCGTGGCTTATCGAGAATCAATCAGAGTTACATCAAACAAAATGTGCGTTGTTCATCACACACTTATTCATTATAATCTGTGTTGTTCATCACACTTATTCATTATAATCTGTGTTGTTCATCACATTTATTCATTATAACTTTCCATCCACATATAATTTCATAGTATTACTCCAAAAAAAGTGGAGTCATGAGCTCTTACCTCAAAAATGTGCTTTTTCAAGAAGGTTTCCTGAATTTTGTACACTAATATACATAACAAAAAAAAAAAAAAAAAAAAAAGGAACTTTAAAGGAACATTCACTTTCAAGTACCGAAAGGTCAAAATTTCATCTTAGTTGGTAAAAGAGCACTTGCACAATAGTTGAGCTATAATAAATAATTGCATTTGTATTCTTGTCGCAACAAAATCTGGTGTGCTTTTTTCCCCCGTATTTTAATAAATTTTTATGTATTTCTGGTTTTGATAGAAAGATGTATCCATGCCTGATCACCCTCAAAATCAATAGTTTTGGTTTAAATCTATGCTAAATATACAGTTACCGTTTGCATAATTTTTATAGTTACTTCTGTTGATTTATTTTTTCTGGAAGTTTGCAAGTTATTTAAAGCTCCTTTCTTTTCTGTATATAAAAGAATTTTAGAAAATATAACTCTCCCTCTCTCTGCTCTTTTTTTTTTTTTAAATAATACTGTATCTTAATCTGTCTGAATTCGAAATCCCATAAAAATAATACAGAAGAGTAGAGGTCTTTGTGTAGAAATAACATGTTATAAGGGAAATTACTTTTTTTTTTTACTGACCCATATGATGGTTTATGTTCTTTTTCTAGATACAAAGAATGGTTATAAGTGGTGGAAATTTCAAACCAGATACATTGAAACCTAAAGAAGTTGTTTCTCTCCTCTTGGATGATGATGAAATAGAAAAAAAATGTAAGTATATTAATTAATGCTGAAAAGTGTTTGAAAGGGATAATAAATACGTGGGAAATACTAAAGGAAGAAAACTAATATTCATCAGTCTTATCAGCTATAAGCATTTTCCGCGTGTTATTGTAAATATCATTGATATTTTTTCACTAATATTTTCTGGAAGTAATAACTTTTCATTCTATCATCATAAATATGTGAGAAATATTAGAAGAGATAAATTCATAACATTCAAAACATGCAAACAGTTAAGCCTAGAAATATTGAGAATAATAACAAAGTTTGATAATTTATAAGTGCATGAGTGTATATAGATACATATCTATTTTATTATTTGTCATATTTATTTAAAAAGCTTTTGGTAAGAAGTATTAATAATACTGTCCACCTTTGAAGCATTTCCTGATAATTAAATATTATGTGCAATGCATTCATTGCCGGTTTTTACAAAACTTTAATCAGAAATATAATTTGTAAAATTACGAGGGGCGAAAAAAACGTACCTTTGTTGAAAGTGTTCAATTGTCCCCCCTTTTTTTTTTAATGTAAAGTTTCTTTTTATAAGAATGAAAGCATTAAATGTTAATATGAAATGGGTTTCCATTAGTGAAAGTCCAGAATTATGTATTGCTTCTTAATGGAAAGGCTCCAGAATGTGAGATGAAGATTCTGTGTTACCTGGAATGTGGCAAGACATTTTTGTGTGATTTGAAAAAGTATCAGAATGTGATATTCAATGAGAAAAGGTTTCACAGCTTATTGGAATATGAAAATGTGAGTAGATTCAGTATATTCAAGATGAAGCTTAAATGATAAAAATATAATTTTCTGATAATGCTTGCAATAAAATAACCTAATCAAATTATTTCTGGATAATAGATAATTATTTTTCTTATCATTTAGATACTGGGCACTATGAATTTTAATAAAAAGTTTTCAGTGCTTAGATAACAATTTATATCGCACTAAAATAATTAATGGTTCTCCTAAGTAGGGGGTTGAAATTTTGACTTGGCCCAAAAAAATAATAAATAAAAAACAATATTTAGACCTTAGATTTTCCACTGAATTTCTAAAAATGGGCAACTTACTTCTGTGTTGACGAACTTTTAATGAAATATGGTTGTGATATCATCATATTGTTGCCATACAGCACAATTTAAACACCAGTGAGATTATGAATTGGATTTGAGTAACCTTTAAAATGTCCTATTAGGAAAAGGAATGGTGATATGATTGTGAACTTGTAAAAAGACTGCAAAAATATAGTATGCATATTTGGAAAATCATTGGAAATTGACAGGAAAAATATGGTATTATGAAAAATGAGACTGACAGCATCACTAGAACTTTCATTAAAAAGTAATTTTTAGAAAAAAATTAGTAGTGGTAACTAAATAATAAAAACTCATGAACTTTCATATATTTGTTTTGTATTTCTTTTCCTTTTGCAGTATTATTTCCAAAGTGTCTGGTGAATTAATTGGTCTTTGAAGCATTTGTCCAGATGTTGGCAGATAATGGCTTCTTTTGAATGGTGAACCATTTCAATAATGCTTCAATATGCCAGTGTTTCATTTTTTCTTTCTTATCCAAGTTTTTTCCATGAAAAGTTATATAGACTTTTTTTTCCCCCTCTTATAGCAACAGCTGTGGATTTGGATAAACTGTATTTCTGGCAAATATCCATTTTGCTGCAGCCATTTTGTCTTTTTCATATAATGTGAAACTAATTTTCAGTGCCGAAGCTTTATTTACATTTAGCTATCTGTATGAATCGTTGACACATAAACATTGAAAAGAGTTAATCAACTCCAGATTTTGGACTGTATACTGTAATTATTTTGTACAAAAGATGCCATTTCACTAACCCATGATGTTTATAACAATAAACTTATGTCACTCAGAAAATTCTTTTCCTGTCTCAAAGTAGAATTCTGGCATAAGTGAACCCCATAGTCTTAAAACACATAGTTGAGAATGATTGCATGTATTTAACATGCTGATTTAATACTAAACTTATTTGTTTTATATAATATTAGCTAAGTGGAAAACCTGATATTTGCTTTATTTTTTAAAGGAAATCAAAAGGTTTTGAAATGTGCATATATGATGGATTTTACGTAATAACGTGGATTTTACGATTTGTTTTCAAGTATATACAAATTTATGTTGGATCTTGAAGCTTATCATTCACCGAAACAGGTGAAACAGTGAAAAAAATTGTTTTTCAATAAGCTGTAAAACCTTTCTTTGTGATTTGCCATTTCATTTTCCCAAGAACATTATATAAGTTTCTTAATATTTATGCTTTCAAGGTGTAATTCATGATATTTTATAAGTAAAATGTGTTTTTAAAAAACTTTTCATTTACAGTCATACTTAAAAAATGTTCAGTTTATTATCAATAGTAGTTTAATGGAGCATTTTGATTTAATAGTTTGCATACGACAAGAAGAAAAAAAGCAGTTTGAAAAACTGAACCAAGATAGAAAGAGGAGACCAGAAGTTTCAGGTGAAAGCAAAGTAGGTGAAATAACTTTTATTTCACGTTCACATAAGATGTACACATTGAGAGTTGACTTTTGCAAATATTCACTATATGTTCATGCATCAAGAGATTTCTGAGTTAGCAGTCAGTTGTTAATTTTATTTTGTTTTATTTATAAAAAGATATTTAAAAATCAGTCTGTGTTATAAATACTAAAAACATTGTTAAGTGTAAATAACTGGTAAATGGTGTAATTTACTTCAAAAGCTTGTGTAAAATGGTTTGCCAATATGTGCAGTTAATCATACATTACATAATATTAATATAAATAGTTTGACTTTGAATAGTGTGAAAGTTGATGATTTTAAAGTGTTTCTACAAAAATAAGAAAATTTAGCCAAATCATTCGTGATTTAATTGGTAGGTAGGTAAGTAACCTGGATTTTCCTGTTTGAAAGAGAATTTGTAGTATGAAAAATACATCTCTGTTGTTTGAATCTCTGTTCTATGTTTAATTAGCTATATATTGTCTGATAAATATTTCTCATGGTAATATATTACTTTTTAAACAGTGATGGTTAAATGTTTATTTGTTAAATGATCACAGATATTTCTAAATAAGGACATGTTTAGAATAGATTGATAAATATTGAATAGATTGAAATATTTTTATTTGCATTTTTCAGAATAAATCATTTATACATTTATTAATTCTTGCTTTTATAGAGAGGTAGGAAAAAAAGAAAAGATGACAGTTTGCTATCTAATGTTAATCCTGTTAATCAAGATGGGGATTCAATGCAGAGTATGGATTCTGTCCCCCCAAGTCCATATAGTGAAGTAAGTAATTTTTCGTTTAAAAAGAATTGCCAGTGTATTTTTTTTTTTTTTTTTTTTTTTAATATGTGTGATAATTTTAAAATGCTTTATTGGACTTTCCCAGTTAATAATATATTACAATGAAAGTTCAAGTAACCAGAATATTTTGGAAATTTTAAATAAAATTACAAATTTAGCTCAGATAATCATTATAGAGCTTGAAATACTATTAACATGTATATTTTGTCACCAAGCAGTATGATTTACGGTGATACAAAAGCATGACATCTCAACATAATCATAAGATGTTTGTTCGTTTAGGTTTAAATTCTTTGAATTCTCAATAAGCCAGTTTAATTTTTCTAAAACATGATTTAAATTTGATTTTCTGTTGTTTTTTTTTAAAAAAAATTATTCAGACTTCATGAAGTGGAGTATTTTTAAAGTTGCAGGATACGGGCATCGAGGCCATGATACACAACTTTAAAAATGAATAAACTGACGATGTAACGGGAAAATTTTTGATAAGAGATGATTGGTGACATTTCTGCCTACTTTCATGTTTGCCAGAATTTCATAATCAGGCCGCATGTTTTGCTTTAATGTTTAAAACTTTTGAAATGTGTCTAAAATGCAATTTGGGGACGGAATTAAATGTTATATAATTTTAATTTTGCACTTTTGGTATTCAAGTTGGTAACAAATAAGATGACTGTTATTATAATATTTTAGAGCAGGAATTTTCTTCATTGACATGTCTATTTTAACTTATGTTTTTTATATGCTCAACTATCTGGAATTCGACGTTTCCAAAGCTTTCCAGATAGTCCAGCTTTTACTGTTTTATAGTTAAGCATAGTATTGTCTTTTCTGTCCATACAGGAAGGAAAAAAATTGTTTTATATTATAATTATACTTTCTTAAAGGTATTAAAAATCTGCTGTTCAAATATTTTCAGCATTCTATTGGAAGTTTTCCAGTTGTACAGGATGATACTAGTAGTGAAGGCCCACTGATTGTAGATGACAGTAGTCCTTCAAGTACTCCAGTTCCATTTTCATTACATTTATTTGGTATGATTTGCTCTTGCTTGTATTTTAGGTATAAAGAAAAATAAATCTGATCTGATTTTCGGTAATTCTGAATTAATTCCTGGTTAATTTTAAAAGGAAAAAAGAAGTGATGTAGTTGGAAGTAAATAAAAGTCTAATTATAGGTTTTTTGTTCTTAACATTTGGCAATATATGTGTAACAATGTTTGTATAGAAATTATTAAAATAGCCGAATAACTAAATTAATAAAGTGCAAAGTCTGAAATGTCTGCCATTCCTGCAGCTGTACAAAACTGCTTTTTTTTTACTGCAATCGACTTGTATGCTGTACTGTTTTAAATTTGAGATTTGTTGTTAACTAATTAATTTTATTATTTGACATTAGTTATTAGTTGTATTTTTGTCATGTTTAAAAGAATGGTAAAAGTTACTTATCAGGCGCAAGTTACGACTACTGTGAATTTTTGTCAACTTTATATATATATATATATATATATATAATAAATAATAATAATAATCAGACTGCCGCTATTTATCATAAGTCCTTGGCAGACATTTTTAGCATATCAGCTGAAAAACAAATTTTTATTAAAATTTGTATTATAAATATTAAAAAACAAATTTTTATTAAATTTAAAGGAATTTAAAATGCAAATTAAAATAAATTACCAGGACTATATGGTACATTAAAAAATAAAGTACTTTGTTGTTCTTTGCATGTACATAGTAATTTATTTTTGCCAATGAAAAATTTAAAAATTTCACAAACTTGACCTCGCACACAACTTCAGCATTTCACGCCAGGATAAAAAATAATGTAAAAACATGAGCAAGTAAGGTTTCTAGGTCTATCATTATCTAACAATAAAATTGCCAAATTTTGCTTGCCCTCAATACTTCACTTTAGCCAAAAGTACTTAATAAAATGCTTCTCTTCTCAGAATTTTGTTAGGATAAAAGTTTTAAGAAAATTGTGAAATAAAATGAGTGATATATTTATACATAAATGTCAGCATTATAAACTGAAATTAAATCATTTTGACCTTCTCTTGAAATTTTGTGGGAGTATATCATGTAAACCTTCTGGTTTCCATGCAAAACTTTGTTGGTTTTCCAGATTTTGAGATTAACAGCTGTGATGTATTAATATATAATCATTAGCTTATTTTTTATCTATTTGTTGAATTAAAAAATATGTTTTATTTTATAGGGAATCCAAGCCACGAAGATAGTGCTTCTCCATTACTTAAAAAAAGAGGAACAGGCCGAGGTAGAGGACGTCCAAGAGGATCCGGTCGAAGAGGAAATGGTAGAGGCAGAGGTGGTGTCTTATCGGCTGCTGCTGCAGAATTAGCTGGTGCTCAAGCTGGAAAAACAGCTGCATTTGCAGCTTATGGTTTTTCTGTCCCTGCTGGGAAACCTAGTAAGGTCGTCCTTGAAATATTTCTGTAAAGAACAGAAGCATGTTGCATCTATATATACTGTATGATTATTTAACCAAAAAAAAAAAAAAAAAAGAAGAAGAAGATATTTTTACGAAATCACAAAAAATAAATGATTTTTTAAATTTTACAATGTATTCAAAAATATTTTTTCATAACAAGTACAAATAGAACTGATAACACGTTAATAATTCTTTACAGTATGTACCGTTCAAAGCATTTTCCTCTATGAAGAGGAACACGGCAGAAGCTACATATGAAACATGTTTCACTTCACACTTTTTTGACTGTGCACACACGACATTGTCTTTGTGGATTTTTCGTCTTCCCGGCACCAACAATTTTCTCCGTGTTTGCGCATATCCATGGACATTCTGCCAGAAGGGTCACGTTTTGATATCATTTGCTCTGGTTCTTCAGTGCTGATTTCAAGTAGTTCATCAGTAACTCAATGTCGTGCGAAAAGTTCTTGTATTTTATTTTTTGCATCTTTGTTGAATTGTATACTACATATGCATTGAAAAATGCTCAATTCATCGTATACATAGCTAAGCGCTTTGTCCACTTCGCTGTTTTACGCAAAATACTATAGTAGGACAAATACTGATCGACCCGATCTACTCCTTTCATTTACATGTTGTAGTCGATCAAAGCATTTGGCTTGGCTTTATAATTTTTGGCTCTTGGTACGATCAACATTACTACTTTATTTCATTTCCACGGAATGGATTAAAGAGATGAGACTGACTTCTTTCTTGGATTGCCAACAATATATCATTTTTTTTTTTCGAAAGATTGTTTCTCCTTTTTTCAAATTAGTTTTTTTTTTTTTTTTTTAGGCACTGTGGGACCTCTATTCTTCCTAATTGTTCCGCATATTTATTTATTTATTTCAATTCCATATTATTGATGCTTTTGTAGTAATTGTCCATGTACAAATGGTGCCAGACATCAGTATATGGCGAAACTACTGTGAGTATTGTTTCAAACAAACATAATCCTTGAGCTGCATAAACTTCAAAATTGCAAATATAACCAGTGTCACTTTCAGACAATATTCGTATGAGTATGCCGTATTTTATAATTTTTCCAGCATTGTAAACTCTAAAAAACAATCGTCCTCTCCAAGGTATTATGCCCTCATCTAACGATACTTGTTGTTTCAGTTTGTAAATGTTATTCAATTTTTCAACAAAGTAATTTAGAATAGGCCTGACTTTGAATAATCGATCAGAATCGTCCGTGATGTCTTCATTGTTATTGAAATGCCAAGCCTTCCATATTTGGCGAAATCTATCCCTTGCCATAGTTTTTGGAAAAAACGGTGTACTTGTGCAGACATCAGTTGACCAATAATCGTCTCAGGCGTCTTTACGAACTTGTCCCATGAAAATAATAAGCCCCCAAAATTTCTTCATCTCCTGAATCGGAATATCTCTCCATTTTATGCTTTTGGGAGATATTTTGAACTGATTCATATTTTGATAATAATACCTCTTTGATTCTGTGACTAAATGTGCAAAAAAAGTCACCGCCTATAAATAATTTTACTCCGTCAGCTGTGGATTCAGGAACATCAGCCATGTTAGTTATGCCAGGATGACCCCAAAAACTCTTCAAGGTCTGGAGGATTGTCAATCGATGACCATTCATCTGCTTCTTCATCAGAAGTTGTTTCAGAACTATTAGAAATTCTTCGTACGAACTTTCGAGAACGTAGAATAATGTTATCATCGTCACTTTCTTCGATGTCTTGACTTTCAGAATCACTATCATATGAAAAGTCTGATAATCTGTCAGCACATATTTCTTCATCACTATCTTTGTCACAACTGTTCATTTTATCAATTTATTTAATCAATAATAAAAAACCAAGCTTCAAATTGGCAAAACATGACTTGTACGTTCTGGAGCTAAGAATTCGATTGAAGACGAGATGACTCAACAAAAGACCAAGTAATTCAACCAATCATAACTAGTTGAAAGAAAAAATGCAAACAACACCCATATAATATCTAGATTTGTGGTTGTTAGGCGGTATCCACCACAAATCTACTAAATACGTATTTTTACGAGACCTGCGCTCCAATAATAGACTGCGAAAATGTAAAAATACGTTGCCCGCATGCCAAGTGTTAAAGCTGTTACAACCGCTACGCTCCGAGAGAGAAAAATACCCACGCTTTTCACCCACACCCCTTCAATTAAGCTGACTCATCTTGGCTCTCAGCCAAACTGCTCTCGCTAGTGTGGTCAGTAAATTAGTACAGAAGAATAATATGATTAAAGTGTTAACGTGGTTTAAATTGAAAAATATGTACTGTTTATAGTGAATTGTCTTGCAGTAATACATCACTTTTTAAAATAAAACATGACAGTCAAAACCGCATTAATTGAATATCCTCCCCCTTAAATTAGCTTTCATGCAATTTTCGTTTTTTCAATTATGTTTAAAATGTTCTTTTTCCTCATTCTTTATCATGTTTTAATTATTTTGCATATTTTAATTTGACTTTTTTTTTAACAGCTCTGCCATCTGAGAAAAGTGCCATTTTTAGGGGCCAGAAGAGTAGTTTTAGAGGTGCAGGAAACCTATCAACTAAGTATATATCTTCTCGAGGAAGAGGCTTATACAAAGGGGTGAATAATCCAAATTTACCTGCACAATCAATATCATTAGGATTTTATATGCCAGGACCTCAACTTCAGGGACCTTAGTTGCACTTCAGTGTTCATGCTTTTTTTTTAAATCATGTTTATTATCAGTCACCTTTTCTCATCTCATGCCCATTTTCTATTAACTATAAAGTAGAAATGCTAAGAATCTAATGTATTTCTATCATGGAATTGTTCCTGTTGTATAAAGTTGTTTTTATTGTAGATAATGTACAGTTAACAGAGCATTATTTATGTATGCTAGTGCTTGATTGACCTGACACTTGTTCAAAGATTTATTCTAGCACCTCTGTAAAATTCATCTAATGAAATAAACTGTGAAATATTTTGCATTTTTACTTTTATTTCATTGTGGATTCATTATTCTTTTTTCTGCCATATATTTACTTTCTCAGTTTTATATATACCGATGAAATTAGGGTAGATTCACTATATCTTTGCATGTGCATGCATTAAGTGCAATATCTTTTTCAATTAAAATAAAAATGGTATAATTAACCTTTTATTTACATATAAACAGCTCATATAAATACATGTCATGCTTTTTTTATTTAAACCAAATTAATATCTTGCATAATTTTAACCTTGAAAGGTTAGCAATTTCAATAATACTAGCTCTATAGTGCAGTTAAATTTGAAAGATAGCTGCTATACAACTGACACTGAACAAGATTTTATAGAGCATATATATGCATATCGTTTTTGGCATTTAACTAAAATGTATTATTTCTGAATATTTTCTGGTTTCTTCTGTTAAGTTATATATAACTAAAACCTTAACCATCAGAAGAGGCAAAGTGAGGTGCTGTAGCTTGAAGCCTTTCATCCCGAACGGTGCACGTGTCCCACTGATGTTGAAAAATACCTGCAGGACGTATTTAACATTATAACTGAACAAAAAGTGTACTGCTACTGCATTTTAAGTACCATGACATCAACCCAGTGTATAACACCATGCGGATATCACTAGATGTAAGGTTATGTTTGTTTATAAACCAGTGAGTGCCAGTATAATATATTTTACAGTAAATTTGATAAAGAACAAACTTGATTTTGTACATAATTTTATTCCGTAATAATAATAATACATTTAGAACAGAAACAGAATATCAAATATGTATGAATTACTTAAGTTTAGAAATTATTTATCTTTTTGTTTATCCGGTATATACAGTCAAAAGTCGTTAATCCAGACTAGTCGGGACTTTGGCAATTCTGGATTATCGATCATCAGTTTAAATCTGGTGAGATGGCATACAGAAATTATAAAATTAAAAATATGAAACCATAATTTATGAAATAAAAAGCAATTGTGATCTAAAGGGTATCAAAATTTACAAAAAAAAATGCTTAATATTTATTTGTTTACTTTATTAAACATTTCTTTCAATGTAAGTTGTTTAAGTTGCTTCGTTTCGTTTTATGTGATAATACTTTCTCTTTAATTCTATAAACAGACATAATTTCTTCTTCAGTTACAAAGTTCCGCTGTTCAAGTCCTATAATTGCTGTGTCGAGAATACCGACTAATTTGTCAATTGAAATTTTTTCGTTTTCAATAAACTCTGTGTCACTATAATGACGAGGAATTTGATTTAAATCATATCAAAGACGGAGTACATCGAGATGAAATACTACATTTAGTAAGGAATTATAAACCAAATAAAATAAAAACATCTTGAAGATAAGGATAGTGCTGACTGATCAACTTCCAATTCATTGCGCGCCGCAGCGTTCCCCTCTCCCCTGCGCAGCAAAGCAGCGTGAAATTGATAAACAGATTTTGGAATAGAGAAACAAAGGATATGCCTTTATCCATTTTTTGCAGCAATTCCACTTTTTGTTCACTAGACATCAAAACATGCATTCGCTTTGTAGATCCTTTGGCAGCTCCAGAATTAGAAACTCTTTTTGACATAATCGAAAGTTCAAGCTTAATTTTTATAAAATTGCTCTAACAGTGTGCAAAAAATAATAAGCCGTATCCAATTCGAAGATTAAGGAACAACGCAATCTGCAACATTAACTGAATTAGATAATTTTAGCTTAGCTTATACAGTCCGTTATACATTAAATGCGCATGCGTAAACATATTATGCGCACATGCATATTCGCAACCGTAAAGATCTTACGCGCATGCGCCGCGTTGAATTTTTGCTTTAAGAAAATATGTAGCTTTGAGGTCCGAATTAACGACTTTTGACTGTATATGTACCAACCGGTATTATTACTGGTACAAATGTGTACCATTAGGTTTGTAATTAAGATTTTTATATTAGTTCTAAAATGGCTCGCTGATTGATGCAAAAACAACTAGAAGTTGAAAAATATGGTGAATCGCACCTGGAAGAACCATTTTCATCGGATTGTAGTGACAACCATTAGCCTGACAGCAATAATGATGATTCATCATATGATTCAGGGTACACATATGATATAAATGTATATGCTGGTAAAAGTACTACATCTGTTCATGATAATTCACTGACTCTTGGTGGAAAAGTCGTCAAATCACTCGCTTCCACCATCAAAGCTATAGGCATAGTACTATGCTTTGATAGATTTTTTTTACCAGCATACATTTGTTTCAGGCAATAAATTGTGTGGCTTTGGGTACATGCATGGCCAATCACAAAAATACACCAACAATTGTAGGCAAGTTGCAATGTGGGCTATCCAAGTTTCGATGTACGTCCAAAGGTTTATTGTGTGTAAAATGGCAGGACACCAAAGAAGTATTAGTAATGTCAAATTGTCACAAGGCTAATTTGACAACTGTAACGAAAAAGACAAAACTGGACAACAGGAACCAATTGATCTTCCACAGGTGATAGCTTTGTATCAACAGATAATGGGAGGAGTTGACCGACCGGATCAGTTTGGTCTGTATGAACACAATAGAAAATAATGGACGGAGGGGGGAATGATAAAACTACAATGAGTAACCTTATAATAATAGAAATTGCTTTTGTTTTTGTCTAAAAATCTATTATTCATATTCAAGGATCAAAGGATTAAAATAGTTAATTGTTTGTTGTTAACTTTTGAAGTTATAAGTTTCTGAAATTTTTTTTTTTTATGTGTTGAGGTACTTAGGACTACATTTCTTGTTGGCAGGGGTCGAGATGGTGTTGCTTTTTATAATACCATATCCAAGCATGCAAAAACAGATTTTTCTCTATAGAGGAAAACAATTTGAAATGTATGAGCTCTTAAGATAACATGAGATTAAGGGGGGGGAAAGTAAGCATACGTTGTGTAATCAAAGAATGTCTTAATTTTGCGATATTTGATTGAATGATATTTGCGAAGTATGCAAATGAAACCATCTTAAAATGGATACCCATAGTTCCAGATAATTCCTTTGGGGAAGTTGCATGCTGCGTTGTAAGAAATGAAATTTATTTCATTGTTGTTTAGTAAATGCAGCTTAAATTACAGTGAGTTGATGTTTTATATATATTGACGGCACAGTTGAAGCTGGTTATAATGACCATTCCAGCAAGTGGTTCAATACAGTGAACAGTATAAAATATCCCCTGCAAAAGACTGTTTATGAAATAAATTTTCATGCTGGTGACCCCTCAGTGTAACATTCCTCTGCCGGGGGGGGATAAAATACCTTGGTTTTCTGGAAATGCTTTTAGAATTCCAGGATTCGTAATGAAGACTTCTTGAAATTGGAATTTAAGTAATTGCAATGAAAGTCTTCAGTGACTAAAATCTACAACATGAGCAGTTTATAGTTACATGTTTAAAACTAAATATAAATGTTTACAGAAGTGTAAATTTCCTTGGACAAAACTTGGATGTTGTCATTATTTAGTTCAAATCCCATCTCTTTCCAAGAGTTTATAAGGAGTTTTTCACTTATTGCATACTCTGCTCTTATGCACTGCACGGAAAGGAAGGGATGCCCAGTGGAGGTCTTTTTAAGGGAAACTGGCTTGTATCCACATTACACATGACCCCGGATTGGACTACCAGTGTTCAGTGGCTATTATTGCCTGGCCGCTGGTGGGCAATTTATAAGTTAAGAAATTATTTTCAATCAATTTGCTGTTCACATCTTCATCTAAACCTTTTTAACATTTTGTTTTCTCTAAACTCAATTTCTCACCTCTGTTATTCAGCATTGTAATGCATAAAAGTGCGTGTGAAGAGTTTTCAACAACTACATGCTAACCGAAATCCTATATTTATTGTTGATAGATTAGCCAAAATAGACTTCGACAACATTTTATTTCAAGACTGTAGACCTAATGATTTAAGCTTAATCTTCATTAAATCTCTTTTTAAGTGTTGGCAGAAAAGTCTAAACATAAATTCACCATGCTAGTTTTACTTTACTTCAAATCATTATCAATTACTAGCTTTTGCTTGGAATATATTATGCACAACATCAAAACATAACTTTTACAAAACACCGCTCAACTGGGATATGGTTAGTGATGCTGACTGTCGTACTGAAAGGCCAAGGTTTGAATCCCGGAGAAAGCATGGATGTTTATAAATGTATAGTGTTAGTGTATGTCCCCTTGGGGTACATTCTAAATATGCAGGGTGCCGAAAGTTCTCTCGAGAGGTTTGTAGTAGGGGAAGAGGGGTGGGAGAATCTCAGGACTCGTCTCCCTGAGGTGCTCTGCATAAAATTTGGAAGCAGAACTGATCAAAGTCATACTGTCACCTGAGTGGTGTTCAAGGCTGTTGCCAAAAGACAACCACAATCTTGCCCTCCTTGCCATGATGAATATCGTGGGCTTGTTCTGATTTTACTGTCAGACTAAGATAAGTAACAACAATTTTTGCAAAATAGTTTGCAGAGCTATTTACTTTTACAAACTAATGAACATAGTTCGTGCAAAACCTTTAAAATTCATATTTATTCATAAAATTTTAAATAAAAAGACAAGTCAGACTTCATTGATTCAATCATCCTTAAGTTTGTGATAATTTTCTGCACTATTCGACTATGGTCGATAAAGAACCATCGTAAAATGTGGTATGCAAAAACCTGTACATGTATCATTAAAATTTTGACTAATGAATTCTTTCCCATTATCTGATATTTTAAGTGGAATGCCATATTTTATTTTAATATAAATTTATTTAAAAATGGACCCAAAACAATTTTACTGAATGCTCTTTGAGGGAAGGTACTTCTACCGAATCCGAGAACTGAACAGAGATTGTTTAGAAAATATCTTCTTTTTTTTTTTTTTTCCTACACTGGTAGGAGCCTAATACAGCAGTTACCTTTTATGCTATTTTGATAACTGGTCAAGCTATAATTAATATTATTATGAGTTTTATATATATATATGTAAATAGTTTTAGT